TTCCCTACACGACGCTCTTCCGATCTGATTCTTTCCATTCGTCATCCATTCGACGTTTCGACCCGAGAGAGTGTTGCTATTTAAAAGCCGGTTGAGTTTGTATTTGTGTTTGAGACTAAGAGAATCAAATGTAAATTCATTCAGGGATTCATTATATATTATGTAAAATATTTGTATTTTTATCGCAAGGTCTTTTCCAAAAAAAACCCATAAAATGAATAACAACCCATGACTTCGTTTTATTCTTTTCATATATCAATATTCTTCTTTTTTTTCATTCCATTGCCTCTGATTCAACTTTGCAAGCTCGCACATGTTTCCCGAAGAGAAAAATTTTTTTTATTCCAACGAAACGTGCTGTTTGCAGACTTAACTCGATAAATTGAAAAAGTTTGTCACTCACAATTTCGAAACTTGTTCGCTCTCTTTTAAAACTGTCACAGCTTCAAAACTTATGAATAAAACATATAATTTGAGTGTGTGTTTATATTATTTGAACGAATAACTTGAATTGTATTCTAGCAAACAAGCAACTTATTCATAAGTAGAAGAATTTTATTCTAATGAGTTATAAAGAAATTCGATAGCCAATAAAAGACCAATATTTGTCAAAAAAACAGATTTCTTGCTTAAATATCGTCGATGAGCTTTTAAAGGCCATTACAGTCTGCCAGTGTCATTAATATTATTTTTAATTAAGACTCATATACTCAAGTTACAGTGCTCATCAAATGATTGTGACTGTATGAAATTCATCAAAGTTATCACCATAAAAATTAGTGAAAAATGAAAAACAATGTAAACAGACAACAGAACAGATATATGTAAATAGATAATTGGCAGTAAAAAATTGTCAAATTCGTTTTTGTTCGAAGATTATTGATAGTTTTTCTGTCATCAAGGAAAACATTTAAAATACTTGATGATAATATCTTGGAACGTTTGAATATCACAATGTTACATGTCTATTTAGTTTAAAACAATATTTATTTATCAAGACCTCCGAACAAATATTTGCAGTTGATTACAATATGCATGTTGTCGTATTCGTATCTCGACATGTTTATTTTGTATCAGATTCAGATTGTAATTTTCCAACGTATAAATTAAAGGCTCTTATAATTAAATGACAAAAAGAAAATAACAAAAGTGTGCCAAATTTAAATGTTTTCACACTCAATTTACCTAACACAGATATAATTCAATGGAATGAGCCCCCAAATTAAGCTACACTGCTGCAAAATTTTCTTCTCTAACACTTTGACAAAAATAGCCAAGCCCCTTATTGCTGACGTCATGCAACATATGTACGAAAAGTGGATGTTTATGTAGTAAATCTGAAAACTCAACGCCGAACGGCTGCTACGTTTATGTCTAAAATTATTCACGTTTTTGCTATTTTCAACATCTATTTAGATAATTCGTAAAAGAAAAAATAAATAAATAGAGGAACGGACAGCAACTGACGCAAATTACTAGGAATTGATTGATGTGTATTGGACGAAATGATTTTTTGTTTTCATTCTGCTCTTGTTTAATTGTTTACTTCGAGTTGCTTAAAAATAATTTCACGCGTATAAAATTGCCAAGGTTAGTCAGAAATAAGTCAAAACTTATTTAAGAAGCAGAAGATATTGCGAAGAACATTATCTATGTAGATATGCTGTACAGCAAAACTTTAAGTTTCAATGCCATGAATTTTTATTTGTTTAATCATCAAAGAGAACAATAACAAGTTCTTAAGAAATCATTCAATGGAAAATTTAAAGCCTTCAGATAATCATTATTCTTTAGTAGCAAGTATCTGTTTCTTTTTGAACAAAAATGTAATAATTAACTTGGGAATCGTCACTTTTGTTGACTCAAGTGTGTCCCAAAATGTATCGAAAACTACATATTATTACTGTTTTATTATCTTTTCATTCACAATAATTTATTTATCTCTTTAGTATGAAATTATTATCGACCTTGTATAAAAAGTGAAAATATCAGTATAGGTGTGTTGTTATTTTTGATAAGTTAAAATTGCTTGGCAGATATGAAATGATCTGCTACATTGAAATTTCCAAAAATGAAAATTAATTCTCTTGTTTCGTTTTTCTCTTCAACTTCAATTTGACTCTCAAATTAGATTCTCAAATCTAAATTCACAATTTAAAATATAAAAACCTGAAAGTAAGTTTAATGAAAAATGAAATTCAAAGATTTAATTGGGAAAATAAAATTAGATAGTTGAAATTTTATTTCTCATAAGTGGTTTGATAGACAATTAGCAACTGAATTTAATAATCTAAAGAAGCACTCAACAAATGATTCTGCTAGAACTGAAATTATTAATTATATTATGTAGGTATTTAAATGTATAAAAAATCGTAAAAAGAAAAACAGTCACATTCAATTGCTTTTATAAAATGAACCTTATAAATCGTTCCTTGTATTCAGTTGAAATTTGAGCTGAGTAAACTAAATATAAATCTTAATCATGTGCAACAGATGGCTGCTTAGCTTTTCCACAAAATAAACATATTGTTGTGTTTTTAATAGCATTTCATCAACCACCAACATCGTCAATTGCCACGAGTGACTAGATTTATAAATAAACATCACCCAGCATATATTTACCTTCATTGAAATCTGCCTTTTATGTAAAAAAAAAATTAAAAGTAGATTCAAAAAGGCTTGCAAAAAGGAATATAATTTTCATCTTGGATTTATGTACGTTTATTCTTAAGAATAACTGGGGAAAATTTCAATTTACTGTAATTTCGATTGAAGGAATAAATTTATAGACATGATGAGTATCATTATTATTAACAGAAGGAAGAGCTGATGATGATGATGGCATTCGTCCAATTTTAGGATCATTTTTACACTGAATATCAACTTTGAATCTTCCACGCGTGAAGAAAAGTGCTGAAAATTCATAAGACACATTTTCTCCTTTACCCAACGATGGAATTAATGTGCTGTTTTATCAAAGAATTGTATGTGGGATTAGTAGAAAGATCAAAGTACATATTTAATTGACTTACTGATTCGGTCCCGACAAACAAGTTCTCGTCTCCAAACGATAATTTTGCGTGCCATTCTGGTAGTCTTGATAAAATTGGACGGAGAGAATCAAATTATTCAGTGTCGTCGCTTGATTATTGCTTATATTAATTTCAATTGTTATTGGTGATCCGCATGATACTGTTATTTCCGATTGCGGAAGAATAGAATTCTTGTTAATTTTAATTTCTGTGAATCAAATGAAAATTTTTTTGAATAATTTATTGAATTTAAAATGTTCAAACATTTGTTTACTTACCCCATTGAATCGGGGAGACTGTCACCAAATCAAGCATTGTTGATGATAAAGAGATTCCACGCAATGTTGCATTTCCATTAATGTCCAATGAACTCAAATGATATTTTAAATTGACTAATTCCGCTATATGCTCAGAACAAAGCTTTTCAGGCAAATCAATTTCGGAAATGTTAAACGTTCCACTGTAGTTTCCACTTCCTTCGTCTGGAGAAAAAAAAGGTTCATGATCTTTATAATATTTAAATGGGGCAACTAATAATCAACATTTTAATATGTACTAATAAGTAATAATATGTGAATAAACTTTAAGTTTCATAACGTAAAAAGCTCTTAAGTTACGTTTACGATTAACGTTTATTCATGTCTACGTTTGTTTGATTGATTGTGTACGTACATAAAACACGTAAATAAAACGTAACGTATTATCAATCATTTAAAAAATTATTAAATTTTTACTCACCCGATGTTAATTGTTGCTGTTTATAATCAGCTAAAATTTGATCCAAAGGACATCTTTCAACTGGAACTGGTACACGACAACTCTCTTTTGGCTCGATCAAAATGACTTTATCATTTGGATAACTCAACGATATTTCATGCTGTGTAAGATTTGCCACATCAAGTACAAGATAAAACTGCGAAGGTCTGAAAATATATTAAAAAAATGATGGCATGTTTTTAACTATTTTCCAATGTTTCTTACACTTCAGCCGGCAATACATCCCAACTCGTGATTTGAATACTTGGAAGTAATTCAACATTAAAAGCTATCGAACATTCACGACAAAATCCTTCGATAAGACCATTCCCACCAGAATAACGGAACTTGATAAGAACTTCAAATGCACGAAGTTGATTTCCATTATTTATCATTGCTGCAAGACTCATTGTGGCTAACGATGAATGACCTGAATTTACTGCACCAGATGTCGATGATGATCTGAAGCTTGAAGTTTGTTCATTGTTTCTTTTTATCGGAGAATTAACACGAGAAGGAAAACTATTTGCTGTTCCCGATATTAACAAATTTACTCCACTAAATGACGATGGTCCATCACCAGTTTGATGATGTTGTGTTGAGGATGATGAGAAATTTGGTGGAATTGGTGTTCCTAAGGCTCCAATAAAATCAGCATCGCCGTAAATTCGCAAATGAAGAATAAAACTTTTACCAGCTTCTAGAGGTAAATTTTCTTTAATTTCATTCCCGTCAAACATAAACATTCTCTTTTGTGTTTTTCCATCGACACTTGAATTTAAATCAATGTCCATATACTCTATAAGAAGATTACTTGTATTTGTAATCGTAATTTCACATTCCTTTGTTTCACCATTGTAAAGTGACACTTTTGCTGTACAAATAACATTAGCACCACTACTTTGACTTCCTGAAGAGGGCAAAGAAGTTTTCAATTCGATTGTCGGTAAAGCAGAAATAACATTAACTTTATAATTTGTTGGAAAACTTCGATCGTCAAGCATATGCTTCAATCGACAGTTAGATTTTACACCAAGTGTATGAGTACTGTAGCCATTTAATTCCAAATCACCAACTTCCAATGGTGTGCCGAAAAGAGAAACAGAAAGTAATGAGTTCGCTTGAACAACGACGCTTTCCGGAATTGATTCAAATACAATTCCATCGGTTAGTAATCTCATATCATTAACTTGAAGTTCAAATGGAAGTGGATTGCGAAATTTCACCACAACTTCACTTTTTGCATGTTGCACCCATAAAAAGCTAATTTTACTGTCACGTTTCTTTGTTTCAGCTGTTCGTCGATCGATTGACGAATTGAAATGAATTGGTGTGAACAGAAAAGGTCCACAATCAACTTTATTTGCTTCGATTTTGAAGGGACGAAGATGTAATGGTAGCTGTTCCAATTGATACGATAAGCAATAAGGTAAGTCTGTTAAATTTGCTGGTGGAATGACTGTTCCATTCTCCAGAAACAGTGGCACTGGACTTCCTTCACATTGCGCACTTAAACTCTGAAGTTGCAGACACATCTCTCTTTGTTCATTCTCTGAAAGATTCTTCCATTGAGTTTGAAGTAAGAATGTCATATGTCTTGTTGCAAGGGCAGATTGTCCTAGACGTCTTGCTGTTCCAACAAGCTGTTGCAATAAATCAATTTGAAGACAAGGCCAACCTTGATTGTTTGTCAGCACTTCTGTCGGCTCAAGTGACAATTTATGGCCGCGAAAACTTTCAAGCATGAGTCGATAACTTGCTTGCCAGTCGGGATTAGTATTTGATTGAGCTATATGACGCCACGCAGCTAATCGCTGACAAAATGCTGCTTTTCTATGATAACCAATCTGTTGATAAAGTTCCGTTAAAGTCTCAAAGCGTCGTACACGTTCTTGTTCATTCATATTGAGATTGATGTAAAGAACATTTTGTAGAAACATGGCAACATCTAAATTTTGATTCTGCTCGATACAAATTCGTGCTGCTTTCAATGCTGCTTCTGTTTCAATTATTCCAGCCATTCGATATTTACTGTAATTGATAATCGCTTCACGATATTTGATTGCAATTTCATCTGGTTGGAGAATATTTGAAGGCATTGATTGTTGTTTGTTGCTTTCATTTGGTGTCGTCGTCTTTGAATCGGATTCGTTCGATGATCCTCCACTATTATCAGATGATAGATTTGAAAGAGACGCAAGATTTGATGATTCGGATGAAGACGCTGATGATGTTGTTGAATCAGGACTTGATTTCTCTAAACTCATCTTCATATCAAACTTTCGGTGTTGCATGATTTGTTTGCTTCCATCTGATGCGCGATGAAGATTCTTTTGTGGTGTTGTCGATAAATTTCCCTGTAGACTTATGTTACGTTGAAAGTTGACAGAATGCCTTAGATGAGGATAAAGAATAACAGATGAACTAGCACAAATCCCTTCAACAGCTGCACCAAGCCATAACGAATCTCCAATTGCTCTTAAAGTCTCTGACGATGCACAATAATAATTCAAACTCTCCGCTACTAATCCACATTGAAGTGTCAAATCAGCGAGATTCTTAGTGACACGTCCCATGATTCGTTTTTTGTTCACTCGACTTTCCATATCTAAGCCAACGAAATCTTTCTTTTCGAAAGGTGCAAGCAATAAACTAACTTTATCAAACTTCTCTTTCGTTCTTTCCAATCGTTTTGACTCAAGAATCCAAAAAAGTGAGTGAATAAAATCCGTGATTCGAGATTCTAAGTTATGGCAGGCATTATTTTCAACATAGAAGAATCCTCGACTTTTAAATATTGTCGGTAGAACTAAATTATTGTCAATAAGGATTTGTTGTTCGTTGTCTTCAAGTTTAAATCCATTCGATGTGCTGTCGTTTCCATTTGATGTCTTTTCTAAGGGAATTTTATCATCATTTGAGTCATTTTCATTTGTCGACGGAGCAAAAAGAATTGATCGTGTATCGTACAATGTCGATGTGTACTTTACTTTCAGACTTTCATGAACTCGACATAATTCATTCAGCTCCCCCTGAGATTCAAACTTTCCTACTGTAATGAGGCCGAGTAATCTTCTATGAGTTTGAAAATCACCCCATTCATTATTCTCCACTGCATGTTCTCTTACGTATCTGATGAAAATATCTCTTGTTTGACCAGATGAATCTTTAATTATTTAAATTTATTTGAGTTCAATGTCAAGTTTTTCAATAAATACAAATTTTCACCTTTTATTTTTACATTATTGACCTTTTGAATCCTCTCAAATATTTTTTGTAAAGTTCTGGGTTTATTAGGCTGAAAAGGAAAACAAAGAAAAAGAAGATTTAAAAGATCGTGAAAAGAGATTGAAAAATATGCAAATCACCCCAATGCCACGGATGAGCACAAGAAGACAAGAATGATGAGCTGTTGTCTGACCATAATCAGGAAAGTTCATATTATAGTTTTCTCCTGGTGCTGCATTTAATGTACACACTGAACTTCTCATAATAACTTGCTAATTGCAGCTGTCACTTATGAATTCATTCAGTCGTGCCACCAGATTATTGATAATTTTCTGCAAAGAATGAAAAATAGATTTTTATTCACTATTTTGAATCTAATATCAATTGTTTCGTTGTCTCTCATGAAAATATGTTACAATTAATAGATTTAGCCTTCATAAATGATAATAATAACAACAATTTCTTACGGAATGCAACAAAATACTTTTTCCTCGTCAACAACTTCTAATCACAACATTACAAAAGCAGGGACACAAACCATTTTTGGTTGAAAATCATTCGCTTCCCGGTTCAGTTTTCATCGCATCCCAGTCATGGTTCACTCGCCTGAACTTTTAATCCGAAAGTTTATTTTTTAACTCTTTTAATATTTTCTGAATAAATTGCATGTAAACAAAAACAAATATGAACGATAGTACGTTATTTCAAAGCACTGTCGTGTTTTTAATTGGAAATATTGAATCCAAAGTGCGTAATTTAAGTAATATTTACAATTTTATATTTTACTTGTAGCTTTTCTCTTATCTGATAGAAGTCCAAAGTTTAATAATGACAATTTTGTTTTATGTAAACTGTTGTATTAGGATGTTTTTAAATGAACAAATCTTTATTTCTATGTATATTTAGGTTTTGGATATATTGAAAAATGGAGGAGCAACTTTTTCAAAATTCACTATGGACAACGTAACTCATGTTATTGTCGGCAAAAATTTTGACGAAAGTCAAGTGCAAGAAGCACGCGAACTTTATGAGAAACCAACAGTGACAGAACAATGGGTTCTTACATCGATAAAGTTAGGAAAATTGGCGCCAGTGAAACCTTATGATCCGATTATGAATGGAAAGCTCTTCTCCAATTGTATTTTTACAATGAATCAGATTGATGCACAAGATCGGTTGAAACTTTATGCAATGATCACATTTCATGGAGGATGTGTGAAAAAAGAACTGGACAATAAAGTTACTCACTTGCTTTCTGGTGGATCTCAGTCAGTTGCTCTTAAAGTTGCGGCATTGACCAAGAATAAATTGACAATTACGACGCCAGATTGGGTACAAGAGTGCTTGAAGCAGAAGAAACTCGTTGATCCGAGTTTTTATCATCCAAATCTTTTAATTTCACCAATGCAGCAATCATCAAAAATTACTCTCATGCCAACAGGTGGAATCCGAGAAGAAAAATCAACTTCATTAATTCGAGGACAATTGCAACAAAATATCAGACCATCCAGACCAATTATACAAACCATGCAACATACGCCTCAACAAATCAATGAAATTATTCAGAGTCAAATTCAACAACAACAAATGCAAGAAAAAGCTAAGCAACGTGCTGCGGCAGCTTCAACAAGCAACACTCAAAGCTCTCAACAATCATCATCAGTTTCGACGACATTAACAACAATGACAAGCAATGAGCCACAGCAACAAAGTCATGTAGTGAAAAATGTTCAGCAAGTCAGTGCCACCCAAGTTGTTATTAATTCTAATCAAGTTGGTGGAAATATTCCGCTACAAAATGTGCCATCAAATCAAATTCCGGCAATCAATAACAATCCAGTTACGCAGACTAATCAAATTACCATGCAAAGACAACTTTCTCAACAGCAACTTGAAGCAAATGCAAGAAATCAGAAGATTCAAATGATTTCCCAACATCTTCAACAATCGACACATAATCAACAGCAACTTCTTGCTCAGCAACAATTTAAACAATTTCAAAATACTCCCGTGTTAGCGAACAACTCTAATCAACAGCAACAGCAAACCACAACAACGACAACCGCAACTGTTTCTCATATGACACAGAATACTCAACATCAACAGCCTCTACCGCAACAGCAGCAGCAGCAACAATTCTCTGCTGTCACTCAACAGCAGCAAAATATCCAACAGGGGACATCACAAGTTCCCCAATTTACCAATCAACAAATGAAACAAATTATTACACCGAATCAAACTCCTCAAAACCAGCAACAGTTTATCTTGAATCAGAATCAAAATCAAAGTGGAAGTGGGGGTGGAACTGTTAAGACGATAACAACACCAACGACTGGAAGTAATTACATTCAAATTATAAATCAACAAGGACAGCAAATCATTCAAATTCAACATCCTGAAAGTGGACAAATGCAACAAAAAGTTATAAATCAAGCAATACATGTAAGAAAATATTTTTTTTGGTTTATTTAAATATTTTAATTTTAATTTTTATTTCTGCAGCCAAACCAGCAATCCGCTCCACAAATGCATAATATTGTAACAAATACGCCACCACAAGCAAATGTTCAAATTAACCAAACTCAGCAACAACAGCAGCAGCAACATCAACCAAACATCATTCAAGGACAAGGAAATCGTCAAAACATTGTCATAATAAATCAAGTTCAAAATCCACAAGGAATGAGTGCAATGGCATTGCAACAGCAACAACGTTTCCAACAGACACAACAGCAACAGCTTGGAACTCAACAAATCATTCATCAGAAGATAATTTCATCGAATGCCGGCGATGGAATTGTTCAAACACAAATGCAAGGAAATGTTAATTCACAACAAAATCCTCAAATTATTCAAGTACATCAATTGCCGATTTCTGGTTCGCAGGTTCAATCACAACAAACCGTAAGTGATGGAATAATAATGGAACAGAAAATTCAAGGAAGTGGGGGAAGTGGCGGTGCTCCAAATATTGTTCATGTTCAACAGCAACAACCACAACAAGCTCAAAGCACACAAGGATTAACACAAGCTCAAGCTGTTCAGCAGATTGCACAACAACTTCAAAGTGGAAGTGCTGAAATTATTTCAAGTTCAATAAATTCACATCAAAGTCATTTAACATCAAATCAACAACAGCAACAGCAGCAGCAGCAACAACAACAGATGAATATAATTTCACAATCTCCTGTTCATCAACAAACAAATTCATCTGGAAATCAATCGCCACAAGTTGCTGCATTATCGTCATCATCAAATCAATCACCACAATGGATTCCGCAAAGTCCGTCTCAACAGCAATTACCACAATCACCGGTGATTCAACCGACAGTTCAGCATCATATCATAACAACAAACCAAGCTACAACTGCACCTGGTGTTGCCGGCGTAGGTGGACAAGGACAATTTATTCGTGCAACGGGATCACGTCTTGGTCACATTTATCTCGATGCACAATCTTCGATTCAATTTCAACGAATGGACCAGACACAGCGTCAAGAATATTTGGAGCAATTACATAACAAACAACAGCAACAGCAGCAGCAGCAACAAAGAGGTGGCGTGTTGTTTCAACAGCGTGCAACTGCTCCAAATGTTATTAGTGGGGGCGGTGGCATTGGCCGACCTCAACATCATATTGTGATAAGATCACAAGTTCCACCTGGTCTTACACCACAGCAACAAATGCAATGGCTTCAACAGAATCAACGACGACAAATCGTTATTCAGCGTCCAAGTGTTGGTGGTGCTGGCGCTGGGGGTGGTCCAATAACTCAACTTCCACAATCTAATCAACAAGCAAATATCACACAATTTCAAATTGATCCAAATGCAACGCCACAACAGCAACAATTGCAGAGACAACATTTTCAAAGATTGCAACAATTGCAACAAAATCAAAAGATGCAAAGTGGTCAGCAAACACCAACATCGCCACGTGGACTAGTCGCGTTTCCTACACCAAATGAAACTATTGATCAACAGCAGCAGCATCAACAGCAACAACATCAACAGCAGTTGCCAATTGATCCAAATGGTGTTTCAAGTTCGAAGACAAAAACAGCTCTCGCCAATATGTTGAGTAGTCGATTGGGAAATAATGGAAATGTTACACAAATTGCAGCTGAACAAGTAACAGGCGTTGAACAATCAGCAGCTGGGACACTTCGAATGATGACTGCGCAACATAATGCTGCATTGAATGTACAAGGCATTCATCCACCTGGTGTCGTTCGTTCTCAACAACCTAATCAACAAACAAATATCGCACAATTTCAAATTGATTCCAATGCTGCACCACAACCACAAATTGTTGGTGCTGGTCAAACGATTGTTCAAACTCAACAACATCCTCAGTTACAGCAGCAGCGACGACAAACACTTGGTAACATTACAAACGCAAGTGGTGGCGTTATTCCAATCCCAAGTTCGCCAGTTATTGTTACCAATCAAATACCAGTTGGAGCACAAATTTTAATGCCACAGGCACCAAGTGGAAACATGAAAGTTCAAGCACCATTTAGTCCTGGACGTGCACCACCTCCAATCACAAATCGATCTCAATTTTATGGCCATAATCCGAACTTGAAGCTTCCTGCTGATCTCTTTCTGCTTGGTTGTCATTTCTTAATTGTTGAATATGACGAAACAAACAAAGATGATTTGAATGATTGGAAGCAATCGATAAAAAATCATGGCGGTGAAATTGAAAGTTGTTACAATGTTCGTGTGACTCACGTTCTTTGTCGTACACAAAAGCATGGAATTGTTATGCAAGCAATACGAGATAATAAACGATGTGTGACAGTTTATTGGTTGAATGACATCATTCTTAAGAAGCAAGTGCTTCCACCATGGCAAGCAATTCATTTGCCATCGTCAAGCGTATTTGGTTCAATGAAACCAGGAATGAAACACATTATAACAATAATGGGCTTTGAGAATGATGAGAGAGAAAGAATTAAGAGAATGATTGAAGAAAGTGGAGCTAAGCTTACAACATATATGAATCGACAGAATACTGTCGTGGTTTGTAAACGACTTGATCAGAATCATAAAAAGTTCATTCATGCAAAAGAATTTAACATTCCAATGGTTAATGTTGTCTGGTTGAGTGACCTTTTATTGGGAAACACAAGCACACTGTCGCAATATGATTCTCCAAAATATCAGCAATATAATCTTCAGCAACCTTTAAGAATTGATCATTCAATCGTTCCACAATTAATGAGTAAGTGTCACTGACAATTTCCTAATTTCAGTTATTTTTGACTTTTTTCCCTAACAGATGCATGGAAAGCTCCAATCAATTTAACTCAAGAAGCTCATGAAAGAGTTAAAAGAAGCCAATTAGATCCACCGCAACAAAAAGCAAAGAAACTGAGAACGATTCCATTTTTGGAAACAATTCCAGAGGAAATTAATTGCATTAAACAACCGGAACCTAATAATATTCCTATCGTGATGTTATCACAAGTTGATGATGAAGATGGATTAACTCGAGCTATCACGTAAGTCCTTTCAACTTTTTCCATAAACACTTTCTTAAAAATATATTTAAATGTATGTAGAATACTCGGAGGACGAGTAACGAAAGATCATGCAGAAATGACGCATTTAGTCATGACGAAGCCATCAAGGACAGTTAAATTTCTCTATGCACTTTGTCGTGCAAAGTACATCGTAAATTCATCATGGTTAGAAGAAAGTGCTAAACAAGGATTCTTTCAAAATGAAGATAAGTTTTGGATTGTGGATCTTGGTAGCAGTTTCAAGTGCAATATCCCAGCAGTTGTCAAGTCACCGATAAGAAAATCGCTTTTTGAGCATCGCGTTTTCTATATAACGCCATCAGTTAAGCCTGGACCATCGTAAATATCATTAATTTTAATTAAAAAATTGAAAATTTATTCATTCTCATCATTTCTAGTTTTCTTAAATGGATCATTGATCAATGCGGAGGAAAATGGGAATTAAATCGACGATCTGTCATGAAAATTCATGAGTTGAATCAACAAAGTCCAAACAGTTACATCATTATAAGTTGTCCGGAAGATTTACATTTGCTTGGTTTCAAACATTTTGTTTGTTATGTTTGCACAAGTGAATTTATTCTTCAATCTCTTATGACACAAACGATTGACTTCCTTAAAGCAGAACTTCAGTTGACGCGATGATTTGTTCTTCCGTCTTTAACTACCTCCAAATATAAGACAATCGTTGTCTTGAACTCTCAATTGAAACTTCAGCAAATGACAAGAACAAACAAATCATTGCTGTGTGATGAAGCCTTAAATTCCCTTTTTTTCATTAGTTTTATTAACTTCTAAAATTTATTGTAACAAAAATCGTATAAGTAAAAAAGTGAATAAAAAATTCAAATTAATTTTCTATATCTAATAAGTATGATAATTTTGAGAAATAAATGAAATGTTGATGATGGAGAATCTTCTAATACTTTTTTGGTGGCGTTCTCCAAACAGCACTCGAGTTACGAGCAAGCTTCATAGGATTGATGCTGGGAAAAATTTCACGAAGATCTGGCGATATTGGCTTGACAGAGAAGAGCGTGTCAAGAATGTTTGGGCTGATATAAGACTGGGAGACGATCGTTGGTTGTCGTGCAGATTCTTATGAATAGAATAAAAATAAAAAATTTAAGAATTCGGTAAATTTTAAAATTTTCAACTCACTTCTACTCCAGGATGGTGGCGGTGGACGTTTGCTTGGTTTGTGAGACTCATCATCAGTTGAATCGTCAGTGTCCAACATATCGAAACAATAATTTTTCTTTGCTTCTGCCTTTCTCATCTCTTCACTCTTTTCCATAAGAATTTGCTTTTGTAGCTTAAGATGTAAGCTGTCGTCTTTGTTGACGACTTCAGCAACAGCTTCTTTCTTTGATCGTTCTTCAGCCAACTTCTGAGCTTGTCTCTCTTTTTGAAGTTTCTTCTTCAATGCTTCCATTCTTAATTTTTCCTCTTTTTCTTGCATAATGCGACGATATTTCTCTTCACGTTCTTGCTGTTGTCGCAATGCTTGTTCACGTTTTTCACGTTCCAATGCTTCTCGTTGCAATTGTGCCTGTCGTTGTTTCTCTTCACGTGCTTTTCTTTTCTCTTCCAGAAGCTGATTATTAGCTTGAATTTGTTGAGCTTTCTTGTCTTCAAGTGACTCTTGTGAATTCATCTTTTTCATTTGCTGTTTCGGCTGTTTAAGTCCCGAAGTGGATGCAACAGGCAAAAATGTTCCAGAAGGAGTTGTGACAATTTTCTTTGATTTCGGGAGAGTGAAAGGCGTCGTCTTTGATGAGAAAATTGGAACTTTTGATGGTGTGCCTGACTTCTGCGGAATAAAATAAGAATTAAAATTCATCTTTTCACTGAAAAGATTCAACTTACATATTTTCCTGGTAGTGTCTTGAACTTCTCTGGTGTTGCACTTTGAACAGCATGCTTTTCGAAAGCTTGGACTTTTTGCTTTACGGGACTTGACATGTATGGACTAAATAAAATTAGGACAATTATGGAAATGTTGAATTTAAGTTGATTAAAAACTTACTTGAACACTTCATTTTTCTTTAATTTCAAAGCTGGCAAAGGTGAAGTTTTAGATTTAAGACTTGAGAGAGGAATATCCATTGATGTATTCTCTTCGTCATCATTATCTTCTGTCATGAGACTATCATGAGGATTTTTATTGTCAACAAAAGCAGAACCGCTGGTAGCTGTTGCAATTGTTATCGTTTCATTCATAACTGGAGTTGCAGCAGTTTTTGGTTCCGTAACGACATTAAATGTTTCGTTACATGAAGGCTCAGAAAGATTTTCAGGAATATTTATTGCTTCCTTCACAGGTTCAACAGAATTTTGAACTTCTTTGACTTCATTACTTTTCTTGATTGGGCTATCTACTTCCATTTTAATAAGAATCGGTAAAGGATATTTCTGAAATTGATAATTAAAATAGATATTGCTTAATTAAGTTAACTTTTCTTCTCACTTTTTTTTCTTTCTTTTTAACTGGAGCTGGAACATCGGCAGTCGACGCTGTTTTTCCTGAAGCTTCATCATTAACAACCTCTGATGGTTTTTCATTTTCAATTTGTTGAGATGTAGAAGGTTGTGATATGACACTGTCAGTTGACATCTTTTCTTTTTTGATTTTCGACCGCGTAATTCTCAACTGTGGTTGAGAATCTTCTGATTGATCTTCAACTAAATTTTGTTGATGTTGATTTGGTTGCTTCTTAGTGCGCGTTTTTTTACCTCCTTTTTTAGCTGGAATTGGTGGTGGCGGCATTTTGTCAAGATCATTGTCGACAGTGATGTCAATTAATTCAAACTTTTGAGCGACAATTTCAACTGAATTACTTCTACTTAAAGTCGAGAGCGTTTCAGTTGATGATTGAATGCCTTCATCACGAGATACGCGTGGCTTACTCGATGGCGCTTTATTTTCTTTCAGGGAACTTCTTGATTCTCTATCACTATCCGTACGTTCAGTTTTGATCACGACTGAGTCTGCTTCGTTTCGCATCTTGGCATTTAAAGGAATTTCTTTCTGCAATCAAATACAAAATTTTAATTTCATTTTTCGTTCACTCGTTTGAATTTTCTTACTAAATTTTGGTTTGCTTTTGCCTTCGCTGTTCGAAGTGGTCTTAGATTTTCAGAAGATGAATGCAATGAAGGACGAGGCTCATTTAAATCGCCATTTTCCTCTCGATTATCCTCACTAACTTCCAGTAAGGATTCGGGCACAATTTTTTGTATCTTTTTTGGTTTCAAAGCATGTTTTGCAATTAAAACTTGCTTTGCTTTTGATATATATGATCTTAATCTAGCTTCCACTGTCTAAAAGAGTAAAAATATTTTAAAACATAATTTTAATATCAGACGCTAAAGTTATTTTACATCAAAATCTTTTTCCTGGTCATTGATTGCTTTTTGGCACGCATCAAATCCACTACTTATAAGCTTGAGAGTTTCTTCCATTTTTAAATCTGTTTATTCGATAATATTACCCAGGTTTATCTGAATAAATAAATCTTCTACAAGAGAACTTTTCCGTTCATTCGACTTCAAATAAATTCAAAAAAATTAACTGCCAACTTCAGCACTTAAAATACCCAAAATTTGATATTCTTATATTAATGCCCAAAACAAAATATTCCCCAGTTCTTCTCTTACAGAAAAAATTGAAATTAGTGTAAACACCGGTTTCAACTAAATATCTATTTATATTACCAATTGCAACATTTTTTCCCATCATGGAAGCACCAGAACAATGTGAACCTATTATTATTTTAGATCCAGACCAAGAAGAATTAGGTATTTCATTTGTGATTGTTTTAAAACGTTTTAATTTCGTTGTTTATTATTGTTTGTTTTCTCGTAGATCTTAATCATGGACGTGTTGGAAAGATTGAAAATCTTGAGCCATTAAGAAATCTTCAGAGGTGAGAATGATGTCATTAATTTACATGAAATGAGTCATCAAGAAAATTTATCTTACAGACTTTACTTGCGATGGAATCAAATTAAAGTCATAGAAAATCTTGACACTCTATCATCATTAGAGGAACTGGAACTTTATGACAATCAGATAGTGAAGATTGAAAATTTGCATGCGCTGGTTAATTTAAAGTATAGAAAATCTTGAATCTAAATTTGAATATGTGATGAAATATTTTAAGATTTATTTACTTCTTCAAGATTACTCGACATCTCATTTAATCGTCTGCACAATATTGAAAATCTTAATAGTCTTGTGACATTGGAGAAGCTCTTTCTATGCTCGAATAGGATTTCTACCATTGAAAATCTTTCTTCACTTTCAAACCTCACAATGCTTGAACTCGGTGACAACAAAATTCGAGTAAGTTGATCCTAAACTTTTAATCAATTTGTTGTAATTTTCTCATTTGTCACTGCAGGAAATTAAAAATTTAGATTCGCTGACAAATTTGACGCATTTATATTTGGGTAAAAACAAAATAACAACCATTCAGAACTTGGACAAACTTACGAATCTTGTGTGTCTGAGCTTGCAGAATAATCGAGTGACAAAAATTGAAAATCTTGATAATTTAGTTAATCTCACAGAGTTGTATTTGTCAGAAAATGGAATTGAAAAAATTGAGAATTTGGAAAAGAATGAAAAGATCGAGACATTGGATATTGCAAAGAACCGAATAAAGGCGATTGAGAACGTTGAACATCTATCAGCAATGGAAGAGTTTTGGGTGAGTTTAAATCGAATTTTCAATATCACACATTTAATTTATTAAATTATTCTCAGGCAAATGACAATCAAATCAGCTCATGGAATTCTTTGGATCAATTGAAAGCAAATAAAAAACTTGAAACAGTTTACTTGGAAAGGAATCCAATTGCAGCTGATGTTCAATATCGAAGGAAAATTTCTTTAGCCATTCCCTGGCTTAAAAAAATTGATGCAACTTTATGTACATCAAATCAGTGACTTGAGAGAATTGTTATGACATAAGCAAACTGCCTGCAAGTCATTTATTTAATTTCATTTACTTTAGGAATTATTAATTGCAAAATGAAAATTTGATTAAAATAAAGTTTAAAATAAAGAAAATGTATGTTTGATGTTGTATCTTCAAATTAATGAAAATAAATTAGTCACAACTTCGACAATTCATTAAAGAATTCAAATAAAGTGCAAATCACTTCCTATAAATCAAATAAGAAAAATTAATTCAAGGACGGCCAATAATTAGATATTTATTTATATTTAACGATTCATGTCACATTATATATTTCTGTCGCTTTAAATAAAGAAATCAAACCAAGAACTTCAGTCATTAATATCGAAGAAATTCTAGGAAATGGTTCAAGCCGAAATCGGAATCCCTGAAACTTGGGATATAATTAAACATAAGAATCCTATCTACCCAACTTATAGTCGTGGAAAATTTGGTGGTGTTGTTTATAACAACAATAAATATCATTGCTATAGTGTGATTCATTACAAGCCAACTTATGATTTAATGCCTTATCGTGCAACTGGTTTTGGGTATGGTGAAAGAAACATGAAATATATTCCACTAACTCATGTGAAAGATCGAAGCACTCCGAAAATTAAAAAAGTAACATTTGAGAAATCAGACATGCAGAAAATCTATGAAGCATCAATGGACGTTGTTAAAGCAAACTCAAATCTTGTCAATGAAATGATAACAGAACGAAATTATAGGAAATGTATTGACGACTTGCCACATGAATCTTACAGTTGGACAAAGACAACTGATGAGATGATTGCTGGTGTTAGATATCGAACGCATACGATTAATCGAACGCTTAAAAATTACAACGAATTTACTCCGAATCGTGTCAAACATTTTTATTGAAAGATTTTTTGTGTTTCCTATGTATCGAAATTATTGTAATTGTAAAAAGAAATTAATAAGAATCAACGTAACAATTGATTTAAAATAAGAATTGATGTAGCAATATAAACAGGATGTTAGTTAATCATACCTTCAGTTAATTATCAACTTGTGCAAAGAGTAAATCAAATAAAGATGCCGAATTCATTCGATCGCAGTAGAATAAAAAAAGTCGTTTATAATGATCAATTAGGTTATTCAATAGTTTATTATTATCCAGTGGGTGATAACATGGTAGCAGTTCCTGATGATGAAGATCAATGTCAACCCCGACGTCAAATATTGCATGAAGTTTTTCCAAATGATAAAATTTTTATTGATGAAGTTAAGGCCATAGCAAGAAAATTAGAGAGACAAAATGCTGAAAAAGAAATTAGAGATGTATGTGAGAAAGTTCATGATTTATTCAAACATGTTGAAGAGTCGAGTTTAAGTCGACGAGATATTTTAAGCTATCGAGTAAGAGAACAAATTAAAGGGAAATCAGCTGATCAAATCTGCAATATTTTAGTTGATGATGTCTTGAAGCACACTAAATATATTTATCAGCCAAAAAGCTTTGACGATAACATCCCTCATAAAATGAAACTTAAAATTCTGAAAGCAGCTATCGAACGACCTTCATCATCAACGAAAAACTTCACCAGTGAATATGAAAATTCAAAAGATGAAACTGTGGAACGAGAAAATTTATTTAAGCGTATCGAGGAAACTTTAAACAGAAACATTTTAGCCGAAATTCATAGACAAAAATATGAACGGTTAATGAATAAGATTCAACATGACATTACTGTTCTGAAACGTCGTTGTACAAATAGAAAATTTTAATTATAATAAAAATGCACTAAATAGAAATATAAAACGATTTTAAGTGACTAATTAATTTTTTTCTTTGGCACGAAAACCGACTACTAAATATTTATTAATAAAATCCAAAACTTTTCTGTTATCAAGAAATTTATCTTCATAATTTGATTAAGTCAATCTTTCGTTAATCTTGAGAAATTTGATTCGATATATGAAAGACGTTTGATGTGTGATATATTGCTCATCATGATCATCATCACCACATTTAAAACCTTGGAAACAGACGCTAATTGAAAGAAAATTATAATCATCGTCATTTTAAAAAGAAGCTGAAAAACTGATGCTTTAAGTTTAACGATTGCAAGAAAGTAAAAACACACGAGCGAGTGAAAATAATATACGATCAGTAGTCTTGAATAAATTGTGGAAAGCAAAAGAAGGGAAAATCGTAAATTAGATTAAATTCAAAGAAAGAAAGAAATTTTTTTGAAAGCTAAAGAAATGGAAGAATTTAGCGTATTAAGAACGCCAGCTTATCCAAAATATCATGGATTGTTATCTCAGCCACATTATAGTGATCGTCATGGTTATGCAATTACTTATTACGAACCTATTTATGATGTTGATTTAAAGATTCCTGGATTGGGAATTGCAGAGTTTCCATTTGTTCCGATTCAACATATCAGATCGAATCGAAGTCGACGTCCATTCGTACCAAGACATTTAACTGAAGAAGATATGATCCAAATCAATTTACGTGCCACAAGAAAAGCCAAAGATATCATGAAAGACTTCCATCCAGCTCAGAAGGCGTCTTATGAAAGTTTACGTGATTTTCGAACAAAGAAAGAGATCGAAAGCCGTATGGATGATATTCGAGAATCTTGTGCGAATGTTCACAATTATTATAGGAAAGCTGCTAAATATGATTTTACGAGAGATAAACTGTTCAATCCTAAATCAACTGTTCGTTTTGAAGATAAAGACACGTTAAAAGATATCATTTTGGAATCAAACGTTGATCACATCAATGATATAAAAGTTAAACTTGGAGAAGATAACAACAATCACAGAGAACGATTCAGAATGTTGTCAGCAGGTTGTAAGAAAGAAGTTAAAGAAGAAAAAATTGCAACAGATTCTGTCGATGCAGATGAACCATTAAAGTCATCATCTCGTCGTACATCAAGAGATGTTCGTGCTGACCAATTGAAAGAATTGCAGGAACGAATCAAAAATCAAGAATCAGCTTCAGATTGTTTTGAGAGAACTTTTGGAAGACATTTATCTAAGTTGAGAGGAGAAGTTAATGATTTGACAAACTTAACAGACGGTTTCATTGGAGATACACGGTACAGATCATTTAAAGCCCATCAAGTCACCGGACGGTTTTAATTTCCTTTTTTATTTCTTGTATCACAATTCAAATATAAATTTTATTGAATGAACATGACTATAATTAATGTTTAATAAAAGTTTTGGTTTTGATTAATTCTGGAGTAAAAACGTCATTCAAATCGTTTCCAATTCAATATTCTGCCTCTCAGCAAAATTTCAATTTGAAACGAAAACTTTGCATGCGATATTTCTTTACACTTACAAATGTGTTTAGATTTAGTATTCAAATGTCATTGACCATGAAATCTATTTTAGATGATGCAGTTGCAAGTGCCATAAGTTTTTTTTTCGAAAAATGTTTGAAATGTTCATTAAACTGAAATATCAACTTCTTCATCACTGATCAAGTTCATTGAATCAAGTTCATTGATTTATTTTTATTGAGTTGATTAATTTACTTTGTAAATTTACTTCGAACACTTTCAGTCACAGATCGTCTTTAAAAGATTACTGAATATAATTTATATTCAATATTAAGCTGCTCATTCAATATCAAGCTAGACTTTTTATCATGGAAAAATTGCCATTACAAACTTTGCAAATTTATAAAAAGATTGAAAGAGTTCCAGCTGATATGCAGATTAAAAAAATTGCAATTGAGTTAGAAAATATAAGAAAAAAATTTCCAATGCCATTAAAAGAAAAAAGTTCAAATGATGGGGATAGAGGTGCAAATGAAATTTATTTCGATCCACCGAGAGTTCGAAACATAAATTTGCAAAATTTGATGATTAGATTGGAGAGTGAGTTGACGTTTTGGGTTGCTGACTATAGACAATTAATGGATGAAATCCGAGAACTTGATCGTATTCTTCCGAAAACAGAACATGAACTTCAAGAGTCAGATGATAAGGCACAGGAAAATGTAGAAAAGATTATAAAAATCGAGAACATAAAAGACGATTTGTTAGAAGAATTTAAGAAAATTTGTATTTCATTCGAAGAAAATGAAACCACATCAAGAAGAAAAATTAAGAAACTTGAAACAGAGCTGGCAATCTCTCAAGCAAGAATTGATTGTTTAGAGTATGAATTAGCTAAAGAAAAGAAACTTAATAAAAAGATTATGAACGTTTGAATTGTCCGAACTTATGTGATTTAATGTAGATTTCCTAGCTTGGCCCCTCAAAGGTTTGTTAAATATCTTAACATTAAGCTTTCAAAGCTTTAAGGATCGTACTTCAATTGATTATACACAATCCTCTCTCCATTGCGAGAAATCAAACGACTCAAACTGATTACATTGAACTTTTGGATTCTCTGAACTTTCAAAAAAGGACCAAATTTTAGGAACATGTTTTATGTTGGAGTTTTTACATATTAGATGACTGAATGAAAATGAATCAATCGCATTTATCTGGGCATCTGTGAATGGATAAGGACTTGTTTTGTGCTTGTAAAAATATGCGTCACCTCCCATTGTTCTTCGATATTGCTCCCCAATAATACATCCATAAGTTTCACCAGCAAGAACAGTGTCAAATGTTGCAAGCGTTTCCAGCGTTCCCCCAACATAAAGATCAATGTCTTCAACGTCATCATAAATTGCTTTCAATAAGTCAACATTATGCTGAGGGAAAATTGTATTTAAGTCATCGAATGTTTTAAAATTAGCACATAATCCACATTTTCGTCTCGCATTAAGAAATGTCGGGAGGCCATGATCTCGACCTGAACAGAACAAATGAGTTTTCCTTATATCTTAATATTTTATAAATATTTTACCTCGTTGAATATCAATGGATAACAGATCAAGTCCTATTCCATCTTTATTCTTTGCAAACTTGTTATAAATCTGCAGACGTGACAATATTATGGGATGAATTAACTTTAATACAGGAAGTGTCAAATTTAATTACCTCTTTAGAAAACTGATCAAAATTAACCGGTTGCAACAACACACCACGAATGGTCTCATCGAAATTATTTTCGAATAAATCAATTCGTCCTAATCCATCAGAATGTAAAATTTTTTCAACATTAAGTTCGTCATCAACCAACCACATATCGTCTTGAAGATAAAAATGACCCAAACGATAAGCCGCCGAAAATTCAAGAGAAGTCGATGGATCAAAAGCTTCGTTGTATGTTTCGTTGACATTTTTCATGAAAACAGTTTCAATGATTCGACCTGTGAATATTCCAGATTGGAAAACTGCAATATTTATTCTTCGAGCTTCTTGGAAGATTCTTTCGTCATCCCATTGTGGATTGACACTAACTAAGCCGTCAGCCAAGTAATTGTGGTTCCTTGCAAAAAGTGCTGGCCATACTGCACCAATTGGTGCAACTACCAACCTCAAACTGCTGTCTAAATAATTTCCATTTTTATCAGTTGGCAAAACCTTATTTGAAGGGATTCTCAGCTTTCCATTTGAGAAAGTTCTGATTTTGTTTGTGTCAGATTCTTCAGTTCCGTAAATGATTGAGTGATCCATAAACGATGTTGCCTTGTTAAGAATCTCACCAGATTGGAGCTTGTAAGGAGTTGTAGATTGCTGAGCACGAATCATGTTCAAACATCCAACATTTTTCGCCTTATAAAATGGATCGTCATCAGGAACAGAAATCGGAAGACAAGCTGAGTGCAGAAGATCTGCTGGTAAAACATTTTTGTTATGATTTGAACAACATCTAATATTTTCTCCATCAATTCCTTCGACAGGAGCTTGAAACGCCATGTCATGAGTTAAATACAGAACGATCAAATTTGTCAACATATTTGGAGCTCGACATGGTGGATTTGCTTTTTCAGCTTTCAACAAAACATCTGTCACAAGTTTTCTCGGGCTCGGTAATTTTCTCCCCGTCACACTCTTTCGAACAGCATGAATTCCATCGTCATAAGTTTTGGGAGCGAAACGACCAAATGGAGTCCCACTGGAACCCCAATACGGATTCTTCAAATTATTACCATATCCACTAATAGAACGATATTTTGTGCACGAAATTTGTTCTGGCTTTTTCCAATCATAGCACTCTCCATAATCTTCAATCGAGTTGAAATTATCATCAGATTTATCCCGTATGAGTTTCGCCAATGTTGTCAATGTATCAGCTTCACGATTAGCTCCACCACTCCCGATAGAATAAGTTCCTGGTTCAGTATACCCAATGTTGCCTTCTTTCATCACAAATCCACACGACTTCAAATGTTTTTCATTTAGACGACGAATTGATACAAGTGTTCTCGCAACGTTATAGTTTAAGAAGAAGTTCGTACAACTTAAGATAAATTAGAAATATTATTTCACCAGTAAAAAGTACATCTGAGACTTTCTTACTTGTGGGATCTAATAAAACACAACTTCATTAAAGTTAATATGCTCGTCAATAAAATTTTGTTTAATAACATTTTGATTGTCTTTTAATTTAATTATTTTTCTTAAATTTTAAATTTAATCGCGAATTACTTTAAGCTTTTCCCGTTTATCGAACGAAATAATCACTGCAATAAAACTGCGCTGATTTTTATATCAAAATTCTGAAACTCGCACAAAAGCAGCATTGAACATCTACTATTCAACGAAAAGCATTAAGTTTATGGAAAGATTAAAACTACTAATATTGTTATGTTTTTGATAGATATAGAGAATGATGTCATTGCTACATTTTGAGAAAATAATTAAGATTCCTTAAATTTACAGTCTAATTAATTACAATTGAAAATCAGTATAAAATAAACTGCATTCACCAAAACATTAATCAATTTCTAATTTAAAATGAAGTGAAACAGTCGACCAGGCAAAACCAATCATTTCAAGGATGCTAAAGATTATGAAAAGAATTTTCAAACATACTTAGTTCGTCGATAAAAACTTTTCAAGTAAAAATTGACTGGGTAGAAGTATGATAAAACAAAAATTTAGTGAAGAAGAACGTGAAAAGTGTCTGGAAATGATTCTGAAAAGGGAATAAATATTTGATTTGCGATTCGAATTTGAAACTTTTTACCGAGTTTCAATTTTATTGAATATTTCATTTTATTCTTGATTCATTCAATAACGTCAAAGTATTTACTTTTATTCAGCCCATGCTTGGAAATCAACTGGTGGCATCTGATCGCATGGAATTTGAGGATTCTGTGGATCTTCAAGTATGAACCAAATTCTTGGGACACTTTCTTCATTAGTATTTTTACAAATTATGTTACTAAATGAAAAAGATTCAATCGCGTTTATCTGGGCATCTGTGAATGGATAAGGATTTGTTTCATGACTATAAAAATAGGCGTCACCTCCCATCACTTTCCGATATTGTTCTCCAATGATACATCCAAATGTTTCACCAGCAAGAACGTCATCAAGTGTTGAAAATGTTTCCAAGAAACCGCCGACATAAAGATCAATGTCTTCAACGTCATCATAAATTTCTTTCAACAAATCAACATTACTCTGGGGGAAGATTGCAATCAAGTCATCGAATGATTTGAAGTCAGAATTGAATCCACATTTTCTTCTCGCATCAAGAAACGTTGGATGTCCATGATCTCGACCTGAACAGAACAAATGAGTTTTCCTTATATCTTAATATTTTATAAATATTTTACCTCGTTGAATATCAATGGATAACAGATCAAGTCCTATTCCATCTTCATTCTTTGCAAATTTGTTGATAATCTAAATTATAAGTATAAGAGTAATAAATTATTACAGAAAATTGGAAGCATAATTTAAAATGTATTCACCTCATCAGAAAATTGATTAAAATTAAGCGGTTGCAGCAACACACCACGAACAGTCTCATCGAAATTATTTTCGAATAAATCAATTCGTCCTAACGCATCAGAATGTAAAATTTTTTCTATTTTTTGTGGATCATTAACATCAACCAACCACATATCGTCTTGAAGATAAAAATGACCTAAGCGATAAGAAGCCGAAAATTCAAGAGAAATCGAAGGATCAAAAGCTTCATTATAAGTTTCTTCAACTCGTTTTTTAAAAACAGTTTCAATGATTCGACCTGTGAATATTCCAGATTGGAAAACTGCAATATTTATTCTTCGAGCTTCTTGGAAGATTCTTTCGTCATCCCATTGTGGATTGACACTAACTAAGCCGTCAGCCAAGTAATTGTGGTTCCTTGCAAAAAGTGCTGGCCATACTGCACCAATTGGTGCAACTACCAACCTCAAACTGCTGTCTAAATAATTTCCATTTTTATCAGTTGGCAAAACCTTATTTGAAGGGATTCTCAGCTTTCCATTTGAGAAAGTTCTGATTTTGTTTGTATCAGATAGAAGTCGAGGTATTTACTAACTTACTAGGTATTTGCTACAACGCTTGTTGAGAATCTCACCAGATTGGAGCTTGTAAGGAGTTGTAGATTGTTGAGCACGAATCATGTTCAAACATCCAACATTTTTCGCCTTATAAAATGGATCGTCATCAGGAACAGAAATCGGAAGACAAGCTGAGTGCAAAAGATCTGCTGGTAAAACATTTTTGTTATGATTTGAACAACATCTGATTTTTTCTCCATCAATCCCTTCGACAGGAGCTTGAAACGCCATGTCGTGAGTTAAATAAAGAACGATTAAATTGATGAACATATTTGGAGTACGAGATGGTGGATTTGCTTTTTCAGCTTTCAACAAAACATCTGTCACAAGTTTTCTCGGGCTCGGTAATTCTCTCCCCGTCACACTCTTTCGAACAGCATGAATTCCATCGTCATAAGTTTTGGGAGCGAAACGACCAAATGGAGTGCCACTGGAACCCCAATACGGATTCTTCAAATTATTACCATATCCACTAATAGAACGATATTTAGTATGAGAGGTCAATTCTGGCTTTTTCCAACTGTAACATTCTTCATAGTCTGAAAGGGAACTGAACTCATCATCAGTATCTTCCCGAATAAGTGTCGCCAATGTTGTTAAAACTTCTGCTTGGCGATTTTTTTTATCACTATTACTTGAAGAAGTTCCTGGTTCAATGTAACCGATATCAACCTCCCGCATTACAAATCCTTTTTTTTGCAAATTTCTTTCGAATGTATTTCGAGTTGACTCAAGTACCCTGGCGTTTACATAGTTTTTAAAGTAGTCTTTGCAACTGTAAAATTATTAGGATGTAAAAATTAATTAAAATAAATATTTTCTTTCAGTACTTTTTTCATGAATACTGATCAAAACTATCAAATAGAATTTTCCACTTCTTACTTTTGAGCTCCAATAAGATTAACTTCCGTCAAAGTTATTATGACGAGTATTAATAAAATTTCATTTAACATTTTAAAAAAATTCAAAGTTATTTTTTTTTTTAGGTTTTATAGTTTTCATTAATTCACGTAGTTGCAAATTACTTTTAGCTGTTCTCGTTTATCGATCAAGTTTGACATGTGCGGTAAATTTACTCTCTTATTTATACCAATATATAAGAAACTTATAAAAAACAGGAGAATTGAACGTCATACGCAACTGTTTTTCAACAGAAAACATTTTTAAATATGTAACATAAGGGATGAAATTGAAGTCGTAAGTTGAAATAATAATTTAAAACTTTCATTATTAAACTTATTGATTGTAACATCTAGATACTTATGAATTGCATAATTTTTAACGAAATAACAATTTAAATTCCACTTTGAACTGAATTAAATTCAAAGCTTAGCAGAAACGCTGAAGTTTTCTCAACCTAGTTTTAAATATTTTCGCAGTAGGAACATCTGCTTGAAAATATTTTGACACATATCATGAGCTTTGTATTGTTCATAAATTTTTTTATAGATGTAAATAAAAATTCAGTAATGATGTTAGATATTTAATGTTTCATATCTTCAAGAAGTCATTGAACAAGTGTTGTCGAGTGTACGGTGAATATTATCAATAACAAAAAAAAAACGATATAGAATGGAAATATTTCTTCTCACAAGTGTTCTCATATTCATTTGAATTCAGCACACTTCATATTTGTACAATATTATGGCTCTTAATCGATATTTGAGAAAGTTAGGATGACTCAAACTTATTGCTATACTCTTGATCATACCTTTGTTGTTATTTTATTGTTGTTATATTTCTGCATCGCAGAATGTAAGTGAATAATTATCTTAATAGCGAGACAGGAATTTTAATAAAATCTGAAATATTCAATGAGAATTAAATGGTTTTTTAATATGTTTTCCTGTCATTTGCTAATAAGTTCACAGTAATTAAAAACAATGTTTTTCTGAGTTAGATATTTTGAAACACTTACATAATTACCTGATTTGAGCTATTTATGCAAAATAATATATTTTAGAATGTTGCTAACTAGGTAGTGTTGACTATGATAAACATTGTAATACTAACTTACCATGTAAAGTTTATCAGTTGTCTCTAAGGAATTTTTCATAAATATTAGTACTTCAAGAAATTTGGAACGTGAATTGATATTAAAATTAACTTTATTAAATTTCAATGTTAAAGAATGTTTTATCTATTTCACATTTAATTGATTCAATCACGTCAATGTGTTTTTTATTCACAATTTTTTCATTTCCATGACAGGAAATTAAATGATAAAGTTTCGCATGGAATTTGTGGGTTCTGTGAATCTTCAAGCAAGAACCAAGTTTTCGGGACATTTATTTCATTGGTGTTCTTACAGATTACGTGATTTAATGAAAAAGATTCAATCGCATTTATCTGGGCATCTGTGAATGGATAAGGATTTGTTTTGTGCGTGTAGAAGTAGGCGTCACCTCCCATTGTTCTTCGATATTGTTCTCCAATGATACATCCATAAGTTTCACCAGCAAGAACGTTGTCAAGTGTTGAAAATGTTTCCAAGAAACCACCGACATGGAGATCAATGTCTTCAACGTCATCATAAATTGCTTTCAACAAATCAACATTACTCTGGGGGAAGATTGCAATCAAGTCATCGAATGATTTGAAGTCAGAATTGAATCCACATTTTCTTCTCGCATCAAGAAACGTTGGATGTCCATGATCTCGACCTGAACAGAACAAATGAGTTTTCCTTATATCTTAATATTTTATAAATATTTTACCTCGTTGAATATCAATGGATAACAGATCAAGTCCTATTCCATCTTCATTCTTTGCAAATTTGTTGACAATCTAAATTATAAGTATAAGAGTAATAAATTATTACAGAAAATCAGAAATATAATTTAAAATCTATTCACCTCATCAGAAAACTGATTAAAATTAAGAGGTTGCAGCAACACACCACGAACAGTCTCATCGAAATTATTTTCGAATAAATCAATTCGTCCTAACGCATCAGAATGTAAAATTTTTTCTATTTTTTGTGGATCATTAACATCAACCAACCACATATCGTCTTGAAGATAAAAATGACCTAAGCGATAAGAAGCCGAGAATTCAAGAGAAGTCGATGCATCAAAAGCTTCATTATAAGTTTCTTCAACTCGTTTTTTAAAAACAGTTTCAATGATTCGACCTGTGAATATTCCAGATTGGAAAACTGCAATATTTATTCTTCGAGCTTCTTGGAAGATTCTTTCGTCATCCCATTGTGGATTGACACCAACTAAGCCGTCAGCCAAGTAATTGTGGTTCTTTGCAAAAAGTGCTGGCCATACAGCACCAATTGGTGCAACTACCAACCTCAAACTGCTGTCCAAATAATTTCCATTTTTATCAGTTGGCAAAACCTTATTTGAAGGGATTCTCAGCTTTCCATTTGAGAAAGTTCTGATTTTGTTTGTATCAGATTCTTCAGCTCCATAAATGATTGAATGATCCATAAACGATGTTGCCTTGTTAAGAATCTCACCAGATTGGAGCTTGTAAGGAGTTGTAGATTGTTGAGCACGAATCATGTTCAAACATCCAACATTTTTCGCCTTATAAAATGGATCGTCATCAGGAACAGAAATCGGAAGACAAGCTGAATTTAAGAAATCCGGTGGTAAAACATTTTTATTTTGCTTTGAGCAACATCTGATTTTTTCTCTGGTAATTCCTTCAACAGGAGCTTGAAACGCCATGTCGTGAGTTAAATAAAGAACGATCAAATTGATGAGCATATTTGGAGTCCGAGATGGTGGATTTGCTTTTTCAGCTTTCAACAAAACATCTGTCACAAGTTTTCTCGCGCTCGGTAATTCTCTTCCCGTCACACTTTTTCGAACAGCATGAATTCCATCGTCATAAGTTTTGGGAGTGAAACGACCAAATGGAACACCACTGGAACCCCAATACGGATTCTTCAAATTATTACCATATCCATTTATAGAACGATATTTAGGACGAGAGGTCAGGCTCGATCTTCTCCATAATAAACATTCTTCGTACTCTGCAAGAGAGCTGAAATCGTCATCAGTTTTATCGCGTATGAGTGTCTCGAATGTTGTTACAGTTTCCGCTTCACGATTAGCTTTCCCACTTTTGGGAGAAGTAGTTCCTGGTTCGGTGTAACCGATGTCACCTTCCTTCATTACAAATCCATTTGATTCTAGGTTTCTTTCATTTAAACGACGAATTGACACAATTGTTCTGGCAACACTGTAGTTAATAAAAAACTTCGTGCAGCTGAAAAATATTTGAAATTAATTTTTCTGAAATTTTGAATCAGAGAAATTAAAATTTTCTTCTTCATACTTTTGGGATTTCACAAACTTTAAATTTATCAGAATTAATAAGACAAATGTTGATAAAAAGTTTTTTAAAAACATTTTAAAAATTATTGAAATTCTCTTTTGTTTTAAAGATTTGAGTTTAGTCACGAATAACTTTTAGCTGATCCCGTTTATTGAACAAAATTATCGCTCCAATGAAATTAACGCTGATATTTATATCAAAATAATGAAACTCATACAAAAGCAGCATGGAGGCTTCCGTTTAGAATATGTATAATAAATGAATATTATAAATATAATATTGCAGTTTATTACCCCATCAATCAAATAGGTATTCTTGTTTTTATTTTTATATTAGATATTGTAGTTCATACATAGGAGAAATCCTGCATTTAAAGTAAATTATACTTTAATGTCGTTATCTTAACCACTTTTGGATTGACCCATTTATATGTCTCTTCTGATTCACAACAATTATTTAGAACACCACATTTGAACCTTTCCTTCTCACCTTTGTCTACATAGTGTAAGATGAATTTCAATTAATATTGCTAAGAACACAAGACAATGTTTCGCAAGCATCTTTCACTGAATGCAAATAAAAAAAACTATTAAAAATCCAAATTTCTCTACATTTAAGAATATTTTTGAGTAAAACTGGTTAAAGGTCATTGGCATTGTAAAAAAAAACAAATTTTACTGAATTTATAGGAAAAACAATTAATATATATGTAATACACTAATCAATGAGAAAACGAAATTAAATTTCAATATTGAACATAATTCAAAATTCAAATAAATTTCTAAATTATAATTACGATCACCTTTATGTCCGTCGTTGTCACTTTTCAGATTTTAACTGAAGACTTTCAGAATGCAAACAGTTTATATATGCTTATGCAGTGCATTGGTAAAAAATTCATTCATTTAAGAGCTTTATTTAATCTTTTCTTCCTTGTTCTCGTCTCCTTCGTTTCACAAATGTACAATTTTAAAAGAGAAAACCATCAAAAGCGAAACAAACTGACATAGCATTGTTAATGATATAATATGAATAAATAAAAGAAATCAATTTTATTTTTTGATAGCAATAATTGCATGATTTCGAGGTGAAATAACAGGATCAAATATTTTTACTAAAAATACTTTATCAGTATCACTCTCAAGCAAATACAAATAGCGATCGAGAAGAATTAAAGTTTCAACAATCTTCGATAAAAGGAGACGAATGAAGTAATTGAGATTAATCAATCGTCTATCATATTCATGGTCTTCTGCTAATTTTTCGATTTCTTCCGATGTCATATTTAACTCAATATTGAACTTTTTACATCCTTTCTTCAAGTAATCTTCAAAGTTCTTATGTCGAATCTTTCCAAGCTTGATAGACTTCCTTTCACCCACAAACCATTTTTCTTTGACTAATTTCTCGAATAAGGCACGATAAAATAGAGACTCATCTGGTAGTTCTTTTTTCGCAATAACACGATCTAAACTTTGTGATCCTAGCATTCTTGCATTTCTTCCAAGTTTGTACTGTTTCATTTGAAGATAATTTGACATTGGAAACGCAGGTTCATCTCGTTTGTCCATAACACGAACTTCATCGTCGAAGAAATCGTCTTCAAATTCTTCAAAAATCAAATGATAACAACATCCAACATTACACAATAACTTGATTGAATCATTTTTCACAAATTGTTTCAATGAACTTGCTGCTAAATTTCCGCATGTGTGTAAACCTACGAGACAAATATTGTTTGTTGCTTCTTCAGGAAATTTCTCATTCACGAGCTCATTTAAATTGGTTTGAGCAAAAATCATGCTCGATGCTGTTTTGTATCTTTCATTAGACATTTCAGTATCAACGATAACATTCTCGATATTATTTTTCAAAGCTTCTTTTGAAACCAAAGCTTTCCATTTTTTCGATAGTTTTTGATTTCTTTTCTCCGCTTCTTTTGTATTCTGTTGATTCCCATCAATACCAAGAACTTTAAGTTTAAATTCCAAATTCAAACGAGATGAAAGATATCCTTTTCCATCACCCACGTCAACGATAAAATGATTTCTGTCTCTCGCTTTCACAAGTGCAGCAATAATTCTTGAAATTATTTCTACTTCATGATTCTTCTTTTCTTTCATAAATTCGCGGATTGAAAGGTTGAGTCCTGAAGAAAAAGGAATGTTAAGATGATGAAACTTCTCAAGTAGTTCATCTGTCGTGTGGAAGAATTTATCTTCGAGATTTTCGAGATAAAAGCTCTTCATAAAATTTATATAGTTGTATAGGTTTCGATGCTTATGCAATAGTTCAGTTTTGGCATTATCTTGATGTAAAAATACTTCTATTGCAGTGTCTACATCTTCTTTGCAATTAATTTCGTTCCTGATATTTTCCGGGATGAATTTGTTCCATAGGTCATCGCAAAAATAAGAAACCATATGACAATTCACAAATTCACGAGGCTCCAACACTTGAATGATTCGATCGATTTGCTTTTGAAGTTTTAAAATTGTTAAAGATTTGCTGTTGAACATCATTTTATGTCTAAATTTAAAACGTGAGCTGAGATCGTTCTGGATATGTAACTTTAATCTTAAGAAGTGAAGTCAGCTTTTTGAACTGTGTCCGAATTGTATTAAGTGAATCAAAGAGATCTACAGTATCACAATTGACGTTGGGAAATGATTCAATGATGCTTTTCAATTGTGATATTAGATGAGAAACTTTTTCGTTGATTGGTGAAGGAATTTTTGAGTTTTCTAGAACACCGAGGTAAAAGCCAAGTTCAGCACCAATTTCTGCACCTCGGTGAAATCCTGCAAAAGCGAATAATAAATATAAATAATTTAATTTCACACATTTCATAACCAAGTTTGTTACCTAAATGATAAGCCTCTAAATTTCCCTCCGATACGCCTTTTTCAAATCCTTGCTTGTAGCCCTCCTCCGATATTCTTTCTTCACTCAAAAGAATGTTGTCAAACACTTGATTTATATCCATAGAATCATTTCTTGAATTTGTTTTCATTATTTCAGTGCCGATTTCCTACGTCTTTTGAGCGTTATATTCGACTGGAGACTTTTCTTGAATGTCGAAGGGAAGCTTTATAATGTTCGGGACAATATCAAATCGCTGATAAACTTTCTGAAAAATTCACAATTTTATTAGTAAATGAAAAACTTTGTTTCATTCCTGATGCGATTTCTACTTAACATTGGAATTTATTTAGTTTTTTTATGATAATTTAAATTTTTGAACAATGTTTCGTGATATTATTCAATAACATCATTTATGAAATTTTCCTAACCTCAACATTATTTTGAAAAATAAAATAAAATTATTTGGTTACTTTATCTCTTGAAAAAACAAAGATTTCACATTTGCATCATTAAAGTGTTTCATATTTCAATTAAAAATAATCATGCTGCATTCACGAATGCTTTCAAATTTCGTTCGTATTTCTTCAAGAACATTGAGGACATCAGCGATCAGAAAAAATGTGGAAGCCGCTCCTGCAGCGTCGGAAAAAATGACGATTCCAGTTCCAGAAGGAAGTGACAAGCCATTCAATCCAAAATTGGATTCTATTGTAAATCAAATATCAGCCCTCAACATTCTTGAAGTTTCAGAACTTAGCACTTTGCTTAAGAAAAAATTAAATATTCCCGACACTGCTATGATGCCTATGGGATTTGCACAAGCTGCACCCTCTGCTGCAGGTTAATAGAAATAAACATAAAGATATTATTGACATTAAATTATTATATTAATTTTATTCCAGGTGAAGATGATGAAGAAGCAGCTCCTAAGAAAGTTCAAACAGCTTTTAAAGTGAAGATTATTAAATTCGATACTACTCAAAAGGTAGCACTCATTAAGGAAGTAAAGAATCTTTTTGATGGAATGAATTTAGTGCAAGCAAAGAAATTCGTTGAAAGTGCTCCAACTATATTAAAGGAAGATGTTACAAAAGAAGAAGCAGAAAAACTCAAAGAAGCTCTAACAAAAGTCGGAGCTGAAATAGAAATCGAGTAGATAATAAGCATTTAGCAATACGTATCCAATAAATGATGTAGTTTAAAACTTCAATAAAAAACTTAAAAGAAGATTGTTGCATGCATTTTTATTATAATAATTTGCACTTTCTTTTTCCAACACGTATTTTTCTATTGTTTTGTTAAGTTTTCCAGTGCATTCACACGAATTTGATAGAAACAGTGGAACGCAATGGAAAACAGAACATTAACGTTTCATTTTCATTCTACTGAAGTGAAGCCAATGTTTTACTATTAAGAAAATTAAATCAAATTATTGAGAAATTCCCTGCTAAATAAAGTTTTCATCAGCTTAAAATATCTTGAAGTGTTGTTGAAAGTGCGAAATATTCGATCAAACATAAAATAACATCGCAAAAGAGTTGAAAAACAACAGAAAACTTTAGAAAAACAATTGTTAATTGTTTGGGTTGGCATAAACTCCTCAAAAAATCATTCATTAGAAGCATGCATAACGTTACAGCAGATCAGATTGAGAAGAACAAGCAATTGATACAGTTGGTTAAAGGCTATCCTCAAATATACAATCATGATCCAACTCAGCAACAAAACGGAGAGACTGTTGAAGAAATATGGGTGAAGATTGGACAGGAATTGCAGGAAACACGTAAGAATTATGAGCTTAATTATTCTCCATTTAGGTATATTTTTATAAAACAAAAATAATTTTTATTACGAACAGCTGAATCTTGTAAGAAGAAATGGCGATTATTACGATCATCATTGATTCGTTACATTAAAGTGTTTAAAGACAAGTCAACATCCAAGGGGAATCGTTACCGCCCTTATTACTTGCTTGAGCATATGGACTTTCTCTTGCCTTTCATTGATGACAAGAGTATCATTCGAAAAGTTAAACCAATAATAAAGTCACCACAACAGCAAACTGTTACAGTTGTCAAGAAAAATCGACCAGAGGAAGAAACAATTCTGTATACCTCAACTCCAAACACTATAACGTACAGCGTTCAAACAGTCGCAACGTCCAGCAAAGATTCTTCATCACAAGATATTAAAGCTGATGTTCAACAGCAAACTCAGGATATTCAACAATTTTATAATCATGCTGGTGTCAAAATCATTGGAGAAGATTATATCACAACATACCCATCAGGAGAACAGCTGATTTATCAAACGTCAAGTGGCCAGACTGTTGAGGAGATGCAACAACAGCAGCAGGAATGCATTCAGCACGAAACAGAACAAAATGAATGTGTTCAACAAGATTCTCCATCGAAACAACAAATGACAAATGCTACAATTATTCCGATTCCAAACGTAAGCAACGTCTTTTCAAGCACGAATCCAAGTGAAGCAAGCGATCTTTACTTCCTCATCGGTCTCTTACCTGATTTCCGTAATTTGAGTCATGACGCTAAACGTAAAGTCAAGATAGGAATCCTTAAACTGCTCGACGATGCCGTCACCAATTAAAGAGTAAAAAGTATAAACGAAATAATTCAAGTCATATCTTGAATGGACATTTTTTTCTCTCGACAGTTTTATTATTGTTTTTTAAAGATTTTTTTTTTCTGATACGTGTAACATTCACGTTAGTAAACATTTCTTTTAACGCTCGCTTTCTTACTCACACATACATTTGAAATAAATCATATAGAATACGTTGGTGGAACTTTGTGTAAAACAACAGTTTTTGTTCCCTTTTTTGACATGTTAATTTAAATATAAAATTGAAATTAATAAAAATGGTGAATATTGAAAATATATTGACAAATCATTACTTTTCAATCATGTCAGGATTTGCAGCAAGTCTGGCAAGTTTCTTTGGAAAGATGATGACTTGGACGCAGGAAAACAATTCGGTTAGCTCGCTACTCAAGAATGAATGTTGTTGCATGTTGTATGTTTCAGTGTTGCATGTGATACGATGCCATATTACATTTTTTTCGTGTGTTGTCGCTTCGGTTTTAAGAAATATTGTTTATTTTTGCAAATAACTTGCAATATCAAGTGAATTTTTAGGGAAATTAATCGAAAATGTATCAAGTAACAGCCTCACAAACTGAGCAAAATATCAAACTGGTAAGAAATTAGATTTTATAAGCAATTAAACGTAATTTGAAAACTCTCTTCTCTTTTTAGATCTCTATTATAAAGAAAAATCGTTGTCTTTACGATCACAGTGATCCAAACTATAAAAACTCAGTGTTTGTGGATCGTGGATGGCAAGATGTATCTAAAGAATTTGGTGAGCCAGTCTCCGATTGTAAGAAAAAGTGGCGACATCTTCGTTCGAGTCTTTCACGATATCTCAAATCCAGCAAAGATGAATTAAAAAATAAAAGCAATAAACTCAAACCATATTACTTATTAACTCATATGAACTTTCTTGTTGTAAGTATTAATGTTTTATATTTAAATATATTTATGCAAGTTTATAAATATTTTTGTTTTAGCCTTACACGAAAACTCTCGACACAAAGTCTGATCTTGTCGTTTGTAATAAATTTGATCCACCCGACGAAAATCAAGTGAGCTTTGATGAAGAAATGAAAACAGAAGAAGAGCCGACTTCTTTTCAGCATGAAATCATTCAAGATGAAGACTCGCATGAAATTGAGAGCAACATTGTGTATGAAGCGTATGAGATTCAGGAACAAATTCCAACATCCTCAGCGACATCTCAATCACAACCAAAATCACAAATAACACTTGTTCGATCATCACATTCAAATACTAATCCGAATACAAGTGTTCAACAGCTTCCATTAACAATAGGCTCTTCAAAGTCTCAACCACAGACTCTACAGTTGAATGCTTCACAAATCTCACAATTTCAGCCACAACAATCTCAAAATCAAACTCAAGCGTCACTTCCAATGCAAAACACAATCATACCGATACCTGATGATCAGAGCTCAGCAGATTTGAATTTTTTCCTTGCTCTCTTGCCTGATATTAAAATTATGAATCAGGAACAGAAACGAAAACTTCGTATTGGAACACTCAAGCTTATTGATAGTATTTTATCAAACTCCAATTAATAAAAACAATTTGAGAATGTTTAAATGTAAATTTGCTTTCTTTTAATGAAAAATAAAAAAAGAATATCAGGAATTTCCTTTCTTCATTTATCTATCATATATTCATTTATTTATCACGTAAAATATTTAACAAAGATTTAATTATCTAACTAATTTCATTTCCATCGTAGGAAATTTCATTAATTCAACAAGGAGTTTTCTTCGGACTTATGCTTGCTTCAAATGCAATGGTCTGGAGATACTTTGTGAGAGGTCTGCATGCCAATGACAACAGCACATTGATCCCTACAGTTATATCAAATGCCTCAAATTATATCGTTTCTGGCTTTCTCGGTGTGTTAATCTTTAAAGAGATAACAAACTTCTTATGGTGGATTGGAGCTTCAATGATTTTCCTTGGAATGTTTCTCATAATATCAGAGGATGAAAGAATAGAAAATAAACATAATAAAATTAAATAACGCAACAATATCATTTTTACTTGTCGTTATAAATTAAAATTTAAAAAAAAACAATTTCTCATCAAACTAATCTTTGGTGTCGAGATTCAGTTCAGGAAATATCTCAGCAATTACCACGTCAATAAGACAATACGCCAATTGTTTATTTAGCAGGGGATACTGAAGTAAACATAGAATATTTCCTAAATTCTTATTAACTTTTGATACTTGAACCATGGCGAGATGTCTTTGTTTATTCAATTCAACATCAGTTGGATCAACAGTTGGGTTTGAGTCGAAAATTTTCTCTTTTAATTCGTCTATCAATTTTGCTAAAATGGTTTGATTGATGATTTTATGTAAAAGTTTTCTGACGAGTTCAATAATGATGAAGTCAGAGTCAGGAAGAAGGGAGAAAAATCCTCTCACTATTCTCACAATAATGTCGTTAATATTCAATATTGACACTAAAAATGTTATTGCACTTTGAGTGGAAGTTTTCAATTTTTTCACATCGCAATAATCTTGACCTATGTAGCCGCCAAAACTTTTTGTAATATTAAAAAGATTTTTGTACAATTGAACATTTTTTAGTCGATTTGGGATGATTTTTCGTTTCCGATTATTTTCTTCTTCTCTTGTCTGTATTAAAGCAACGTCTTCACCTATATCCGCTTCTTGTTCAATTGAATGGAAGAATGCTTGCATGAAGGTTTCCAAATCTTGGCCACGTTCCTTTCGAAGTTTAATAGCAACTGAGTTGTAATAACTGGACGGTTCCAATGGATGATCTAAAGCATCCCAAATAGGAATCTCAGTAGCTTCTAAACCTTCAACTGTTCCACCACGAATACTCATCACACTTCTTAGCTTTGTTGAAAGTTTTTGATGAGGCATGGAACTGTCATTGATGTCAAATCCTTTAGCTGCCTCATAAGTTTTTGTCGTATCATCTCGATCACCATAAATGAGTGGAAAATATTCAGCACTTCTTGAAAAACCTTTCTTCCATTTAGATTCGAGTTTTCTTCGAGCAAGATCGTGTGCTTTGAAAAGGTCACTTGGCTTTGGTTCCGAATCATCAATTAATTTATTTTGATATAGTTCCAAGAGCTTCACTGATTTTAATTGCAATTCTGATAGTTTAATTGGATCACAAATGACATCATACTTGCCAAGTTCCACATTTAAATGTTCAACATCTAAATAAAACTTCAAGAGATCAATATCGTTATTGCTCTTGTTTTTAAGATGTTGCATAAAACTATAAAGTTTTTCTTGGTCCGTGAAGAAATTTCCAGCAATATAAAACTCTTCCTCTTCCTCATCATCGTTTTCAGATTTCAAATTCATCTCAAATTTTTTAACAAAGTTCTCAAGCAGAACAACTTCTTTTCCACTCTTTTTAACTTGAACTTTTCCATGAATTTTAGGATTTGTTGCTAGTATCACAAGTGAATTAATAATTGCTGGATCAGCAATGGCATCCATCATTGGTAAAAGCACCGCATGTGTCAGAATTTCTCGTAAAAGATTCAAAAGAATATCACATTCTAGATGATTTCGAGAAATTAAAAATGGTTGAAAATATTTGGAAAATGAACGTAAATAAGTAATTTCTGAGTTTCTATTGAGTGTTGCTTTGTGAATTAGATGCTCATTGCCTCTGTATAATTCAATTATTTGTTCTTCTTCTAAATTCGCATTATGAGTCAATTCTTTAAAAAGGTTCATGTGAGAGTAAACAACAGGTAAAAGTTTTGTGCTTATCATCAATGAGTAATCAATCTGAAAAACAAATAATTCATTTCGTTACAAACAATATATGTTTAGAAAAATGTTATCTTACATTATTAAGCCTAAGGGCAAGTTTTTTAAGAGCTTCAGCTATTTCTATTTTAACACTTAAAATGAAAGCTTCATCTTGACATAGCTCCGTGTACCAGGATTGTAAGAATGTTTCTATAATTTTTTTGAAGAAACTTTCGATTGCTGCATCTAATTCTGCAGTCACTTTGATTTCGCCTTGATTAACATCATCAGGTGGTTTTCTTTTATTGTAACTTATATCAACTTGCAGAAGAGATGTTACAAGAGTTTGTACTTTGATTTTCGATTCATTATCATGTATTATGTAAGCCAGAATCATAAATGATCCAACACAAACAATAATAATTAGAAAAACTGCAATATTCCATCTAAATAAAAAAATTTTTTTTTGTTATCAGTATCCCACTATTTTTTAACCATTTTAATTACCTTAAAACAATAGTGATGACACAAATAAATGCTACAAGTAATAAAAACTTCAGAGCTTTTGTGTCTTTAGTTAAATTTCTGAATATTTCGATATATTTTCTCATTTTTATAAAAAATTTCTTCGTGTTTACTTTTTCTATATCGACATAAAGTCATACGAAAGGCACTTAAACCCCTCTAATATGATCAATTTGAATATTCCGTTAACATTTTAAGATTGTCTTCGATTCTTTAAAAATACTTTTAAGAAGGATGCTATTAAAAAGATAGCAGATAAGACTACAAAATAACTTCCAAACACTAAAAATTGATTGCGAGGTGAAAGTTCCAAACCACTTTCTGAAATTATTACAATGGTCATGATGGTTTGAATCACTAAAGCCAATAAAGTGTTAATTCCAAATATCAATGCAAAACTATCTTCAACTAAGTTTTTCGCTACAGTTGCACTTGCAAGTGTTATCATAAACATATAGAGAATACCAAATAGTATGTACATAACATATGCAACCCAAACACTTGATGTTATTGATGATATTACAATCATTATTCCTTCTACAAAGCAGCATAATGAGAGGATCCATAAATCAAATTTTTCAAAAATATCACTAGGAATAAATCCTGCAATTAAACAACTTATTGCTCCAAGTAAAGTTAATGCAGCTTCAACAGCACCATTGAAAAAGTTTTCTTGTTTCGGGTCAATTTCTTGCCATAAAAGTTGAACATAACTTTGAATTATTAGAAATCCCGCCATTGCAAGTGCCCACCAAATGGACCATACAAGAACTGTCTTACTACTGTAAGCTTGTATAAAATGTTCCCAAAGTAGGTTTTTTGCCCGAGTCCATGAAAATGTTGGCTTTATTTCTGTAGACTCAAATACAGATTGTTGCAATGAATTTAAATCTTTTAAGGCTTCCGTCATGTTTGTATTGTCTTTCTCCATTGTTTTGTTAGTATCATAACTCCACATGTAGATGCTGATACCAACAGAAGGCAAACAAATTGCGATAACTAAGGAAATCATTTGAGCTAATAAAATTTTCAATCAATTTAATGAAAACCTTTTAAATTTTTATCGACATTCAACTCACCACCAAGAGAAATGTAATTAAGTTCTCTGATGTTCATCAATTCAAATGAAACGAGTATTTGTGCAATCACAGATGCTATAAAACGACCCGATAATAAAGAAGCTCTTGCATGACCTGTCACTTTTTGATATTTATTTTTCTCCACTTTGGCATACATGTAAGTGAAGTAAGCAATCTCGGCGGCCATGAAAAAACCATAACAAACTTGAACGAAATAAAGTGCCAGCAATGATGATGTCCATAATAATAGCGACCACATTATAAGGGCAACAACAGCCGATACGATGATGATTGGTTTGTATCTAAAATTTTAAATTAATTGATTTTATATTCAACTTGGCAAGCAAATTGAATGTTACCTCAAAATGTCAGTTACTAAGAATACCAAGCATAACTGTGCAAGATACATGTAGGTCCCAAATGGATAAATCTCACGATTAACTTGTTCCGACGTTACATTTCTCCATACTCCGTTCGATAAGAATTCTGTCACCTTTAAAGAAACTTTTTCTTATTATTTATTTTTATACTCAGGAAGATTTTTGACTCACAAATGGTTCATTTGGTCTCATTTCCCGAAAGAAACCAAAACTGCACAGAATCAAAGTTATTTTAATCCACTCTTTCATTCTCCAAGTAGATATTTTCTTATTGGCGTAATTGCGATAAATTATTTCCTAAATGACTTTTAATTGTCTTATCTAATCAAATTCAAATATCAATCCGAAAATCAAATACTTTTATATGCTTCCGCTTTAACATGCGCTGATGAAGTGTTGATGTAGACTGAATTTCTCTGTTTTGGTTTTTTTCTCTTCTCTCTCGTCACTCATTTGGGTATTAATTGCTGTCTGAACATATATTTTACACACACTTCAACAGATTAAATTTGATTCACGCGGCTATTCAATATGATTAAAAAGCTGATTAAGAAATTCACGTGCTACTAACACATAAAACTTAACACCAATTAATAAAATTGCTTCAAAAGCTTAAAGCTTTTCATTTAAAGTCATAAAATAGGTATTAATTAGAGGAAACTCAAAATAATAAATATCAAGAGTATTGTTATCAATTAATTAGTACGTTATGTCACAACTTCAGTAACATTTATTCTTCTATTTTACGAGACAATTTTATGCTGTTAAGTATTTCTTGAAATCTTGACAAATATTCGGAAAATAAAAAAATCAAATTATATGTACATTTATATTATGTTTTACGATAGATATTAATTGATTATTTATGTTTTATGTAATGTCATGTATAATGCTTGCTATGAATATCATTTTTGATTTTTAACAGTTTAAATTTCAGTAATAAATGTACTGTTAAGACCAAAACTTGTTGAAGAGTTGAGAAAGTTTCCAAAAGTTGTGAGATCATTTGGGAGATCTGAAGTCATCATTGGATTAGACGTTGATGAGAAAAAAGTAGCAATAGTCGGTATGAGCTGCGTTGTTGTCATGACAATAGCTGTAGTTGTTGTTTCGATTTCATCGGGCTTCTTTGGAACGTATGGATACTGCGGGCACGGGTATGCAATTGGCGGTCCCAACATATTCTCAAAAACGTACCCAACAAGGGAGCCTGCCGTAAGTCCCGTCATATAAGATATTGTCATAATATTTCCCGCCATTTCTTTCAAAGGTGCAGCAACCTTTTGTGGTGCAAGCAACATCGGTAGACTTCCAGCAAGTCCATTTGATACACCTAAAGCAGCTGTGAAGACAAAAGCTGGAAGTTCTCCAGAGATTGTTGGATTTTTCCTTGGAGCAACACAAAGGAGAAGAAGTGGAATAAGAAGTGCCCTTAAAGATGACATGAGAATAAGCTGCCTTCGAGACCATCCATAAGGAACTGCTGCCAAAATTTTTCCCTAAATTTTTTTTTATTTTTTTTTACTGGAAGCAAATATTAAAATTAATTTTCTTTTACTTACAATAACATCAGTTGTGTTAAAAGTGAACATGAGAAGAACAGGCATCCATTCATTTTTTAAGTTACAGGAAATAATTTCCGATTCAAGTCCAGGATAAAGTGCCAAAGTGACACAATAAGCTAAGGCAATGCATGTCATGTAAGGAAAAATTGCCTTCGCAACTTTAATTCTTTCGTCCATTCCATCTCTCAATCGACGAAAGCTTCGGAAGCTGTTTGTTGTGCCAGGAGTTGACAGAACATGTTCAACTTTGTAAGCGGTCCCAGGAGCATTTCCACTGGGGGATGAGAGAATATCATGATTGAGTGTTGCAGTTACGGCACTCGAATTCATTGACGATTCATTGGAACGAATTAATGACGATTCTAAATTTCCATCACCACTTCCGATGGGATTTGAAAGTTCATAAACTGGATTACTGAAACTGAGAGCAGGTTGGTTGGAAGGTGGTGGCGTGTCTAAATTCAAAACACCATAAAGCGATGATCCATCAGGTTCCTAAAATATTTTATTTTCTCGAATATCTTCATTCCTTCGACATAAATTAATATTTACCTCATCTGGCCTCAAAACAATCTTCGTACATGATTTCAGATGATATCGAATGAAAGGAGAATCAATTGTGATCACATGAAGAACATAACTTAATGCAATATAAACAGTGGAAGTCAGGAAGAAGATAACAGTTGATATTTTATCATTTTGAATGAGAAGTTTTGTTGCAACTCTATTTGTTGAGACTAAAAATCCGGCAATGCTTTCTCCGGTCATCAAAGCTTGAGTATATTTTTTCTTTGGTAATAATGCCGCAAAACCGTAGAATGAACTTTGTTGAACAGTGCAACCTATAGCAACAAGACTGACTGCTGCTAAATTGACTGAGTATGCAGTTTGAGCTGAGAAAAGATGCCATGCAACTTCGCAAAGTGCAATGAAGACTAATGTTACAAATGATATGATATAACCTGGTCAAGAATTAAAAAAGGAAAAGGTGAGAAGCACTGATTAAAAATATGAGATCTTCAATTAACTTACCAAACAATATTCTTACTCGAAATGGTGCGAATGATAAGAAAATATTGTTTAATAAAACTGATGCGAAAGCAACGATGATGTAAGTGCAGCTGAGGTCAAGTTCAACTGATCTTAATGGGAATCTCACACTCCAATAATCTGAAGCAATTATAAAAGAATTGTAAGGAAGAACAAATCCAATACCAGCAGTTAGGAGTGAAAGGTATACGATGTTTTTTTGATCTTTTGGCGCATTTGCATTTGAACTGTGGTCAGGACTTGAATCGATGAAATTCCTTGCCGTGCTTCCTAATGGTTCATAAGTTGTGTTCCTAGCATCATCATTCAATTCGATTCCTTCCATCATTTTTATCTTGCTTGCTCGTTCGTTCGTCTTCTCTTGTGTGGAAGTTTTCTTCTTATTGAGTTTTTCACGGATTCGTGTTTGTTGTTGTTTTATTGGTTTTCTTCCAAAATGACTATTTACATATCTAAAGTGCACAACTTAACAAGTTAAAGCTCAAATTGAGCTTACAACAACACTTTCTCTTACTTGTAAGCTGTTTATTGATCAATTTTACCAGAATTTCTACAAAAGGTATAAACGAAATTGGAAAACATGTTTACTCGGCAGAGTGAATTTTCACTACTATTCTTAACACACGAAACTTTTTGAGAAAAAAAGCGATGAATGGGAAAGAGAATGAAGAACGTTGCACATGCGCAATCTGAAATTTTCCAATTGTTTACATTCAAAAACCTAAACTATTTCGAAAACTGTATGAAAAGCTTGACAAGACTGTCATGTGAATAAATTCATTTCAATTTTTATTAAATTCTTTATCTCTAACGAGGCAAAGGATATTATTCTCTGTTCAACACTCTTAACCCCTTGAACAATCTTAAATTCAAGAAAAGACGATTAATTCATGCCTTAACGTCTCGTTCTATCAAAACTAACCAAGCTACAGAAATTCACATCTTGATGAACTAGAAAATATGTCAACAAATAATCATTTAATTGACGTGTGAACCTGAGGCTTCATAATGAATAATAATAAGAGATACTACTGCAGCTACGATAGCTAAGGATTTTGTAGTGTACTAAGATCAAGATTTTGATGAAAATGGAAACATTTTTGCTGCAGTTTTCTTTCAAGGCTTTCACTCTTTTTGTAAATTTATAAATCTTTAAACTGATATTTTTTTAAGAATTGTTACTGGGAGTGAGTTGTAGAACATCATAAAAGATGTTCCTGACCTACCCCTTGAATTTTCTCTCACAGAAGGCAGAGAATGTAAACAAAAGTTTTAGTCATCATCTGTTATCTCATAACTTTTTCTGTTTCAAACAAGATTAAACCTACAAATATAGGAAAGTTATCTGAACATGAATAGCGGTGAGTAGATTTATAAATTGAAAATCATAATAAAATAAATGTTGATTACTTATATGTTTAATTAATTAGAAGAAGAAGTTCCATTTTGGATTCCTTTTCATGGTGAAATTATTCCAAAGAATACCGTAAAAGGTGGAAAAGAAAACAATCAAAAATTATATATTGGAAGATCTCATCATCATGGATCATTGACTCCTGGTAAAGTTCTTGAATCAGAAAGAAATTGCATCATTCCTTGGGGAACAATTTCAAACGTAAAGGAAGATTTCGAAATTCTCATCTGCTCGACGAATTACAATTGGGTAGCAGCTGAGAATGGAAGTGTACCAATAAATGCGTTTCCTGCTGGTCATAGTGAACAGGGAGAAACTTTATTCATTGGTCGGGTATTCCACGAAGGTTCATTGATTGTTGGGAAAATTCAACAAAGTCATCGTGTTTGTTACATCCCTCACAACGATGAGGAATTGAATTTTTGTAAATATGAAGTGCTAGTTGTTTAAGAATGTCTAAATAAACTTAAGTTTTCACGTTTTATTAAATAATCTTTACAAAATATATAAAAAGAGCATTAAAGGAATGAACAAATGAAAAAAAAAAACAATATCAACATACAATTTTTTTAATTTCTGGGATTTCCACCTTCAGAATCACCGCCGCAGTTACATTTTTCCCGCATTTCTATAAATTTGTTGCTTTGTTTTTGATATGTTGTCTTCAACTTTTGATATTTCACTGCAAGCGTTTCTGACTCGATCAGCTTTTTTTCGTAAGCTTCACTTAAGGAAGTGACATCAGCTTTTAACTTTTCCATGTCGTCCAATCGAAGAGCACATATTCGTCGTGCCATGTCGTACTTTTTTCTAACAATGTCAAGTTCTTTCTGTACTTTTGCTATTTCATTTCCATTGTCTTCAGTCTCGATTTGATTTTCTTTCTCTTCATACTCTTGAATTTTCTTTTTAAGAATGGAATTTTCAGCTTTAATCGTAACAATTTCTTGAGTTTTTTCGACATTCTTGGACATATTTTCTTTCGTTTCAAGAACACTTTCCAGATCGTTAATCTTCTCTTCTTGTTGACGACATAATCGTTTAAATTCATCCAGATTTCTCTCAATTTGCTCATATTCAGTCTGTAATGCAGATTTTGATTTATGATTAGTTTATTAAAGTATGAACATAAATTTATAAAACTTACTTTTGCTACAAAATTATCACCATGCTTTTGACTAGATTTGTTCTCCTCTTTCAATAATTTTGCAACCTTCTCCAACTCTTTAAGTTCAATTTCACAGTCAGATAACTTTCTTGAAATTGTCTCAAGTTTAGATTTAGTTTGTTTATGTTCACGCTGTTCCTTGGCCAGCATTTTCTTTGCATCATCAAGATCAAGTTTTAGAGGATTGTGACGTTCAAATCGTTCTAATGTTGAAATCTTGCATTCACGTAAGCGAACCTCGATTTGCAGCTCTTTGACTTTGGCAGTCAACTCTGAACACGCACACATTTCGCTGACATTATCAGTTTGTGTATCGACACTTGAAAAACGTTCCCAAGCAGACAAGCGACGATTATCGTCATGAACACTTTGTCGCCGATGTTTCCGCTGACATTCCTTCTCTGTTGATCTTTTTGGTGTTCCACGATGTGGCCCATCAAGAACCAACAACTCATTATGAGACGCAAAAAGTTCATTTCGTTTCTCAGGTGATGATTTTTTAGACTTCTTAAGTTCCTCGAATTGATAAAACAAAGCTTCGTGATCTTCTGTCAATTTCGTGATTGTTTTTAAGAGATTAGAATTTTCTAATTCTTTTCTGGCAGTCATTTCGCGAAGTTCAGTGATTTGTTTATCAAGACTTTTATTGCTCTTCATCAATTCCATCTCAAGTTTTGACTTTTCTTCTCGTAATTGTGAAAGCGTCTCATCAAGAATCGTATATTTGACATCATTATCACTACATTCAATCTTCAACTTTTCATTTTCAATTTGGAGATTTTCGACATCATTTGAATATTCACTTTGAAGTCTTTTCAATTCTTTTTCAGTGATCACTTTCTTTGCTTCAATTTCACCAATTGTTTGAGTGAGTTTAGAGTTTTCTTTTTCCAATCCAAGAATAATTTTCTCAGTGTCAGTCGAACGACGCTTTTGACGAAGTTTAATTTGTTCGCATTCCTCAGTTCGCTCTTGAAGTTGTTGACGTACCAATTCGATGTCTCTCATGATGACAAGTTCTTTGGATTTCAAATTTGTATTTTCAGCATCGAGTTTTGTGATTGTTGATTGGAAATCTTTAGATGTTGTTTTTACTTCCTTCAGTTCTGTTGAAATTGAATCGATTTTAATTTGCAATGACTTAAATTCTTCATCGAGTGACGATTTATCAGCGAGAACTTTATCGAGCTCTGATTTAAGTGACTCAACTTCTGATGTAAACCTTCCCAATTCTTCTTTTTGTTGATTAATTTGGTTCAACATACATGTTTGTTTTTCTATAGTAGTTTTTTGTTCCTCATCTATCAACGTCTTTTCTTTCGTGAGATTCTTTAAATCATCTTCAATTTCACTTCGACTCTTCTCCAATTCAAGGTTTTTCTCTCGAACTTCTGACAATTCTTTCAGCAAATTTTCCACTTTTTTGTCATCATCATTCGTTGTTTGGTTGTTAATATTATTTTGCAATTCTTCAATTTCATGATTCTTATCTGCAATGTGAGTCTCTAAGATTCGATTGCATTCTTCTTTCATCTTCAGTTGAGTTTTGATTTCATCAAATTTCTGTTTATACACTTCAAGCTCACCGAAATATGATTCAGCGGAAAATGTTACTTCTTTGAGTTCCTTTTGAATTGTTTCAACATATTTATTAGCTGTTGAGAGTTGCTCATTTAATTTCTCTTCAAGTAGATTCTTTTCAGTGACAGTTTTTTCAGATGAAGCTTTTTCTTCTTCAACTTCTTTTGTTAAATTCGCAATAACTTCCTCGTTTCCTTTCAGCAACATTTCCCGATCTTTCAAACTTAACTCAAGCGTTGCTAATTTATCTTCCATCAACTTCAATTTATTACGCAATTCTTCAGTTTCTTCAGTGATCGCTGATGTTGCAAGTGCTTCAAACTCCTCTGTTGCATTTGTTGAAGTTGACTCAGTCATTTTTTCTTTCTCCACTTGCTTAAGTTGCTCTTGCAGATCATTTAAATGTATTTCGAGATCAAGAATCTTTATTTTAAGTTGCGAGTTTTCTTCGACATCGTGTTGCAGATTTTGCAACTTTTCATATTGCATTTCATTTTTTTGTTTGAGTCTCTCGATTGTCTCATTTTTGTTTGAATTTTCTAATTGGATTTCTTCAATTTTGAAGTTCAGATCTTCAATTTCTTTCTCTTTCTTTGACTTCAAAGCTGTAAACTCGTTCGAGACTCGCTTGTAATCTTTTTCGATATTCTTAAGTCGCGCATTATCTTCGGCCAAGGACATAACAGATTTAAGTTGATCTTTTAAGTCGATAATTTCTAAAGTCATTTCATTTGCTTTCGCAGCCATGTCATCTTCAAGTTGCTTGATTTTTATATCTTTTTCTTCAATATCTTGATTAAGTTTGTCTTTATTAATAATAGCGACAGACGCTGCCTCTTCTGTCTCGTGTTTAAATTGTTTTAGACTTTCGATTTGTTCTTTCATTTCTCGATTGCTTTCAACATATCGCATCAATTCCTCACTAAGCTTCTCTATATTAATTTTATCTTCTTCAAGCTTTGCCTTCTGCTGTTCTACATGTTGATTCATTTCTTGCAACTGGAGTAAAGTTGAATCATATTGATCTCTCAACTCACTTATAGATTCTTTACTTGATTCTTGGATTGTTGGAAGCTTTAATCTCAAGTTTTGATTTTCATTGCGAAGCTTCTCAGCATCTGTTAAAACCTCGTCAAAGTTTTTAATCGATTGTAGCCATTTTAATTTTAAATCAATGAAGAATTTAATCAATGGATCATTGCCATCGTCAGTTTCAACAGCAGCAGTTTCATCATGGAAATTATTTGCAATTTGCTCGATGACAAAACATCTCTTAGAGTTAGAATCATTTTCATATTTAATTTTTTCAAACTCTTCAACTTTCTTTGTTAAGATGTCATTGTCTTCGACAGAGTTTACAAGTTGTGTTGAGATGTCTTCATTTTCTTTAAAAACTCTTACCAATTCTTTTTGCTTTTCAGCGATTTTAAGTTGAAGTTTCTCGTTCTCAAGCTTTGTTTCTTCGATACTTTTTTCCAATTCTTTTATTTTATCCATTGAGGCTTTGACTTCGTCATTTGATTGGAGATGAAAGAGTTTTTCTTCAGTTTTCTTGAGATTCTCTTCTAAAATTTTATTTTTTTCTATGATGATTGAAACTTTTGAATCACTTCGTGCTTCTTCTAAACTCAGAATTAATTCATCTTCACGTAATTTTGCTCGTTTTTTGAACTCATCAAACTCATATTTTATACTTTCAACAATGTTGTCGGCTAACTGTTTGTCATTCCAAGCTCTTTCACAATCTTTTTTCATTTTTCCAGCTTCAAGTTCAGAGTTTTCCTTTTCTCTTATTTGCTTTTCAAGACCTTCATTTTTCAGTAATAAAGAAGAAATTTGATCTTTGGACTCTTTAACTTCGTTTTCAAGAGTGTTACAAGCTTGTTTCAATGTGATTATTTCTATTTTCTTGAAGTCCTCTAGCTCAACAATGTTCTCTTCCAAGTAACGAATCTGAGCTTTATAATCTTCAGTTGTAATAGTCTTTGAAATAATAGGCGTGGGTTGTTGAGGTAAATGTTTAAACGCTTTTGGTGTTGAGATCATATTGCACAAATCTTCTTCACTGTAAGCTCTAGGAGTTAGTGATAAGTCAAGATCTATTTCATTCGCAGGCTTAAAAATTTCATCACTACTGCTGCCGTCATTATTTTCAGCCGATGGCGATTTCTTGTTTGAAGAATGGTCGAGAAGAAATGGTGGCACTCTTGACTCAAAATTATTTGATGGAGGAGCAGTTGATAATAAAGCTCCATAATCATTGACAGTTGCTGATGGGCACCAAGTACGACGACGATTTACATCTACTGCTTTCATATTTGTCACATTATGTGAATGAAGGAATTGTTTTTCGAGCAAATTGATAGCTTCTTGAATTTTATTAAGAGCAAGGCACTAGAAAAAGAAGAAAAGTTAAATCATACAAATACTTAATAAAAATAATTTTTAGTTTTTTTTTACATTATCAACACGAGATTTTTCATCAACAAGCTGCTTTTTTAAAACTTGAATCTCTCGTTCCATTCTTTTTATATAAGCTTGTTCAGTAAGAATTTCATTGACCTTTGGACGGTTTTTAACTGCTTGTGCATTCTGCGCGAATCTGTGGAATTTAGAAAATCAACATCAGTAACATTTCTTATCGTGAAATAAATTATGTCTTACATTAAAGTGAAATAAGTTTCATCGAGTGCTGCAGGTGTAACTGTGCAAATGATTCTCGTCATTGCATTGCCTCCAATGCTAGCTGAGAGAAGCCTTGTAAGTTTAGAATCGCGATAATTAACGTAAACTGCATTTGAGTCAATCTGCATTAGTGTTCTTATGACGTTGCCTAACGCCAAAAGACTTTTGTTGATGTGGCCACCTTCTTTAAGACGATCGCCTTCAGCTTTGGTTTGAACAGCACGTTCAGAACCAGCAAGATCAACGAGATTCAAACTTGAAACTTGAACTGCACATTCTTCACTTGTTTTACCAGCTTCTCTGGATTCAATAACAATTCTAAAGATTGTATGTGATCGACTTGACCGCTCATTCATGCTTGTCTCTCCAGTTCGTCTTGCTTGGTTTCCTGCTTCGTAATTCTGAAGAATTTGTTCTTCGCTTACTGCTATAATTTCTCTTTGTTTCACTTGAAGTTCACCATTACTTGATTCTTGAACCTTTGTTATTTCAGGCTTTTTATCCAACAGCAGGTCGTAAATCTTTTCGTTGTAGATCTCAATGTAGCCAAATCGAAGAAGAAATTCACGGTCGTCAATATTTTCAATTTGCTCAAAGATTTCATGAACTGTAAGTGGAATGATTCCAGGACTACTCTCACTTCCCATCATTGTATGTGTCTGTAAAAAGCGCAATAAATTACAAGGTTAAGTTTTTTTTCCTTAAATTTCAGAAATTTATTTTTCTTGGCTTACTTTTCCGCTAGACGTTTGTCCATATGCGAAAATTGTCCCATTGATACCTTTGAGCGAAGATGACACAATAGGTTTTGCAAGATCATTAAAAAGTTCTTGCGTGCTTCTAGTTTCATCGTAAATATGATCTGTTGAAAAGATTGTGGGATAAAAGGATTAAGTTAGATGTTTTATCTTATCATATGATTTTTTAAAGATTATTTAAAAGACTTACCGAAATTCATTTCATATTGTTTGTCATTTGATTTAATTATTTTCTCTTTCACGCTCCATACTGGACTCAAACCTTCGTTTATTTCGCGAGGAATCAAAGGACGAAATTTTATGTACACTTGAATAGCTTGTTGCATTGTGTTTGAAGTGCCAGAAACAATTCTTTTGATTTATTTAAGATGAATTTTACTTATTTATCAATTTGTCAACCTTTTTATACATAAAGGAAACATAAATATAACACAAAAATCTTTCAAAACAATTCCGGAAATCTTTTTGTTCTTACCAGGTTGTTTTGTTTTTGAACTTTGAATACTGAATTTAACGGATTTTACTTCAGCACTGTATAATCATTAATTACGTTAAGTCGCTACGTTACGTCAAAACGATCACCGATAACCCTTCAATTATTCACTTTACAAGTCTGATAATTAAGTAATGTTTCAAAATATATAGGTACCTAGATAGCTTATAAAAGTCTCATTCGAGAGAGTTTAATTTCCTTTTTCTAATTATTATTCATCATATCTATTTTCTTTACAAAGGGGCATGTAACTAAGAAGGTTTCAAATGAATTGAAAGTCACAATCCTCTTGTTTACAAAAATTTTCACGACACGTAATATTTTGGTAAAGGTTCTTTTAATATAGTCTTCAAACAGTTTAAAAACATCAAAAATGAAAAGATTACAATGGATTTTCATGCTAACATTTGTTAGTTTGTGTATTTTTCTTGTTCTCGTGAATTGTAATGATCTCAAAGGATTTGATGACAACAATCTTTTCTCACTCAATTGGCCAGGGGAAAAATTATTGGTAAGATGCTCCAAATTAAGAGATCCATTTCTAGACCTAATCAAATTTTTTTTCGTAAAGGATATTCCAACAGATGCAGAGAGCATAATCGTCACTAGTCATGCTAAAGAAAAATATCAATGTTATCTACCAAAGCTATCACAAAAAGACGATGCTGAGAATCCATCAACATTAGAAACAAGCGCTCTTGATTATATTGAGCCGCTTTTCACAGGTGATGTTTGTTCATACCGAATTGAATCTTATTGGACTTACGAAATATGTCATGGAAATTATATTAAACAATATCACGAAGAAAGAGATGGAAAAATGTCAAAAGTTCAAGAATATTATCTTGGTAAATGGAATAAAGAGATGACTGTGGAACTTCGTAAGAAATTAGAAAGCAATAAAGATGAGAAGTTAAAATTTAAAAAAATCGATGGGCTCAACTTGCCATACTTTGAAGTGGAAATGACTGATGGGACAATTTGTGATTTAAATAATGAACCTCGAGTGACAAGAGTTCTTTATGTATGCTATGCTCATGGCAAAAATGAGATTTTCTCCTTAAAAGAAACTTCAAGTTGCAACTATGAAATCGTTGTATTAACACCTAATCTTTGCTTACATTCAAAATACAAAGTTCAAGATACAAAAGATAACGCAATTAACTGCTTTCCATTGGAGAATGCGCCGAAGAAACCAAAAAGTCTTTTGGCTATGGAAGTTGAAAGCATGAAGCTACGCTACCAAAAGTTAATGGTAAAGTAATTAATTATTTGCAGTTAGCTTGGTTTTAGTAGGATCTTTTTTAGTTTTATCATTTTTTATAGAAATCTTGTAGTGAATTAAATATTTGATTTAGATATTTTTATTCTTTATAATTTCTTAATTTTTATTTGGTTTGAACATATAGGATGTTAACAAAGGATTGAAAGATGCTATAGCAGTTTTTAAAGTAGATTCGAAGGTAGGATCAGTTTTTATCCTTTTTTCATAGAACTGACGTTTCATCGAGTGCTTCTTGGATTTTCAAAGCTTAAATTTTGATACAAATTTACTGTTTTGTTTTCTTTCAGGATGGTAAGCTTACAATGGAATTTGTTGATGATTTGAACACAAAGCAGATTGAAGATCTTTTTGGAAAATCAGATGAGGCTGAAAAACCACCGAAATCTTTTCCGGTTCTGAGCAGTGTAGCTGATGACACTTCTCAAGTAGAAAATTTCCTTAAAGGCAAAAATTGTTTAACGGGAGGTACAGGATGGTGGAAGTATGAATTCTGTTATGGAAAATATGTACGACAATTTCATGTTGATAAGTTTGGAGGCATTACTCATATTTTTCTCGGAGCGTTTAATGAGAAAGCCCATAAAGAATTTCTTCAACTTCACCCTGAAAAGCGTCCAAAGCCAAAAGCTCAACGAAAACAAGTTACACATTTCTATAATGAAGGAAGTTTTTGCGATAAAATAGGTCAACATCGTCAAACGGAAGTTATCTTAAAATGTCTAGAGAACGCACCATCACGATCAACAGTCAGTTTATATCTTCTTGAGCCTAAAATGTGTTCGTATATTTTAGGTGTTGAGTCACCGTTAATTTGCGATATTCTTGACAAGGTTGATGAAGATGGTCTCGTTCCTATTAATAAGTCATCAGATGATGTTGTGATAGATCAGCTGGAAGTCACTTTTCAAAATGATTAGATATAATAATAAATAATTTTCATCCGAAGAAAAAAATATAAAATAAGATTTAAAATTTAAATTTATTGTTTTTCATTAGATATTTGAGCTGTTACATTAGTGAATAATTGATTCCAGTGCCATATTTCGTCAGGTTCTTCAATTTCACTTTCAGATTCGAGGACTTCAAATAAAATTGACAAATCGGTTTTGTCATCAACATTTATCGGATTCTTTTTCAAAACATCCAGATCGAGATCTTTGTTATAAATTGTTCTAGAAGGAGGCTCGGAAATGTTATCAAGATTTTGAATCTCATCAATTTCAGGAATTTCAATTATATTTCCGTCTCTGGATGAAGCAGATGAAAGAAATCTTTCTTTTTCAATGTTTTCCAAAACATTTTTTTTGCTTGCTGATTTTTTGAATTCGTCAGCCCATCCACCGTGCTTTTTAGGTAACGCTGACATGATTTAGTTTATAAAAAATGAGATAAAAGTGATCACTTCAATTTATTTTCTTGTTTATTTGAGTTATTTTAGTTTGATCAAGAATTGGTAGGTAGGTACTATGGCAACGAAACAATATAAACAAATTGATTACCGCACAGCCGGAAAGAAAAATTCAAATTTCCCGGGTTTTATAACAACTTGAAGTCAATAAATTATGTTGCTTAGACTTTTATAACAAAACTCCTGAGAATTGTTTACGATTGAAATCGCTTACAAAAATTAGAAAAACATTAAAAATAGCTATGGAAAGCTTACTTGAAATACAGCGAAGATGTCACGAGGAACGTGAGAGACTTGTTAAAGTAATGGTTGATGAATTTATGGAGAAAAAACCGAACGATAAGGATAAAATATTTTCGGACCATCGTATAAAAATTTATTTAGATGTAAGTTAATTTTGTTCAAGCAAATTTAATAGAAAATCATCATTAATACAAAATGTCATATATGTTTCTTAGCAATACGTAGAAACAACGTCCCAACTCGCTAATTTGTATGAAGATAAAGACGGGGAACGAAAAGCCGAAATTGCTGCATTATCTGGACCAAATGAGTTTACTGAGTTTTATTCGCGATTAAAAGGAATTAAAGACTTTCATAAAAAACATCCTGATGAAATCAGTATTCCACTTTCAACAGAATTCGAGCAAATGGCAAAAGCTTATCAACAATCTGATGCAATGAATTTGTTGGTGGAGTTTACAGATGAGGAAAGTTATGGTCGTTATTTAGATCTTCATGAGTGTTATGACAAGTATATCAATTTGAAATGTGTCGAGAAAACCGATTATATCACTTACTTAATGATCTTTGATCATCTTTATGATATTCCAAAAGACAGAAAGAATGCCGAATATCGTAAATATCTTGATACTCTCAATGAATATCTTTATGGGTTTAATCAACGAGTGAAACCTTTAATGGATCTTGATAAGAACTTGGAACAAACAAGAGAAGATTTTGAACGTCAATGGTCTGAAGGAATTTTTCCTGGTTGGCCGAAGGAAACTGAGAGTGCTTTGTCGAACGTTGGAGCACCTTTGGATCTTTCTGCATTCACAAGTTGGGAAGAATTAGCTTCATTAGGCTTAGATCGATTGAAATCAGCTCTTATGGCGCTTGGTCTCAAATGTGGAGGAACTTTGGAAGAACGAGCTCAAAGGTTGTTCAGTACAAAAGGAATGAAACAAATTGATCAATCATTATTGGCTAAGAAAGGTGGAGCAATGGGAAAGAACTTGTCAAGCATGGCAAAAGATCAAGCAAGACAAAAAGAAATTGCATCAATTGAAGCTCAAGTTTATTACCTTAGTGAGCTTATCAAAGAGCAACGGGCTGCTACGAAAGAGAATGTTCAAAGAAAGCAAGCTCGTGGTGATGGTGAGAGAAACGACAGCGATGTTGAAGGAAGTGACTCGGAATCAGAAGAGGAAGACGATGAAAATGATGATGTTCCATATAATCCTAAGAATTTGCCACTCGGTTGGGATGGAAAACCAATCCCTTATTGGCTTTATAAACTTCATGGTTTAAACATCAATTATAATTGTGAAATATGTGGCAACTATATTTACAAGGGACCGAAGGCATTCCAACGTCATTTCAGTGAATGGCGACATGCACATGGCATGAGATGCTTGGGTATTCCAAATACAGCTCATTTCGCTAATGTCACTCAAATTGAAGACGCAATTCAACTATGGGAAAAGATTAAACAGCAAAAGAATCAGGAAAGATGGGTTCCCGAACAGAATGAAGAATTTGAAGATTCACTCGGTAATGTTGTGACAAAGAAAACCTACGAAGATTTGAAACGACAAGGATTGTTGTAGATCTTCAATATTTAAAAATAAATCTTATCCAGGAAATAATATAATAGAATGTAAAACTTTCATAATAATAAATAAAATTTCTATTAAAATTAAGTGTTGGCCATCTTTTTCCAATCAAAATCACCTTTTGAAAATTCTATTTTTGCTACAATTCATTTTGGGTATTTGTTGTTTAGTAGTGTTACGTTGGGCAATTGTTACGTTAAGAATTAATTTTTTGCAGTTAACTTTTTCTTGATTTGTTTTTTGATAATAGATCTTTGTTCAATAGAAGTCGTGATTATATTTTTTGAGTAAAGTCGTGTAAAATGAGTTTTTTAATACTCCCTAAAAAGAATTTAACAATGTCAAATATATTATATAAAAATTCAGAGGAAAACTGTCAAGAAACAGAAGAAAATATTTGCGATCTTCTTAAGTCAGTAAGCATTTCATTATTTGCTACCTTCTTTAAATTTTTAATCCTTCAGGAGTCTCGATAATCTTCACAAGATGCATCGTAAAATATTGACAAATGCTGGCTGTATAGACAAGGTGATTTGAAACTTTGATGTTTAAAATGTTTTCTTATAACTTGCAATTGTAGTTTGTTGCATATGAAAAATACGTTCAAGATCTTAATGATGTTCTCCTTAATGGCATAAAGTTTTTCAAAGAATCAGAAACTGAATTGAAAACGTCTTATGAACGAAAAATTGAAGAATTGTCAAAAGAACTTAAGGGTTATAAAGAATCAAGTTTTGACTCAGATTACCTCAAACAGATGAAGTAGGCCAAAGAGTTTTAATTTATTCACACTAACTTATAAACATTTTTACAGAAATTTATTGGTTTTTGATGATTCTAAAGCATTGGAGATTTTTCAAACATCTCCTGATGAAGCTTTATCTGAGTTAAGAAACCAAATTCGAAGATCGGAAACAATATCATTAACTAACAAAAACCTTGAAAATAAAATTGCTGATCTAACTGCTGAGTTAAATTTACTTCGATCGCAACAAATTGAAAGCTTTAACAATACAGTTGAAACTATTAACAATCGCTCACGCGATCTTGATGCTTTTGGTGATTCTATAAGCATAATTGAAAAACTTGAATCAAAATCTGTAAGCACAAAAACATTATTTAAATTACATATGGAAAATAATTAACTGCAATTGTTTTGCAAATAAAAAATTATAGAAAGAAGACTATGAGAAGATTAATCGAATTGAAAAAAAAGTGTACGAGACTCAGAAGGTCAGTGGAAGAGAAAAACCCGCAACAAAAATTGCAAGCTTTGTAAAAGCTCAAAGAACAATCGTGAAATGAATTAACTTTTTTATATCTAAGTAATTTCAATTGAAATTGAAATGTTTCTAATAACCCAATCGAAAAGTTTATTCTCTATCAAAGAGTGAAAAATAAATTTCCTGACATTACAGATGTTTCGCAAGTACTTAAAATATCTACACAAGTATATATCTGACGTTGTTTCAGAGAGAAAAAAAGATGCTTGTTCAAAACTCTTAAACAAAAAGTCGAAAGACCAAACTGTTGACACAGGCGACTCATCTGAAAATTCCCTGAAAACACATCATCACAGAAGAAACTTGGATCCATTTATCGAATATCAAAAACATCAGCAAGATGAGAAAAATCATTTTGAGAAACTCTTGGAATTGACAAGCAATCTGAGAAATATAAATCTCAATGAAATTGATCAAATTTGAAAATAAAAATCATTTCAGTTTAAAAAAAGCTTCACGAAAGAGCATTAAAATGTTTCTCTGCTTTTGGCTTTTGATTTTTTTTTTTGAAAAAAACTGTAAAGGATTCTTTAAAATATCTTCGATCTTTTAAGCAGTTTCGTTCATGTGTAACTGAACTCCATTATCTTTAATTTCGTTTAAATGTTACCAAATTCAAATGACGTTTAAACAGTTGTATTTGGCTATTATCAGCTCTCAACAACAATTATTTGGTATATTTTCTCCAAATATCTGATGTAAATGAAATATTCAGAATAGTTCCTCGTTTATTGCTGCAAAATTTCAGTCTACAATCCAAAGCTTTTAATAAAGAGATCGTGCATGTTGGCACGTTTAAGCAACTTTTTCAGTTCAATCACCTTATTGTAAATTAAATATTACCAAATTTTACATAATGAATCTTTTAATAAGAATAATAAAATGGAGTACTGTTGACAAGAAAAAGGAATGAAGCAAGATAAACATGAAACAGATAAATATTTCTGAAACATATCATAATGTTGAATATACTTTATTTCTCATACTATAACATGATAGAATAACAAAAAATAAGTTGAGAGCTTTTTTAAATAAAAAATCAATTTATTATTTAAAATAAAATCGAAAGCATGACTCAAATAAAGAAATAGAAAATCTATCCAATATTTGAATGAACTTCCTTGAAAATGATCGATAAAATAATTAATTCCTAAGCCATATTTTTCTTCACTTATTTAAACAAATTGCTTTTGACAATGCCAATGAAAAATTAAAGTTCTTATTTAAAAGCAACGCGGTAGTATAGTGTGACTTTAAGTATAAATGTGCGATGTTATGATGATACAAATAAGCTATCAATGTACTTTTAAAATTAAACATTAGGTATAATCTTTTGATTATATTCGACGAACATCAGTTGCTCTCAGAGTTTCGTACTTCAAGTACATTGTCTATTGTGAGATCAAGATATGAATTCTTTCCGCTTAATATACTTAGTGGTGTTGCTGACTCTTTGTCAAGCAGGTAAAATTATCAAAATTTGAACATTATTAACAATTCTTAAAAATATTAATTTTTTCTAAAAAAAAAATTCGTACAGCGACAGCACAAAATAAAGGTAAATTTTCTTATCTCCAAGGAGAATAAAAACTAGAAAAGCTTGAACAATTATCTAATTAAGTTCAAGAATATTAAAAAACATTTGTTACAGGTAGAAGAAAGGGATGCCAAGTTGGCGATGTATTTTATAAGCATGGTCAGTCTGTGCCTTCTAATAACCCATGTGAAAACTGCATTTGTAAAAGGGGTGAAATTAAATGCAGGAATGAAAAATGCTGCCCACTACCCCCAATTCCAGGATGCTTGGGTATCTACAGCCCAGACAAATGTTGCCCAGATTATTCAAAATGTAGAGAAGGTTGTGAATTTGAGGGAGTCATATATTCAGAAGATGCTGTTATTCCACAATCTGATCCTTGTACTTTCTGTAACTGCTTTGATAATGAAATCGTTTGTGCAATTCAAGATTGTGCACCACCTCCTGAAGGATGTGAACTAATATTTGTCGAAGGCCAATGTTGTCCTGATTATAAATGCGACATAGGATGTGAAGTTGATGGAGTTTTATATAAAAATGGTGAAAATATTCCTAGTGATAATCCTTGCAGATTATGTACTTGTTTCGGTGATGAAGTGGCTTGTGCTATTATCGATTGTGCACGTCCACCAGAAAATTGTGAACCAATTTATGTAGAAGGACAATGTTGCCCTGAATATGACTGTGGAGAAGGATGTGAAGTTGATGGAATATTATACGAAAATGGTGTAGTTATTCCTAATGATGATCCTTGCAGATTTTGTACTTGTGAAATGAATCAAGAAATTTGTGCAATTCAAGACTGTGCAGCACCTCCTGAAAGATGTGAACAAATATTTGTTGAAGGCCAATGTTGTCCTGACTTTGATTGTGACATAGGATGCGAAGTTGATGGAGTTTTATATAAAAATGGCGAAGATATTCCCGATAACGATCCTTGTGTATTCTGTTCATGTTTTGATAATAATATACAATGTGCTGCAATAGCATGCGGTTTCCCTGCTGAAAATTGTGAACCAATTTATATCGAAGGTCAATGTTGTCCTGATTTCAAATGCATTGAAGAATGTACTGTTGGCGGAGTTGTCTACCAAAATGGAGATTCAATCCCTGATGAAAATCCATGCAAGAATTGTTGGTGTTCCAATGGTGAAGAACATTGCGTCTTTGAATCTTGTGAACCTACGCCAGAAGGATGCGAAGAAGTTTCATTAGAAGGAAAATGTTGCCCTGCATTCGAATGCCCACTGGATTGTGTAATAAAAGGAGAATCATTTCGAAATGGCCAACCTATTCCTGATAATGATCCTTGCAAAGAATGCTTTTGTGCAGATGGTGAAGAAATTTGTGTAGTTTATGCTTGTCAAGGACCTTTAAGTGAAGATTGTCAAGCTGTATTCACTGAAGGGCGATGTTGTCCCGAATTCGTATGTCCCAATACATGCACAATTGATGACGTTGTCTATCAAAATGAACAATCAATTCCTCAAAAGGACCCATGTACATCATGCTTCTGTTTTGATGGACTTGTAACTTGTTCTACAACCGCTTGTTTGGGACCTCCAATTCAAGAAAATTGCGAACTAATAGTTGATGAAGAAAAATGTTGTCCAACATATGCTTGTGAATCTGATTGCATTATTGGTGGAGTATTGTATAAAGATGGAGAAGACATTAACTACGATAATCCTTGTAAGATATGTAAATGTTCTCAAGGAAGAGAGATTTGTGCTGCAATTGATTGCCCTCCACCCCCAGAATCATTTTGTAAACCAATATACCATGAAGATCAATGTTGTCCTGATTATGATTGCAGTCATGGATGCAATTATAAAGGGGAGTTCTATCCAGATGGTTTCGACGTCCCAAGTGACGATCCTTGTGAACATTGCGAATGTGATGATGATGAAATTGTATGCTATTATCAGGACTGTCCCGCACCTCCTGATTATTGTGAAGGCGTTCCAATTCCTGGACAATGCTGCAGAGACTACTCAGATTGTGGTTGCCTTTTCAGAGATGTCTTCTATGAAAGTGGACAAGCTATTCATTCAAAAAATCCTTGTGAATTTTGTATGTGCTATGGAAATGCTGTCGAATGTGCATACATGTCTTGTGTGGCACCACCACAAGGATGTGACGTTCGCCCTTTACCTGGCCAATGTTGCGCTGATATTTCCAAATGTGAAATTGAAGGCCCTTCACCTGTGTGAATTTCTTTAAACTTCAAAACTAAATTTCTTTGATTCTTTGTCATTTGTTAATGTGTAAAAGCTCAAAAAAATAAAACAAAATAAAAGAATGTTTTTGATGATTTTTAAATGTTGTCAGGCACGTGTCATTATGGCAAAATATTTATTTTAATGACTTAAGCTCAAAACATTTGATCAAACAAAGATCGGTTATTGTTCATGATATGAAAAACTTTTTAATGAGTTGGATACAGTTCTTAAGTTTTATCCAATAATGTATAAATTTTAGTTAAAGATGTGTTGAAAATGATATACATTCGAAAATTTCAGGAAAAAATGGTAAGCTTCAGAAAGTCTGAAAATTTTATTCTCGAAAAGGGGTGGTGGATACAAAAAACGTTTGTTTGCTTATACTTATACATGCTTTTACTCTTGTTTATAACACCTTTTCATATGATGACGCGAACTTGAGTCACAAGACTGTTTCAATGTCTTTAATTTATAAAATATAGATACAAGTAAAGGATATTTCAGTTTCGTTTCATTACTGCTCAGTAAAACATCGTTTCTGATAAGAAGAGAAAATGAACAGAAAAATTTATTTAATACTTATTTTAGTATTGTTTTCTTCTTTAGCGGAAGGTCAATAAAATTAACTTAATTTTTAATGTTCAAAATTCGTGAGTAACTTTTTCTTATTTTTATCAGTTTCTTCAAAAAACAAAAAAAGACGAGGTTGTTTCGAAAATGGGCATTATTATAGAAATGGTGAAATTATTCCACGAGATGATCCTTGCGAAAAATGTATCTGCCGCAGGGGAGAAATTCGTTGCAAAGCGAAAACTTGTTGCAAACCTCCCCCATTTCCAGGATGTGAAGGAAGAGTAATTCCTGGTCAATGCTGTCCTGACTACACACAATGTGAACTTGACTGTTCAAGAGTTCTTTGTGAAGGCCCACCTTATCCTGGTTGTGAAGGAGTGGAGGTTCCCGGGCAGTGTTGTCGTGATTATTCGAATTGCGAAGTTTGTCCTGAAGATGCTATCGATTGTAGGCTAGTAAAGTGTGCAGGGCCACCACGAGAAAATATCAATTGTGAAGGCATTTTTCGCCCTTGTAAGTGTTGTGCTGACTTTTCACACTGTTGTGCTGCTGTATCGTGTTTGGCACCTCCCCCAGGATGTGAACCAAGAGAAAATCCTTTTCAATGCTGTCCTGATGTATCTCATTGTTAGGAATAAATTTTGAATAAAACGAAATCAAAATTTTAATTGAGAACATAAAAACAAAATTTAGATGATCATTTCGAAATTAAATTAGAAATATTATCTAATATTTAAAAAGACAATTTCTATGAACAATTTGTAGGTTTCAGCAAAATGAAAGGTTTGTAAACGTGGCTAAAAATTTCTTAACACTATGTAAAATTAGTTTTAATAGTATTTTGAGTATTGTTGTACTCAACAAAATGGATAAATATCTTCTTCTTTTTGAATGTATACATTTATTGGTTCCAGAGGCAAAGTTTATTAAAATGATCAAAATAAACTTAAATAATTCAGTTTTCTACTAAAGATAATGGCAGAAAAGTTTTTGTACCCTCTAAAGAAAAATGTGAACTAATAGAAATAAATATGTTAGTCTTGTCAGTCATATCATTAAATTTCACATTGATGTTCCATTGATGGAAAATATTATGAAGGCTAAAAAATATCGTAAAAAATTCTTGTGAAGTGAAAAGGATGAGAAAAAAAATTACAATTGCTGTAAAGTAAATATTGAAAGAAAAAACAATATGTTGAGCTTCAATACTTTTATTTCCTTCATTTGAAATAAATTTCTTGAAATTCCAACACAATAAGTACTTACTTAAAATAATTAAACTTTCAAATGTATTCTCTAATATTTCTTTAGTTAATTTAAAAATGAATTTTAATACAGATTGAGAAGTAAATCTCGGCTCTATCATTGCTTTTTAAGGATAGAAGTCATAAATTTTCTAACAAAAGATATATTTTTTGTCATTCTACTTCTACATAACTTTTGCACAGCGCAAAACATCTAAGATTAAAAGGTTCATAGAATATTTTAAAGATTCGAAGTCATTAAAAATGAGAATCAAAGTGAGATTGGAATAGAAGATTGAATGTGAGATTAATTGTGAAGATTCATCGATGGTTTGCATTATAACTAAGGAAAGTTAGATAATCGGCTAGTATTGCTGGCAAAACAAATATTCATTTAAATAACTTCAAGTTAAAATAAAACTTCCTAATTGCAAAAGAAATGCTTTTTTGTTCATTTCTTGTCTCTATTGAATACTTTACTTTAGAAATTTTTAGATTTAAAATTGCACATAGATTCCTCTTAAAATTTTTGAATTAAATTCGATCTGATTATTACCTACTTCAATTTCATATCCCAATTCATTCTTGTAATTGATTGTTAGATGAGTAAGACTTTTGTTTCGACTTCTTGCTAAGTACTTCACTATTTGTGAAACTAGAAGCTTTTCCTTTCATTAAAATTTATGAGGGACCATATAGGAACTTCTAAGTTGCTTCTCAATCATTTACAACGTTAATATAAAAATAGATTCAATTTTCTTCTAAAATCTGTTTTAACCCACACACACGCATGGAGCTCATTTTTTGAGCTTTCCGGGAAAAGTTTACTCATAATTTTAGAACAAGGGAAAAGATTTTGGTTTTGTACGATACATCACAAATTACGACAATAAAACGAGCGTAACGTAGTGAATGAATTCACGTATGTGAACGATCTCGTTTCAATATCTTGTTATTCTTTTCACCACCAAACATTTCCCTTTCGTTGCTCCATTTTAATGTTTCATTTATTTGATTTCTGCCGGATTGAAAATGTTGCGACTTCTTCATGGTCAAAACAAAACTCAACTTATTGTTCATAAAATTATGAAATCCTCACAACTTTTATCTTCTTTCTTTCATTTTCTTTACATTCACAGCTCAAGTTATTTTTTACTTTCTTTCATTTTCATTTAGAGTTTGTGGAAATTTATTTGTATTTTTTAGAATTGACGTGAGTGCTTAACGGTTGAGGATTCAACATTTCATCACATTAAAACTGTATTATGCACATTAAAAATTATCTTATCATGTTCATAAATTAATATTTGTTGACGACATTTCATTGTTGCTGGTGATTTTAATGAGGTCGTCGGGTGGATTTTCTTCATCAACTTTTAATTGATTTAAATCTTTAGAGTTTGTTCTTCGATGACGAAGAATTGTGTCTTCTTCAGCGATTGCTGTTACAGCTGTGTTAATCATTACTGGATGTTGCTCTACTTCATGTGTTGTGCTTGGTTCTTCATCAAACTCTTCTTCGTTCAACAACAAACCATTATTGATTTTCTGACTGTTAAGTTTCTTTGCCAATAAATTAATGTCGACATTACTTGCCGGATCATAAGAATTTTTTCTTGATTGATGTTTGCTATTTTGTCCACTTGTGCTTAGTAAGAAATTGTTGGCAAGGTCGTTATCTAATCGAATAATTGCATTATTTGGCAGAAATGAAAATTCTTGTCCATAAGAATAATTTCTTATATGACGACGACGATCTTTAAAGTTCCTATTAAGATTGAAATTGCTGTTCAAGTTAGTCATCGGCTTTCTAAGATGATTCACGATGTATCTGATATTTGTGTGAACATTCTGATTGTTAGCAGCATTCAAACGATTATTGAGAAATTCGTAATCATGTGAATTTGTTCGTGTATGTGATATTTTAAGTTTCTTTAAACGATTATCAACATCCGAGTTGTTCGAGTTGCTGCGTGTGATTTTTACGTCACATGAACTGCTTCTCGTGTGCTTTCGATTTGGCGTTCTGTGAGCTTTCTCATCAGGTCTGAAAAGAAGAAATCAAACAAAATAATAAATATTAAGAATGAAAATAACAGAGAACTAACTCACTTGTGCTCTAATTGTATGTGAAGTGATTTTGAATCGTTTCTTAAATGTCTCGACGAAACTAAAACGCGTCGATTGAGATCACCTTCGCAGTCTGTTAAGATAATTTCACCTGAGCATGAATGATTATCTTTCTCTTCAAATAATTTATCTAAACTTATAATCGAACCAACAACATCTTGTGTTGAAATATGTTCGAGTTTATCAAGATGTTTACGTTTCCTTACAAGCCACCAATCAACGATAAAGATTGAAAGTGCGACGACTTTAATTGCTGTACATAATCCAATATATTTAAATCGGAATTTTTCAATGTCGTAGAGAAGACATCGTCCACCAGCTTCACCACAATTTGACTTCCACAATAGACATGACGAGTCGATGAGATTTCCAAACAAAATCGGTGCTGGGATGTATCCAAACAATCGAAAGATCACAAACTGCATCCCAAGAGCGAAACTTCTTTCTTCCTCCGACACTGATCGAAGTACAATCATAAGAAGTGGCATCTGTGTTGACGCAACAATGAATGTCATAAAAAACAAAAGTATCAGAAATGGAAAAATTGTCCGACAAGGCTTGTAACATGGACCAGCTGTTGCTACTGGTATTACTGTAACTTCTTGGAAGTCAACATCTGAATTGAGAGCATGAGCTTGAGCACCATCAGCTCCTTCATAAACTTGCTTTTTTGTGACATTTGTATGAACACCTGAAAGAAGTTAACCAAGATAAATTAAAATGCCTAAAACAAATTCTGAAAACTTACAAGCACAATTTGAGTAATTTGAAGATGATGACGATGTACAACCAGCATGACATGGACTAAAATACGTAAGTCCATTGTTTCCACACACAGGTTCAACGTCCGTTGTGGGACATTCACATCCGGTGTTGCAAGCTGCTGTGAGATTTACACGAAACGGCTCCACATTGTGAGGTGTGTTGTTGTAGTAAGGAATTGTTGTTCCAGCCATTTTTAAATTATCGCAACCGAGGAAAAAAAGAAGCGCGTAACAAGCAAGGCAAATGACGTTTGATATTAAAACAAATTGAACGGCGCCTTTGGGTTTCAATTGGAATCTTTTGAGAAAAAGACCACCGATGAAGATTCCAACGCAAGCGCCTGGTATCGCAATAGAACCAGTAAAAACACTCGCTTGACTCTTACCGAGACTGAATTGTGTCTCGAGATATTTTGGGAGAAAAACCACAAAACCGCTGACAATCATCAACTCCATACACGCACCAAGACACGTTACAATGTAAACGGGATTTGTAATCAAACGCCACATTGAAAGCGGAATGTCTGACAATAAAAAAAGAAAGTAAAGAAGAAACTTAATAACATTATTTCACCTAAAATATTTAAGTAAAATTAAACTTAATTGATATGTGTCGTGTTAGAAATTTAAAAGTCTCAAAAACAACTTCAATAGTCAACCTGACCCTTGTCTGCAATTTCACAAATTTTACAACATTCCTCATGTGTTAAATATTTGTAAAGTTTCAGCTCAAGGTGAGGTTTTCCAAATTATTTTATAAAGTTTCGTCTACAGAGAGAATCCTTTTTATAACAAAATTCTCTGACGATAATAATTTTGAAAATGAACATTTTTCATGGCAATTGTCCGAATCAACATCGTTAAGAAATAAAAAGTTTTACCTTTAATATCTTTACCATATCCGCTATCTTTATTACTACTATTCAAATTTCCTGCTGAACTTTGTTGCTTAGTTTGTGACTGTCTCGGTAAACTATTACTCGAATTGTACGATGGAATCACGACTTGTTGTCGATATTGTTCAGCTAATCGAATCTTTTTTTTCTCATGGGTAAGAACCTGTCAATCAAATTAAATTAAATTGTTAATAATTCAAAGTTTTTAATGTTATCAATGATAAATAGAATAATGACATTTGAGATATCATTTTCTATTTAACCATCTCACCTTGGGAAATGAGAAGAAAGGGATCGCAACGATGATGAGTAGTAAACCACATAATAGGAATCCACCCCACCACATTCCCACCCATCTTCTATCAGATGGATCTAATAGAGTTGAATGTCAAGAGAAAAAAATTGTTTGATACTTTGACATAAAAAACAAATTAAGCTTTAAATATATTCACCAATATTGATTACACTCCCTGACAACGAATCCATATGGAATGACAATAAATAAGCACCTAATAGAAAGCCAAGAACAGGACCGAATGCTGCCATGCTGTACATAAATCCTAATAGAAATAAAATCCATGAGAGAAAATCTAATTTAAAATCTATCACGGTTAAGTGACATACCAATGTACATCGAAGAACTTTCCTTCTTCACATGATCATCAACGTATGTTGTTCCCAGAGTAAACAAAGGACTTCCACCGCAACCAAGTAACAGTTGTGCCAAAACAAAGAATAAAACTGGTCCAAATGTTGACGATTTACTCTCAAGACAATTATTTCCTCTGAAAGTGGTCATTATTGTGGTAAATATTTGCTTCGAAGTCCACAATTTTCTTAATTACCTCAGGTTGTTATGAGTTGATAAAGCTGGATTTGATAATTTACTGATATGATGTCCAAATCGTCCAAGTCCCATGTCTTGTTCTCTCACAGAAACAAGTCGACAAATGTTGTCGTCGGTTTTATTGTCAAGAAGTATTCCCGGGTTGGCTTCACCAATAAAGTGCGGTATGGAAAATAAAGTTGAACCGATTCCCATAACTAAAGCACCTGTAAAAGCCAAAAGTCATGGTGAATTGTTAGAATAATGACATAATTGAAAGAGAAACTTATAGCTTGAGGTTTTTCCTTTATGCACATTTAACTAATTCGTGCATGTTTACTTCTACATTATGGATAATGATCGCATCTAAGTTCTTATTTATTGAACTGTTTTATTCGTAAACATTAAACATTTATACACATAATCATTTTAATGTGATTGGAATGACGTAGAAGACTTGTTTGAATATTCGAGGAAATTATTTTTGTAATCTCAATCTTCAAGGAAGAATGAGAAGTAAAGAAAAACTTTTTCCTTCAACTGTCACTACATAATAATAATATGAAAAAGCTTCTTCAGCCTACATTCTTCTGTTGAAATGCTCACTGTATGAGACAAATTATGATGGATTCATGTAAAGTGCTTTTATTCTACATCAACAACAAACATTTGATAAACGAGAGAGAGTAAACAAAACTATGAACGTTGTGATGGATGGGAAACGCGTTTGTTTGCTTTATTAACTTTCAGTTGCGCCCACAAGAATATTTCCGTTGACGACGCTTGTTATCTATATCTTCAAAATAAAGAATTATGAATTGTTGTTATGTCTAATTCAATTTCCATTTCATTTTCTACCGCTCTCTTTTTTCTCTTGATAGCAGCGAAAGATATTTTCATTAATTTCCTTTTCAGCAGCGTTGACAACTTCATTACATTTGAAAGGAAAAAAAGATCTACAAATGTTGCAATAATTACATAAATCTTTTGGATATTAAATAATCAATTTCGTAAATCAAAAATTCATTCCGTGAAATTTCTTTTCATAAAAATCTTTCATGCTTCGTAAATCTTTTGTTTCTATTTTCCTTTTTTTTAACTTTAACTGAACAAGAAGAAAGTTTTCGTGTTTTTTTGCCGATATCGGAAACTCTTTTTCTATTTATCTGAGATTGAATGTCGATTTGTGGGTTGTAAAAATCCGCTCAATGATTGATTGATTCGTTATTGAATGTCGATGAAGCGAGCATTGAAAATTATTCTTCGGTTTTGATTACATTTAGGGGCAGAAAGCATGGAAATAAATCTCCTTACTCACCGATACCAATCCATACGGGTATGTGACGACGACTGCCCAAATAACTCACAAATATGACTGTGATAACGTTTCCAATTTCATAGCTTGATGCGATTAGTCCAGATAAGCTTGAAGGTATATCAAAGCGTTTTTCTATCGTCGTTATGACGGAGTTAATATAACCAGAACTTAAAGCTTGCTGTAGCGTAACAAGCATCGACAAAAGAAGCACGAAAATCTGTGGAGAAATAAAAGATGAGTTTGAATTTAAAATTCAAAAGTTGTTCAATGCCAACAAACCTTTATTCGTGCCAGCTTCTGAATTCTCATCGGACGACAAGAAAGAATCCCACAATCTTTCGATAATTCATCTACAACATCGTTATGAAGAGCTTTCTCTCGATCCATTAGGCTTGAAGATGGTTGTCGACTATGGCATTTTATAACAGTGTCAGGAACAGCCGCCGATGTAATTGAGGTGGTTGTGATTGCGGGATTCATAAGTGTCGTTGAAACCGTCACATTGAGTGGCTCGTAATTTGTCGTCACATTTATCGTGCTTGGCAACGATTCCGATTCATTTTCTTGTGGTAAATCAGCGCTACTGTCATCTTGCGCCTCTGAATACAACCCCGTCATCTCATATTGTGATTCTTGTCGCCTTTTTTTGTTTTGTTTTTAAACGAAGGGAAGAAGAAGAAAAATTAAAGTCAACATAAAAGAATTTCATTGTTAACATGAATGAACCACATTCAAAAACTTTCTATCTCCTTCACTCAAATGAGTCATCATCTTCCGTTGGAGACATAAAAAATGATAAATATTGAAATCGTAAAAAGGCTATTCAAACATCCTTTGAAATTGTGTAAAGAATTGTCGATTTCTTTTTTCTTGATGATGACAAGAAACATTTTGGTGACAGAATTTAAAGTCATGAAAGTTTATAATAAATCGTCACAAATAGTTTCTATCTACATATATTATAATTAATGACAAGAGACAATGATACCTTTTGTCGCGTCAACAATCAAAGCAAAACACGAAAGGAAAACTTACCGATGACCTTTTCGAAGGCCATTTTGAGAATCAACGGCACTCGACGTTTCTTCGGCATCGTTGGACGGCTGCGATGAACTCATTTTAATTTTTAATTTTTCTTCTAATTTTTCTTTAGGGAAATTGTGGAAAAAGTTTTTTTCTTCCTTTCACTTCCGCTTAAACTTAGCACTGAACATCGGACCATTAATTAATTTTTTTTCTGAAAATAGAATAAAAGAAAAAAACAAATATTCAATTTCTGATTGTCAAGTTCAAGGTCAATTAATATCTAGAGAGCAATAAACTCGCAGTTGAGAAAAAGCTTTTCACGACTAAGCACTTTCTGATGGGTTTATAATTGCACCTTGTATGTATGTACGACATTAACAAGTCAGTTAAGTACATAAATAAGTTTTCGTGTTTAGTTATTGATTTATCCCCAGTAAAACAAAACAAAAAATAATGATTGCGCTTCTAAATGAGTTGCAAAACATGCTTAAGAAGCACATGTCTCAAGTCTCAACGAACTTCTTATCAGTTCATTAAAGTTCTCACTTCTCTGAATAATCGATCCATAATCTTAGTCTACGTTATTAAAGAACTTGGCAGGAATCCATTTCAACTTTGAGTTATCATCTGACTATGTTTTTGCGTGAAAATTTTCTCTTCCATAAGCTAAACAAATCGATTTAATATATCTTCGATATCGATTTAACCCGTTGCGAATGAAATTTTGCGAAACTGAACTCGTTTTGTTTTTGCTGATGTTGTTGAACCTTTTCGATGGTGTTATGAACCCCAAAAAACATGAGAAAATAATCTTCCAGACGATCGTAAAATTGCATATTTATGATATGACTACCGTAAGTTTTTATGGTATTTTTTTATATCTTATGCTGTTTTATTTTCTAAACAAGGAAGCATAAGAACAAAGGAAACTTTTAACATAGAGAAAAGAAGTGAAACTTAAATATCTCCCAAGCGACACCTTCACACGAGTTCGAACTTTGAAGTTTATTTAAATTAATGCAGTCAACTACCTTCAAATTTCTAATATTCACACAACAATCGCTTAAAAAAAGTGAAATTCTTTGGGAAACGATTGAGTAAGCAAGGCCAAGCTGTTTTGCTATAATTCTTTTACAAAAAAAAGCACGCAAGTCATAAATAAATCGCAATGATTGTGAGGAACTGAATGAAGTCTCAAATGTGTTAGGAAAATTTATTGAGTGCTTATTTTTATATCAAGTTTCCGAAACAATCGCGGGATTTGTTTCTAAGTGAGGTTGGATGGCGAAAAATTTATATGTGGTGAAGGAATTTTAAAAGTGCTTTGATCTCCCAAGTTCTGAATGGTAAAGCAAATTTTATTTGAAAGTCAAGACAAAGAACCTTTGCAAACTTGAAATTTTGTGTCTGATTTCACATATGTACAACATTCGATACGGTTCTTGAACAAATCTTTTACAATAAATATCGCAAATGATTTGTCTGAAGTGTGTGAGATTCGAATGGAGAAATAAAATATTTTGCTGTTAAGAATTTAAAATATTCGCACTTCCATTTCGATAAAGATGAAGTGATTTTAATTATATCGGTATACAAATATGAATGCTAAGCAATTGAATTAATGAATAAGCATTCGAAAAATTCTTCTCGACTTCTTTCAAAATTATTTCTCCCAACGAGTTAGTTTTGACAAATTTCTTGTGAGTCAACATGACAATATGATTTATTTTACTAAAGACATCTTGCATGTTGTTCTTTCGAAAAAAAGAGAAAATCTTTGAAGACATTTGACATGTTTTGTGACATGACAGTTTAGGGAATTTAAGTAAATCATGCTGAGAGTGACGTTACACTTGTGTCGCTTTCGTTAACCTAAATATCTTTCAACTTCATTCATAGTGTAGAATATCATACTGTAATCTAATATAATTAATTTAGTGTTGATAGTAAAACATGGAAAGGTCGGTAAGTGGGTGTAACAAAAACCAGTTATTCGTTCATAAATTTTATCTCATTAGTTGGCACTTTCCCTAAAAGCTCTCTGAAATGATATCCCCAAATATCTGTTTAATCCATAACAACAATGTTTGATGAAACAATAAACAAAAGTTTCTTCTTTCTTTACCATCATATTCACGGTAGTAAAAATAAACAGTTAAGAACGGTTGCCATCGTAAGTTTTCGCAAAATTTTGTACTCGTGTCTTATCATTTGTAGTCATCTTCAACTGAAGAAAATCTCTTTTCGTCGAAACAATATTTTAAGAATTCTTAATTTTCATTTTTAAATTAAAATTCACCAAGTAACTTTGCGGATGTAAGCGATCAGTGGTCGAAGGTAAAGAAAGAAAGTTGCTTATTTATATTTTGGTTATGCGGCCTACAAACTCATTGCGGTGTTGTTGATTATTTTCACTGTAGGTTGCCGTTATGGTGCGTTGATTGAGACTGATGATAGATTATGTTCCAACTCTACTAAAAATAATTAATTAGGATTGTTACTTAATTGATATTATGCCCATCTTTGAAAATTATATAAAAAGATATTCTTGTTCTTTTTTTAGAGATTAAATATCAACAACACGCCATGAAAATTTAATTAAAAACTTCATTTAATATTTGGCAATTGACATTGTTTACGAGTGACATAAGAATGTTCTTTTATAAATTTACTTTCACATGTTTTTCAATTATTTTTGGCATACAATCACATTAAAAAAGAAATGTTTAATTAGTATTATTAAGAGTCGTGAAATCAAGATTTATTGAGCTTAAATATAATAAAAGTTGTGATTCATATCTTGCGTAAACTGTGTCATACAATTTACAATTTGATGTCTAATAAAACGGAATATTCTTGCTCTACTAATTAGCTTCCGAGTCATTCCAGCTTTTATGATTATATATATTCTCGTGCATTGTATTTAATTGCATAAATCTCCATGCTTTTTTGTCGTCATTGCATTTCTTCTCACTTGGCTTATTTCGGAACACAATCGTGTTTCATACAATGTTGCTAATTACATGATGCACGAAACTCTTCTGTCGGCATTACTAAGTCGTCCATTTTCAAGGAAAGTTTTATTTTCTTACTCAAATATGCATTTTATTATAAACACATTGTCTAAGTTGAATGACTGAGTAGAGCTTTCCGTCTCAATACCGACAGTTATTAACTCATGAGGGGAAAAGTTTCCACAGCGTGATCTTTAATACGTCACGTTACAAAAATGGTGCAGACTCTGAAGAAAAACGATACGTTGAAACAAAAATATTATGCAATTTTATGGTGTCTTGCGTTTACAGCCAGATGGTTATTTTATATTTACTCGAATTGGCTCTTTTTTTTTGTTTTTGTGTATTTTAAATTATAATGAAATATATTCCAAAGCTGTGGATGAAAACACATTTGACTTAACGTTAAAACATTTCACGCGAGATTTAAAAGAAATTTTAGTGTCGACAAACCGTTTAAAATTACATTTTATGTCTATTAGAGATTCCGGCTTCAGATTTATTGCATCATTTAAAAGCTGCTTAATATGCTATTTTTAAAGGACATTTTTGGCGCGTAGCTAACAGCATTTTTGATAATCTTGAAACGTTAATGGCATTCAACATAAATGAATATTTCAAAAACCTTGACCAAGATGCTTTTGACGAACACAAAAAAAAATGAAATAATTTTCTAAATAAACAAAAATTTTGCTTGACTTTAATTCATGTGCCTCTTGCATTTCATTACAGATATTGTCCAAGGTTTCACCAATGCTTTTTAACTTCAATTCGCATGATTTTGAAACTCATTTCGTACACTAATTATCTAATTGAAAATAAAATTCATTTTCTTTTTATTTTCTAGCAAAAATTATTTACAGTTGAATGAATAGATTAAAAAAAGTACAATCGTTCTACACCAGTTTATGGAAAGCAATGTTAAATGTATTTCCTCGTCATTTCTCTGTGGTCACACGACAACTGTAATCGTGTTTAAAAATAAAATGAGATTTAATTCTTTTTTTTCTTTCACCGAGTCATGTCCCGTTTGTTGGCTAGCGAAAATCAAATTTTGCAGATGTTACGAAGAGAAAAAGGTATTAAGAGTATTAAGAGTGAAAGAATTCACAGTCTGGCAGACGAGGAATTTCTTACATTTAGAAGGCTTTTATTTCTTAATTAATTACTTTGACGATTGAAAATATTGCAGGTTACAACTACGAATGCTTATTTAGATTTTCCTTTCTTTTCATACTTTTTCACTAGAGGAAACATAATTTCCGTTACAATAATTAGCCGCTTCATGAAATTTTGCGTGTAGTGACTTCATCAAGAGATTCTTCAACTTTTTATGTTCCCACAACACGAGAATCTATTTATTTTTGTACGTTGTAAATGAACCATCTGAAGTCAACTTTTGATTACCCTTTATTGCATACTTAACATGACTATTGACCACTCCAAACTAAATTTGATGAAATTAAAATGCTGTGGGTTAAATAACGACGAGGCGGATTCTATATAAATTTTAAGGAATTTACTTTTAATGGATTTTTTTGCTTATTTTGCAGTTTAATTTAATTTATAATAAAAATGCTTTTGTGTGAGTAAATACTGCTATCATTTTGAGGCACCCAAAACAAATAAATCAACTTTATTGTTGATTATATTTTGCCACCTTTATAAATTGTGACACATAATTTTCAAAAAAAATTTATTAAGCACAAATTCTGACTTTAATTAATTCTTCTTCTTAAGCAGACATACATGTTGACCATATCAAACACATAATTGAGAAACATAAATTAAATCTATTTAAAAGACGCATCACGACTACTCATGTTAACTTCGATGATCAAACAAAAGTTTTGTTACACATCATTTAATAGCAGTCTTTACACAAGATTTTCTCAATTAAATTATTTAAACGAGTCGATGACATCAAAATGCGTGCACTTTCGGAGGAGACAGAAAAGGAATTTCGAGCGGAATTAAAATTTAAAGCAATTTATTTATAGAGAGAAAAATAAACAACGAATGCTGTTATTCGAAACAGAAAACGACCGACAAATGTTATCATGTAAGGTGAGAAAATGAATTTGTTGTCAGTAACAGAATAAAAATTATGTCAGAGGGGGCGAGCGCACGAAAACAATTGGAAAATGAAATGAATTCACGAAAACAGAGCAAATTTAATGCATGTTTGAGTAGGGTCGGTAAATACTACTTTCTAGTGCACATGAAACATGATAATAAAATTAAACTTCTTGTTCAACTTTTATGTCTTCTTTTACTCATCGACTTTGTCTTTAATTAACAGAGATAGTCTACGATTACATTGCAGAGTGCGGTAGCGGATGTAAAGAAGCAAGAGGTCAAATGAAACAATCCTAAGTGTAATTGATCTCTTGGGTCGGGTAATGTTAGCGGGAATTCATTTGAATGCTTTTGATGTTAATCTTTTATGAAGAGTTTGTCTATTTCATAAGCATGCTGGACTTAATGTCACTTCGTGAGCTTTTTTATCTGAACGAGTGGCACACAAATTCATTTAATTATGCAGTAAAAGTGAGATGTGGCAAAAAAAAGAGTGAGTGGCCGGTAAATTGACATTCTACGTTCAATGACTGCTTTTAATACGATTTAAATTATTTAACTAATAATTCTGATGGTAAAGAAAAGAACTAAGTTATTTCAATCAAATCTTATTTGTTGACCTTCGTCATTTACTAAATGTATTTGCATTTTAAAGTTGTTTCCTCTCAGCAGTTGTGAACGACTACGGTGACTCATGAAGCCAAAAACGACGATATAAATATGTTAATTTATTTAGTTAAAAGTTCGATAACGTTTCCGTAAAGCCATTGCAGAAAATAGGGTAAATGAATTTTTCCACATAACATTGCATCGTCAAATTATGACGATTGTAGATTTAGAATTGATTTGATTGAACATTGAAGGTAAATGCTTAGTGAAGAACAAATGAATACCAACTGACATCGAAAGTTTGGTTACATTTAAGAAAAAGCTTTAGAAAGTTTGCCTTCAAATTTGACATTAAGTTGTAAACTTATATTTCCTTGCAAAAGTGTTTCGATTTCAATCACTTTTCTTTCTGTTTTTGGATTATCGATTTCACTCGTTTTAACTGTTATAACTTCATAACTAGATATCAATAAATAATTGAACAATGAGCAGTTTGTTGTTTATGAACTTTCCTTGTATATTCTAATTTATTGGAACATTTGTAAGCATTTTGATGCTTAAAATTATTTTATTAAGTCAATTAAGTAAACAAGTTATAAATGAGATTTTTATCAGTTTAATCATTACTTTTTTAACTAGTGAAAAGTTCTTGGAAAATTTTTGAACAAGAATTATTGAAATATTTGACTAAACAATAACTTCTTTCAGCTATCATTCTTTGCACTTTTGATTTCTGACAATACCGAAATAATTATTTTTTACTGAAGTAAAGCACTAACTGAAAAAAATCTACATTTACCAGATGCTTGAGTATTAATCAACACAAAAATCTACGTTTAATTGACGAATACCGATCATTCAAAACTGATATAAATTATTTAATTATTTATTAACGAATTAAAAAAGGAGAAAACTGGAGCGTAGAGCTTAATGACAGCAAGTGATTTTCTCAGTATTATGTTTAACTCATGAAAGAACATTCTGAAATTTCAGGCAAAACAGGTTTGTTGAACGCCGAAATATAACAGGAATAAAAACTTATAATTTATTTATTTTTTGTGGCGTTCATGTCTTAAAACACATAATGTCAGTTTCTAAACAAAGTTTCATCGCCCACAATATAATAAAAAAGTTTACATTACTTGTTTTAAGTACAGCGATTATAATACGAAACCTTGAAGACTTTCACAGTCGAAATAAATGTTTCATAAATTGAGTTTTTTGAAAGGAAATTAATTTCTCAGCATAAATATTAGATAACTTAGTTGTTCTAAAATTATTTGAAGACTCATACTTAGGTAATTGATATTGATTTTCTTATACGTCAATATTGAAGCCTTTTATTTAGATATCCATTTTATTTCGAATTGTGGCAATTTGCTTATTATTTGTATTTTTCTTTCCTTTTACGTAAAATGTTTTAAGTTTCTCAACTGTCTTGACACGTAATTTCAGATTGCAACATTGACAGTAAAAATGACATTTCATATTATTTAATCTATTATAAGAATTTATCTTATCTAGAAAGAATTTCATAACTCACCAGCTTTCTCACTGATAATAAAATATTCCAGTAATCCAAAAACGAAAAAAGTTAAATTTTTTATCAGTTGCTTATTAAAAGCTTCATTCATTTGTTTCTTATCATTGCAGTTCAATTAGTTCAGTTGTGATTCAATTTCATATTTACGAGGACGAAAAACAATAAATGAAACTTGAGCATTTAAAACACATGAGCTAATACAAAATTATTATAGAATTGTACAAAAAAACACAAAACTGGTTTAAACTTCAGATCAACTTTTTCTTCTCTCATTCTTATTACGTTTTTGGTTTCTTTTTCTTTTTTTTAACACAAAGAAACTTTTCTCTTTCTTTCACAAATATAAATTATTTTTTTAATTTAGATATTCATTTTAACTTTTTTTGAACATTAAAAAGATCAATAAGAATTTACGTGGAAGTGCATAAAAATTTGTTTACTCTTGCATATCCGTTTTTTTCTTCACTTTAAATATTGCATAATGTTTACTCCAGAAAGAAATTTAGATCGAAATATTCATCTCGACGTATTTTTTTTCTCTTTTTTTCGTCGAATATGCACATGAAGATTTCTTTTGTTAAGTTTTTAAATTAAGTTTCCACAAAATGAGCGAGTTTTGGAATAATTCTTAGCTTGAAATTTATCTTACAGTTATATTCTAGTCTCACGAATAATTAAAAATAAAACTTTTGACTCTTGAAAATGAGAAAAACAATCTTAAGCATTTTGTAGCACGTCTGAACAGCACGAATGGAAAAATTAAAATAATGTTTCAGCACTGAACGAATAAAGTCAGATGCTCAGTAGGAAATGAGAATATGTGATGAAAGTTTTGATTTTATTTGACGGTCTGTCATATAAGTCGAAGTATTTGTCTCATCCACAATGTGTTTTTCAATCTCTTATCAACTTATAGTCCAAATGGTAAAACTCCAGTAACTTGCTACAGATTTTAGCTCTGTTGGTCAAGAAAGGCTGCAAATATATTCAATAATACTTTTAATTTGTCAAGTCGTGTTCGTCTCAATAACATTGTTGTTCCTTCTAAAATGTTTGTAAAGTGAAAAATTATTGAAAATATTTTAAAAAATCTTCTGAAATTATTTTATAATGAAAAAAAGATACTAAAGAACAAAAGAAAAGGCAATAAAAAACATCGATAAGATATCTTTGCACAGAAAAAAAAAATAATTTGTTAAAATGCATTTCTCGATTCCTGAAACTCAAGAATTTACAAACGGAGCAAATGTCTTTACTGTAAGTAAAATATATTTTATTTTGCGTATGAAACTCACACATTTAAATGAAGTTAAAATTGCGAAATACCAAAATGTGCAAATCAAGTATAAATAATCATTCTTCAATTAAATAACGTGTAATCAAATGTAGGATTCATTGTGTGATAAAGTGTTTCGCTTAGTAGAGAAAAAGTTTTTTTACGTATGGTCTTTAGACTCAATTTTAATAATTTTGTCATGTCCATTTTCCAAGGTCTTTCGTTCTTATTTTTTCTTTTCAATAATTAATAGCAGAACAATGACCAAGCCTGAAATACTTGTAACTAAAGGGCGCGTATCGTATCAGAACATTAAAAAAAGATTAAATTATTCCATCGAAAAGTCAAGTTGTGACATTTTTAATCTTTAAAGAGCTTCGAATGATTTTTTTTCTTTATGTAATTAATATCTAGGATTTTAAAAGTCTTTGACATTTCAAGAGTAATTTAATTTAATGTTTATGTAGATATGTATCTGCATCATATCAAAGTTCCATGAGTAAACATCTCAGAACTACTCACGAAGCAAATTTATAAAAGATGATAAGGCAATAACCTGAACCTTGTTTTTATGTTGATAAATCAGTTACACCCTCTAGTTACGCCTTTAAAAATTGTTCAAATTTTCTACTTGAAACAGTTTTTCTTTATTTCGCATATTTAACTTGATTTGACACATGGCCGAAAATGTTTATGAAATCAAATTTTGAATCAAATCATTTGAAACTGAATATAATCAATTTGTATACAGAACATCTGATAGTCATCAGCTTTTTCTCTTTGTTCCAAAAGATATTGACCACTTAGCCTTCAGCTAACTTCTTAATTTATCAGGGTCAATTAAAAATTTGCTTGTTGATCTCGATCAATGAAATATTTCAAATGTGGCTCGAAATCAGCTGATTGAAGTTCAATGATCGTAGAAATATTTTATCTTATCTGCTTTAATAGAAAAATTTTATTTCCAGGGTTTTAATATTTATATTAATGGAAGTTTTCATTGTTGTTTACGTTACAAACAACTGCACAGTCTTCACGATCAGCTTAAACGATCTTTGATGAATCTCTCTCTTCCGCAATTTCCGCCCAAGAAACTTTTAACATTGACACATAATGAATTGGAACAACGACGACTGGCTTTAGAACGATATCTGCAATTAAGTAAGTTTAATATTATCGATAGAGTTGAAAGAAATAATTCATAAATATTTTAATATTTTAGTTGGGCAGGATCCAGTGTTATCAAAGTCCAATCTCCTTCGTACATTCCTATTGAATGCTCAACAAGAATCTGCTTTCATTGAAACATATGGAACGACAATTGACGTTTTCCTTATGAATGGCTACTCAATTACTGTCAATGTTTCGACAACAGAAAGTTCTTTGAAAGTATTGGAGAAGTCACTTCGAGCAATTGATTTGCCTGAAGATTTCACGTACTATTTTGCCTTATTTTTACTTCGAAAAGAATCCGATGGAAAAGTAACCCTGGTACGTAAGTTGATGGATTTTGAGTCTCCGTTTATATCATTGAGAACAGCGAGTGATTGTCAGATTGTGATAAGAAAGAATTATTGGGATCCGAACTATGATTTAGATCTAATGCGAGACAGAATCGCTTTGAATCTCCTTTATATTCAATCACTAAGCGATATGGAAATGGATTGGATGATCGCAAGTCCGGAAGTTCGTCAACGTTTGAGTTCTTTACAAGTTACAGGCAATAAACATGAATACATGAACATCATAAGAAATCTGCCATCATACGGTTGTATTCAATTTTCCAATGTTGATTGTGATTTTTTCGAGCCAAAATCAAAAGCAACGATTGTTATCGGTAATCAAGAACTTGGAATTCGAACAATGAATGGCAAAGTCATTCAAGAGACAAAGTTTCGTGTGACAAGAATGCGATGTTGGAGAGTGACAACAATTTCCAGTGACACAAACAATGATAAGAAAATTAAAACTCGTGAAAAATGTCGTTATACGTATGAGCTTTCATTTGAATATTTAATGGCAAAGAACTGCCTCAAATGGATCAAATTGGTGACAGAACAAGCAATGCTGATATCTGTTTGTTTACAGGTGAGACTTTTAATTGAAATTTTCAATTGTTTTGTTTTATTTCTGCTTTTTCATTCAGAGTATGGTGGATGAGCTTTTAAATCAAAAGAACGGTTATGATATTAACAACATTAATACAACATTGGCCTTAGATCAACAACTAGATTATATCAAGAGAGATGATAATTCAATCGGACGGTTATCGGAATCAACCAGTGACGGATCCATAAATAGCCTGGTAAAATTAAGATTTTCTAAAAAAAAGTATCGCTTAATTATTCTGAATTGTTTGCAGAATGAAATGAAACCAATTACCAAAATATCAAACGAAACAGCAAAATCAAAGATTAAGAATAAAGTGTCAACGTCAGTGTTCTTTAAGAACGGAAAAGAATCTGTCCAGAATGAAGCATTCGAGAATATTGGTGACGACGATCTTTGAATAATTCCACTTCTTTTTTATGCTTATTATTATTTTTCTTACTTTAATTAACGGGGATATTCATACAGGTTTATGATGGTGGTGTGAAGAGAACGAAACTGATTAAAAAAAATTTAGAAATTACAACGAAACTTTGAATAAGTCAACTTCACTTCACACCAACATCAGGATTATATTTTAATTGTTTTATGAAATCATTTACAAAGAAAAACAAATCTATTGGCCAGAGTTTTGATAAGGAATAATGAAATAATTATTCTTGGATTGATAACAGAGGTGTGCATAAAAGTCCTAATTGAGCACAAATAACAAAGTTTTAAATTTACCGATCCTTATGACTGTAATTAATGTTTTGATAATTTAAATAATCCAATAATTGACAGACTTTGATCTTACATAGACGAACATATTTAGTAGATAAACGCTATAGATAAACAAAATAAAAATAATTAACGAAAAAAATTAGAATAAAATTTTATTAACTTTCAACTTTCTTTTGATATTTTAACATCACTTGAAATTCCACGGAATGCAAACAGTTCCGTCGGATAAAATTGAATAATAAGTTGTCACGTGAAGGTTCAAATTACTAAAATTCATGTCAGTCTCAAGCAACTTTTTCATACAATCGATCATCAAGTCTGGTGTGATGTTGTCGTCTTTCAGAATTGTCTGAGCTTTGAGTTTCTCAATACATTCCTTATGTAAGTCCCGTTCAATATATTTGTTCCTAAAATAGATTGTTGATAAATTTTTCTTAAATAATTTTCTTATAATAGAAAGTTTTTACTTCTTATAAGCTGCTTGCCGAATTGTTGCTTCTTCTAAATTCTTTGTAAAAAAGTCTATAAGCAAAAATCCAGGACACGATGAAGGTGCAATTAATTGACCAGTCGGTGAAACCATTAAAGGCCCCGATTCTGATTCCACAACCAACTCGTAATCTCTTAAACTTTCAGGCCATGAAGTAGGAAACTTATTTTTCCCGAGAAAATCAAGAACATTTGTGATGACTTTACTGAGATGACTAGAATAATTCTTTGCAAGTGTTTTTGGCATAAACTTTCGACGTGCTATTTGAATATCACGTAGTACTTGTGACAAAGTATTTTCATACATTGGGATGGTTGACAGATAAACTTCTTGTTGTGGTATATTCTTGATAAGCTATCAAGTAAATGTAAAATAAAAAAATGATTTGTTTTCATTATTAATATTTAGAAATGAGATTCTAAAGAAGAATATTTAAGTTTTAAACCTACATCCAACCAATTATTTTGAACATCACCAGTAAATAAATGAATATCGCCATCAAGTGAAACTCCCGTGAATTGTGAGAATATTATTGTTTTTTTCTTCAAGTTGTACATGTCGTCAGCGTATAAATCATGGAGCTTCTCAAGACTCTTCAAACATCCACGAAAATGCTCAAAATTCCATCCACAATTATATTTAATCTCGATAAGCATTAATTTTGTTTCCAGCTCAATTTTCAACTTTTGCACTTCTTCACGAAGCTCTTCGAGATTCTTTGTTCTGATTTGTGCAAGATCGATGTTTTTCTTAATAAATTTTGCAAGCGTTTCATCTTCTCGAGCACGCCGAACTTTAAATTGAAACAAATCAAATTCTTCGGAGAATTGGCCTTCATTGTCATCAACAGTATATTTGAGTCCTGAACTTTTAAAACCACCTGATGATTTCTTTGGTGATGGCGGAGTTGCAGCTATTTTCTCAACGCTCACAGTTTCTAAGCCGCAGATCTTTAAAACATTTACAACAAAATTTTTAGTGTCACGTTGTTGAGTCAGTGGGACTTTGACCAAACGAAATGGTTTAGATTTGTCCTTATCTCTTAGATAAAATGGTAAATTTGTAGGTCCTGATTGTGGTGCGAAAGATCGTCGTTGTAAATTTTCCAAATGAGCCGACAAAACTTGAAGTGAATTTTCGTTAATTGCTCTTTGTTCAGGAAATTTCCCAAACAAATCAGGATGAACCATGAAAAAGAAGGGTCGAAGGGCGGTTTGAAGTTGGCTTGAAGTGAATAAGCGAATTTGTGGTTTCACGAAAATCATTCCGAAATATCCATAACTCATTCGCCGATTGTTAAAACTAGAAAGACATGATGGATGAAGAGAATGAAATGAATGAAGGAGTCAAACTACATCCACCTTGATCTGCTACAAAATTGCATTGAACTTTTTTTAATTATATACACTACACAAAAATATAAACACAAAAAAATATTGCGTTGTAAACATAAAATTTTCGCCAACTTCAACACTCTTGAAACCGAGAATGTTTTTAAAATTTTGGTTAGAAAGAATTGAAAAAGATGAAAAAACCTATGCCTCGAAGTTAAAGTAGTGTAGAAGTAACTTAATTTCAGCCTCGATATTGAGAATGTTTGCATAATGCCAGTTTATCAAAGGTTTGCAGAAAACAATAAATTAATAGAAATTTTATTATTCAAAAAATGAGGTGCAAGCATCTTCTAATCTTTTAAAAACCTTTGTAATAATATTTTGAAGTTTTGAGCTAATAAAGTAGCATACGTATAATTTCTTAATAGACTGATCAATAAAATTGTATACAGAAATTCCCGTGAAAAATTGCAGTTTAAGAAATTTTCTAGAAAAATTTGTTTTGTGAAAATGAGTAAGCCAGCAACAAACAATTTAACAGACATAGAATTGAAAGATCATGGGAATAAACTTTTCTCAGCCAAAAAGTTTGAAGATGCGATAACATGTTATTCGAAAGCAATTGTGAGTTTTCTTTGAAATTTTAGTAAAAAAAGCTTAGGTAGCATGAAAATAAAAAATAATGAAGTGATAAGAAATTTCACCAACTTTTTTTCCTTTTCAAAAATGAATAAGAACAATGAGAGTTTTTTATGAAAATAATTCATTATTGATTAAAATATTGATCATAAATTATCTAGAAAAACTTTTCTTAATGTCAAAACATGTAACACTGAACTTTTGAAATTAAAAGCTAATGCAATTAGGTAAATCATTAGTTCTCTCAGTGTTAAGTGATAATAAATGACACATGTTTTTTACAATATTAAATAGTTTTCATTTGAAGCAAAAGTTGATAAAAATTTCTTTCACTATCTTAATTTGATTTGGTGTCAGGACGAATGAAACTAATGCTATTGATTGAACCTTTTTAAAAAGAGTTTATTTTTCAGATTAAAAACCCCAACAATGCCACTTATTTTACGAATCGTGCTCTTTGCTACATAAAACTAAAGAAATTTGATTTAGCTTGTCAAGACTGCCGGCGGGCTCTCGATATGGATCAGAATCTGATCAAAGGGCATTTTTTCTTGGGATTAAGTTTAATGGAACTTCAATCTTATGATGAAGCTATTAAACATCTTCAGAGAGGTAAGTAATTACTTTTTCACAATAAATCTACCTCGGCTTATGTACTCTTATTGACTTCATCTTCAGCTCAAGATCTGGGCAAAGAACAAAAATTGAATTTCGGTGATGATATTGCATCGCAATTACGAATGGCAAGAAAAAAACGTTGGAATTTGCTTGAAGAAAAAAGAATTGCTCAGGAAATTGAATTACAAACATATTTAAATCAACTCATTAAAGAAGATATGGAGAAACGTTTAGAAAAATTAAAAATTGATGACAAACTATCTGAAGATTTACACGAAGAAGAATGTTCAAAGATTGAACAGCAATGTGTGAGTTAAACAAGACATCATTTTAAGATTCTTTTGAATGAGGTCAACAATTTTCTTTTCATTTCCTTTCAGGAAAATTATACGACTGAACTGAATAATATGTTTGTAAAGGTTGATGACCGTCGCCGTAAACGTGAAGTTCCAGATTTTATTTGCGGAAAAATAAGGTAAGATTTTCTTAAGTTAACACATTCATTCAGTAAAGATATGAAACTCAACATTTTAAATTTATTTCTAGCTTTGAAATTCTTCAAGATCCCGTCATTACACCATCCGGTATCACATACGAAAGAAAAGACATCGAAGAACATTTGCAACGTGTTGGCCATTTTGATCCTGTTACTCGTGTTCCTTTATCAGTTGAACAACTGATACCAAATTTCTCAATGAAAGAAGTCGTCGACACTTTCATTCAGGAGAACGAATGGGCATTGGAATATTAAGTTTCTTTGAGTTTATCTGTAAATATGCTTTTCTTTCCTTACATCATAAATCTTTATTTTCTTCCACTTTGTTCATGTTACAATAAAAGATTTTGTTTTCTTTAATAAATTTTATTTTCAAAACAAAGGAACAAATTTTTATTTCCAAAACAATTTCATATAACAAAAAACCTTGAGAAAATGGATATGGAGTGAGAGCCAGAGACGGTTATCGTGCTTCCTGCGTTACGAATGTGCTACCAAAATATATAATAATTATAGCGCAGAAGCAACACAGGGAGCAAAACAACCCTCTCTGACCCTACTGACTAACTGACTAACTGACTAACTAAAATATGCAGAAATACTAGGGATGAATCATCTTTCACATGCAGATGTTGTACAGAATTTCAGGTGTTGCTCAATATCTGTGAAGCTGTGGATTATTTAAATGAAGAAGCATCAACAAATCAAATGGCAGTTTCAATGGATATTTCTGTTGTAACAAAGGGTGAAAGCAGTGTAGGATTGGAAAATGACAGTGAAATCAACGACAAGGACAATGAAAACTTGAACCATACTTGTCATGTGTCAGTTTCAATGGAAATTTCGGATACAAGAGATTCAACTTTCACTGTAACAGGTGTTGAAACCTTTGGTGAAGATTTTCGCAGTTCCATTGAAAGATTAATTAAAACTTTGAGATTTAATTTTTAATTAATCTTTCAATGGAACTGCGAAAATCTTCACCAAAGGTTCTGCATCTGTTACAGTGAAAGTATTTAGAACATCAAATAGAATATGCATCAATTCCTCTTATAAGTGAATCGAATATTAATGAATCTGAATGGGAAAGACGAGACCAAAATATCACATTTCGTCATTCAGGAATGTCATTCGGAGCATATGCTAAACGATTCAATGACTCGAAAAATATTCGTCAGCTTTATAGTAATAAATCTCCAGCAGAGAGACGGAATCGAGTGCCGCTCGTTGATTTAAAAGAAGACGCATCTCCTACTCCTACTAATAAATAAAGAGTTAAACAAAAAAGCACATTATTTAGAGAAAATGAATTTGAAACTAACAAAGAATAATGAAACAACAGAATCAAGATTTATTTTTTAGATGAAAGTCCGTGCAATTATATTTCTAGAGTCCTGAAGATGAACCAATACAGCGTTCGAAACTAGTCGAGAAATAATTAAATTAACAAGTCTGAAAAAGCCTAAAAAAATTTTCTTTTATTCCTATATTAACTTAATTTAAATATATAATAAAAACATTAAATCTAATATGGCAGATTAGTGCAATGAATTTAAGCTTCATAAATAAAGAGTTAACCCTTTTATTAGAAAAATAAATAATGGCAACATGATCAAACTTAAATTTACAGGATAGATCTTCCCCTTTAATAGAACAATTAAATTTTTTTCATGATCATTCCCTATTAATTTTAATTATAATTACTATCTTAGTAGCTTATTAAATGATTATATTATTTTTTAATAAATTTACTAATCGATTTTTATTACACGGCCAAACTATTGAAATTATTTATTTGAACAATTTTACCAACTTTTGTTTTAATATTTATTGCTCTCCCTATTGTTTTAAATTCTTGAATGTTTATCAATTTACAGTTACAATTTAAACTTTCTTTGTCAAGACTTAAAAGAATCGCTTCTCATTTGCCCTTCAAATGTCCTCAAAATTTAACTCGTACGAATGCGACAAATTTTCTTAACAATTGGCAATCAGAATTGCGTTGAAAGCACGCTGAACACGTTTTTACTTTTCGCAATTTTGCCCTAATATCATTTTGTTTGATTTGTAATACAAAGCATACTTCCAAACTAATATTTTCAGTAGTTTTTCTACTTGCATTTAAGACTTGAACGTCCATTTAGATAAAATGATGGAAGTAGACTAAGTCTCGACACGTTTTAGATATCATTCTATAGAAATTAGAAAAAAAGCCTTTCATAAAGATCAAATCGCTGATTTAAAAAAAATAAATAAATTCTAAACAATATGTATAGGCGTGAAATCTTTAATCTTGAATCTTTAAAGAGTATTTACCTAATAATTATTACATGCTTACCTCATACATTTTCAAACACGACTAAAAAGGATTCAAAAATGATGTATTCAAATACTTGTAACGGTTCAAAACAATTTCTGAACCGTACTTACGTTAAAGAATTCGTGGTCATTAATGTACCAACACACTGCAGCAAAATAATCACATAAATGTGTTAAAAACTACCTTATTTCAACAAGATAAACTATAAAGTAGTCAAAAATAATTTTTTATGTATCATTGAATCGCATTGTCTTAAGAAAATTAAAAAGATTCTGTAACAAGATATCATTTTTTCATGTTCATGGCAAATTGTACGAATTAATTTAATCCGAACTTTATTCAGATTTGAACCGTGAAGAAGAAAGCAGTCAAAAGCGATATTCAAAAATTAATTTAACAATTTTAGCAAGAAAAAGGTAATTATAAATATGTTTAAAATCATTTTAAGCGTCTATAAATTGCGTAAAAGTCAACCAGTATTTTGAGATCGATCAGTTACACTCGGAAATGTTAACTTTAAATTTAGATTCAAAATGTGCTCGGCTTCTTATTTAAAAACCATTTAAAATCTGTTATTACTTTGTGATAATCTTATGCAATCAAAATTTGTTTGTTGATGTAAAAAAGTGAGGAAGTTTGGTAAAAATAAGTGTACTATAAGTTGAAAAATTGGGATCACAAAAATTTCGAGTAATGGCTGACGCTTCATGGCGCTATTCGAATGTTCCATCACTCATAAATTTCATCCCGCTATGATTTTATTCCTTTCCCACCAGGAATAACATCATCAATAGCTTTAAATGTGAACTTTAAGTTGCAAAAAATACACATATCAAATAAATGTTAATATGTAAAATGCGATATTTGAAAAAAAGTAAATTAATCCAACATAATTAAATGTTTTCCTAATTCTGTTACCTTTTTCTTCTATAGATTTTGTTAATGTTAAAATTCAGTGTCCTCAAAATTTAAAAAAAAATAATGTCTTAAAGTATAAGAGAAAGTTTAGAGTTGTTTGCTTTTCAACAAAGCATGATTTGCAGAAATTTCGTGCTATGGTTCCATTAATGAGAGTCAATAAAAATAGAGGTTAAAGCTTTAAGTTCTTTTCTACCTTTCGATCTTCACATCATTAAAGGGAACTTCTTATTCGTTTTCAATCTGCCTAAATTTAGAAACACATTTCAAAGTTACATTTTTTACTGCACACAAAGAAAACCGATCTCGTTTCATTGAGTATATCTAAATGAAAATATTTTTCTTTTGTTTCTAGCTTCTTGATTTGCTTTTAAAACTTTATTTTTCCTCTGGTTATAGGTATCTAAAAGGAAAATTTAAAAAATCTTAGAAGAAATCTTGAAAAAAGTGAAAAAAAAAGCAAGAAAAATTTATTGATTTCATGCAAGTGATGCATCCAAAGGCACAGTAGCAAAATTAAATGCTTAAATTGTGGATTTATAAAAAAACTGAAATTATCCAATTATTGAAAACATAAACGAAAATAGTAAACTGTGAAATAAACAAAGAAAACAAAAATTCGTGGACAAAGTGAAGTACAGAAAAAGAAGAATTTAAGAGATTTAAGGTGTTTTTATGTAAATATATCATAGGCTTATCAAAAAGTTTAAGTTAATCAAGTAATCCAGCATAATTTGATAAAAAACAAAGAAAAAAGAGGAAAAAACTATAATTTTATGAATAGAAAGGATCTGAAGAATCAAGTAAGGAACAACAACCATAATAACAACAACAACAAAATGATGACTGAAACAATGAATAGTAACAATCATCTTAGTCAAGCGTAAGCTTCTAGGTTTTCAATATTAAGTGCTTTCGTTCGAATTTTCTATTTCTTCTCACAGTGACCCCGGATGGAAATCGAAACTACAAATCCCACCCAAAGATAATAGAATTAAGACTAGTGTAAGTAGCTTTACCTTTCTTCGATCGTTTCAACAATTCAATCTAATCTTTGTTTCGTTTTAGGATGTAACTGATACACGTGGCAATGAATTTGAAGAATTTTGCGTCAAACGCGAACTACTAATGGGCGTGTTTGAAATGGGATGGGAAAAGCCATCACCAATTCAAGAAGCAGCAATTCCAATTGCTCTCGGTGGTAAGGATATTTTAGCTCGTGCTAAAAATGGTACTGGAAAGACGGGCGCTTATTGTATTCCGATACTTGAGCAAGTTGATGAGAAGCGTGATTGCATTCAAGCTTTGGTTATTGTACCGACAAGAGAATTGGCGCTTCAAACGTCACAAATTTGCATTGAATTGGCAAAGCATTTGAATATTAAAGTGATGGTAACCACAGGCGGCACAAACTTAAAGGACGATATCATGCGGTTGTATCAGAAAGTTCAAGTTGTTATAGCAACGCCCGGACGTATTCTTGATTTAATGGACAAGAATGTTGCCAACATGGAAAATTGTAAAGTTTTGGTATTGGATGAAGCTGATAAGTTATTGTCACAGGACTTTAAAGGCATGCTGGATCATGTCATCCAGAAATTACCACGCGAACGTCAAATTCTTCTCTTCTCAGCAACATTCCCTTTGACGGTGAAACAATTTATGGATAAGCACTTACGCAATCCTTATGAGATTAATTTGATGGAAGAGTTGACATTGAAAGGTGTTACACAATATTATGCTTTTGTGCAAGAACGACAAAAGGTTCATTGCCTAAACACTCTCTTCAGTAAGCTTCAAATCAATCAATCAATCATCTTTTGTAACTCCACACAGCGCGTGGAATTACTGGCAAAAAAAATCACCGAGTTGGGCTATTGTTGCTATTACATTCATGCTAAGATGGCTCAAGTTCATCGTAATCGTGTTTTTCATGATTTTCGTTCAGGCTTGTGCCGAAACTTGGTTTGCTCTGACTTATTTACACGTGGTATTGATGTTCAGGCTGTGAATGTTGTTATAAATTTTGATTTTCCCAAAATGGCTGAGACTTATTTGCATCGTATCGGACGCTCAGGACGTTTCGGACATTTGGGTAAGTTTTTAAATTTAAATTTTTGTTAAAAATAAATTTGATTTTTCTTATTTTTTGTTTCAAAGGTATTGCCATCAATCTAATCACGTACGAAGATCGTTACGATCTTCATCGCATCGAAAAGGAATTGGGAACGGAAATAAAGCCAATTCCAAAAGTCATTGATCCTGCTTTGTATGTTGCCTCCAAACTACCAGAAGATCAAGAGGATCAAAACGCCAACAAGTAAAATTTCGGCAGATTAAAAAACAACAACAAAAAGGAAAGTTCTTTGAGTTCTATTTTTGATAAATTTACACATGAACACGGGAAACACATTTAATAATAACTTCTAAAGACTTCATCAGATGAGTGAGAGATGAACGTCAAAGGTGAGAGAAAACTTCATGCGAGTCATTTTCTTTTAATTTTAATTTTTATTTGAATTCTTATTCTTGAAAGTTAAGCTTCATTTGTTGTTTACATGGAAGCATAAAAAATGAACAATGTCTGCCTGCGTTTGGAAATCTGTTTTAAACTTCGTTTTTTTATTCCTCTGAAATTTAAGGAAATAATTTTTTCTGGGGTTTCATTCCTAATTGAATTTCCTTCCGGTTTTTGTATGAAACGCGAATGTTTCTTCCTATTTTAAAGCGTGACTCGCAAAGCTTTCACCTTCAACTTTCATCTCTCTACCCATCGCCCAAGAATTACAGAAATAAAATGAAAACACTAAAATCATTGAATTCGATAGGAAAAAAACATTTGAAATAACTTCGAAAAGGGCAAAACAATTTAATTGATAAGAAAAAGAAAATCTTTGTATTACTGAAATAAAGAAAAAGCTCGTAGTCGAAAGAAGTAAAAAAAAAGATTTTGTCATGAAATTAATTAGTTAAAAAGAAGAAAATGAAAAAGAAAATCAATTTCCGAAGTCAAAAGAAAAACCTGTAAAGAAATATTTAAGAAAAAAACTTTTTGGCTTCATTTTCGCGATACAACCAGAAGAATAATTCGGGTCGAAGGGTGAATAAAGATTTTTTATTTTTCATTTTGTAAAATAGAGTTTGATTCAACATGCCCTGTCTCCACAAATGAGCCCGAAACGGCGCACAGAAAGTAATTAAAAAATTTTCAAGCAACTTTTTTTTTGTGTAATGAAGAAGAAACTGGCGATGAAAAAATAAATCGGAAATAAAGAATGAAAATATATAAAAAAATTAAAAGTTTTAAGGGCATGAAGAATCTCCTTTTTTTAATAAACAGAAATGAAGGAATAATAACTGAGCAACACAATTAGAAAATTCTTCTTGTTGTGTCTTCAGAAGGATAAAAGGAAAAAAAAGTTTCACAACAAGAAAATTTCTCATTGAAAGTTAAATCTTCTTCTTGATTTAAAAGACTTTTTCAATTTTTCTTTTCTTCCTTTCATGACAGTTTTTTGCTTTTGATTAGTTTGAGTCGAGACGATATTACATGAGATAAAAATTCTTTAGTCAAAAATGATCAAAGAATAAGCTCTCGTTTTCGTCTTCAAAAGCAACTTGTCAGACAATATTACTTTAATTATAAATATATATATTTTTTTGTATAAAAAAATCAGCATAAGGAAAAAGCATAACGAAAATTTATTGTCTTTAAGATAAAAACAGGCAAAAAAAGAAGAAAATAACAAAAAGTTAAGAGTCGTTAAGCGGCCTCCCTTATAGCCTTCAACAAAAACAACAAATAAATGTCGGGAGGCATAGATTGGGTCAGTTTTGGAAAAGACATAAGAAATACGGAAGAGAAATCGCCGGCCATTTCATCTCCTGCCGGGCATAATTTTGTGACTTAACAAATGAACCACTGAAGCAACGCGACAATGGTAAAAAAACAAGAAAATCGCGTGATTACTCAAAAGAAATAAAAATTAAAAAGTTGAAAAATCGTTAGGGCAATTTATGCGTAGGAGGCGACCTCGTGGCCACGATAAAATAAATCTTAAACTTTCGCCGTTTTCTTTACTGTCTTTTCTTCTTTTTGGCCACCCTTGTTTAATTAGGAGCACTTGTGAACAAATATTTATGCTCATCGGGGAGCTGTCCAATCATAAAAATACGACAAATTAAAATAACATCAAGAGGGCTCATTATAAAGTTATGATGAAAATATTCCAGGGAATTTTTGATCTATGAGAATAAATAAATTAACTTTCTCTTTATCGAAACTTTCAACATTCATAAAAACTTCATTAAATATTGTTTGTTATCATAAATCAAGAATTCCTTAAAGTACATCATTGAATCTCTCTCACTCATTGCATTACATCGCGATGAAACAAAAGAAAAACTGCTGTTGAGAGAGAGTAAAACATTTGAAAAATTTCACTTGATTTTACAAGTGCAAAAAAAATCATCCTTTCATTAAAGTTAGAGATGCTCATGCTTTAAAAATGAAAATATTTCGCGATGAAAAAATGAAAAACTTATTCAGATTCAAATCCTCTAAATGAAAACGAAAAGAGGGTTAAAAATACCAAAAGAGTAGAAATATTTGTTGTTTTACATTCAGATCGTCGTGAGATTTTTCTGAGATAGAAAATCTTCAAGCATTTGTTAGTTAATTATTTCATGATGCAAAATGACTTTTCGAAGAAAATAATGAAAAAGTCACAAAAAAAATGGAAATAGTCATTGAGAATTCATGAAATAATTCACCGGGCTTTGTTTTCGAAAACCTTCAAGAACAAAGATTTCTTTAATGTTATTCATTTTCAATCATTATAAATTCTCCTCATTATCCAACATTTCCTTTCTCCTTTTGTTCTCACAATCATTCCTGTCCCGCCGGATAAGCGCGTTATATCCCTTCTCTATTATTTTCCATTTCCCATGTCATTAATGATTAAGAAAAATGCATTCGGGCTTTTCCAATTAAATTGTTTTAACGTACGACAAACAAATGAAAAAAAAATTCATTTAAAGGCACAGTTCTTGATCAAGAGCAAAACGAGACACATTTTAGGCAACACCGCCCCCTGAATCTACCAGTTTATATATCGAGTGATAAAAGCATAGAACGATAATTAGAAAAACAGAAATTATATCTCCAAGCTAAAGTTATCATCGTTTACTGTGGTTCAAACTTCTTTTTCTAATTAAATTATTTTCAATTTTTTTAACTCTAGAATGTGTCTCTTTCTCATTTGAAAAACATTAAATTTAAATCTCTTAAAGTGATAATTAAGAAAAAAAAAAGAGGTTAATGAGTAAAACAACATTCGGATGCTCGAAACCTTGTTGAAGCTTAAAACAACAAACAAAGAAGCTAAAAAAAGCAATGAATAAAACTTAAGGGGGCGGTTATATTTTTGCGAACTTTCCTTAATCACAATAAATTTATTACAGTAATTGAAAATAAATTTTTCTCAGTTAAAGTTCAGACAAAACTTAATTTACAATAACAAATGTACCAAAAATTTTGCTTCCCATAATTTTCGATTGAGATTAAGCGTTTCCTGTGGTATAAAAAGTAGGAAAAATTTCTAAAAGCCATAAAAACAATTTCAATATTTCCTGAACGTTTTAACACCTACATAAACGACAAACTGTGCAAAGTTTAAAAATAAATTGAAGCGCTTCGATAATTGCCCATTGAACAGTAAAGTTTTTAGTTTTTCGTTTCAATATAAATAGATTCCTCCCGTGAAAATTAATTAACGTTTTTCTGGTAATTCAATCGTTCAATTGATTACAAATTCGATAAACTTCATATTTTAACTTTAAAAATTCTACAAAAGTACCTGGAATTTACACTGAAAATAAATAAAATTTCGAATATCATCGTTAACTCCCGCCGATACACTTCACCATGTTATGATAGGATTTCTCTTATTAATTAAATATTCTTAAGACGATGATGAATTTCGGGAAAATTGATATAGAAGTTCTCTTTTTTTTCACCGGAAATTTTTAAATCATATTATTTATTTCCAAAGTTGATGGATTTTCCATGTCAAATGTCGAAAGCTTTATTTCATCCATTAAGTTTTGAGTCCACTCAAGGATGAAAAACTATTTGGTGACAATTTCTATGCAATGGTTTTGCCATTCAACATGAAAAGACGAAGTACTCAGTGTCGTGATGATGATGATAATGCTTCATTTCCTTTGGAGAATTGAATAAAGATCTCCCTAGTTGTGGATAACGAAATGGCATTTTAAGTAGATGATTCTTGTGAAATTAATGACTGGAAATTCACTCTCCTCTTGATCATTACTTGTAGGAAAAAACGGAGAATAACAGAGTCAAGAAAAAGCCACTCAGAGGTGACTGTCAATTGAAATTGAAAAAAAAAGTAATAATAGTAAAAACGATAGGAAGTGAAGAAGAATAACCAATCGTAAAGAAATTCTCGATGAATTTTATTGCATTTTCCCGCATAATTTCACTATAAATTGCAAGAAAAAAATATCAATCCAAACACAAGAGAACCAGAAATCGATTGAATTTCATCTCTCCTTCTCTGCATTGCTTATCATTTGATATTTGATTTCACATTTCACGTTCGTCGATTAGAAAAGTCACAACTTTCGCAATCGATATAAATTTTTTTAGATTTCCTCTTGCACGAATAACAATTTCTCATAACAAGTGGTGAAAGAATACATGGTGAGGGGTTGCGATGAAAATCAATTTCCATTCATACACATGAATGAATTTTCCGAGACATATATACGAAAAATAAAATTATGATCAGAAATATTCTGCCACTGAATGAATCCGGGAGAACGTCGTAAAATCACAGTGGCATAAAATTGGCATGCTAAAAAATTCGCGAGCGCAAAACTACTTCCATCAAGCAGCCATAAAATTGATGACAAACTTTTATTAAAGTAGTTGCGCTCATTTTTTTTCTTCTACTGCTTGTACTGCTATTATATTATGGTTAAAAAAATCTTTTCATTTAGAAAATCGAGTAAAAAAATTTTCAATTCCCGTTGGTATTACCATTGCCACCAGCAGCAGTCTTAGTAGTAGCAGAGAATGAACTCCTTCTTTTACATTTTTAATGACACCAAAAAGCGCACAACTAGAAGAAGGAAACAGAAAAGAGATTTTCTTAAAGAGCGGTTTAAGAGAAAGAAAATTAACAAGATACAAGACAGTTTTCGTTATCAAACTACAGAAGAAAAGGACAGGATATCTTGATTATGTTTAACTGCAAAAACTTTTCATTTTTTTCCAAAAAAATCCGTTTTTTTACTAAAAGGAGTTTTGAAAAAGTTTTACAACATAAAACTGTTTTTTCTCTCTTAAACCGCTGAAAGCTCTTTTTTTCGCGCTTTATCAAGAAGTAAAATAAAACCCAACTCATATCGCCTTTATTATTATTTCATTAAAAAATTTTATACTCCTTTTTCTTGTCTTGTCGTTAGTTTTTCTGTCTTCTTATTCCATAGCATTAGTTTACTCCCTCCGGTTGTCTTAACTTTTTAAAACATTAATTTTCATCTTTTCTCTTTGCTTCTTTTCATTTTTTTTTTTGTTAAACTCAAGCTTTTCCCTTTCCTTTTTAATTCATTCCTCTTTTTTTCCTGACGATGGCGATATATCTTTCAGTATAATTAAATTTTTTTCTTTTTTTCCTTTTTATGCGCTCTGAATGAAACTGAGAAAATTCTCTGTTTCGTCTTCATTTTCTCCAATTATTTCAACCAAATTAACTGACGGCATAAATGACTGTTTAGCTTTTTTAATATTAAAAGTTATCATTTAAAACTTTTCTTATTATCTTCTTCTGCCCAGTTGGCATGCTTATTATCCAGCTCAGCTATAGCACTGTGGCGAATGACGTTTGAAGAGCGCACAAAAAGTTTCGTTTTAAGTTTTTAAACTATTCAGTTCTTATTTTATTTTCATTTTCATTCCTTCTGCGGAAAGCGATTTTTTTTCGCGAAGTCAACAAAATTCTTAACTAAACGAGATAAAAAGAATTCTTGCATAAACAACGCAATTTCGTTACTTACTCTCTCATTTGCGAAGCAAAAGCGAAATAAAAGAATGTTAAATTTTATCCGATAAATGGGACAAAACGTTGATAGTGTGGAAGAAAAAGCTTACGAACATTTGTAAAGCTACAAAACTAACTTACAACGCCAAATCCCCTCTTGAAAAAACCGAAGATTTTGAAATCCGCAACAAACATACAAATAAATAAAATAATAAAGAAAATAAAAATGAATTTCAAAAGAAATTAGATTAAAAAATTGTCAAAAGTTTTCAAACATTTTTCTCGTGTCTCCGTCTATTACCGCGAATGTTTTAACATAACAACAGCCAAACATACATACTTTCATTTGTAGATTTCATTGGAAATTCTTTGCTTTTATTTCTCTTATTTTTCTTCTGTTCATCTAATTCCACATCAGAATTGGGTAATCCATTTTATTTGCATGTAATTTGTTTCCACTCGATTTTTAAATAAAGCAAGCAACGACAAGCACAAGATGTGAATATTTTTTCAATTTTCTCATCTGAAATTCACTTGGTTTATGTTGTGGCGTGTGCGAGTAAGGGTGGAAAAGCTTTTCATGAAGAAAAAAGAGATGAGTAAGATGACATAAGAACAAAATTTTCTTTCTCCACCCCTTAAAAAAATGAGATTGAGAAATGTAATCAAAAGTAAATCCCTCAACCATTTCAATTTTACACATTCCTCCCCGTTTTCCAATCCATTAAATTTGAAACAAATAAGCAGTAAAGTGTGGTTTTAATTTTATGATAAAATTATTCCATCTTTTCATTTCCACCCATCAAATGGCAAACAAGAACTTGAAAAACCAGCATAATGATATCGTTTTCGAAGCTTTTTCAACTTTCTTGATCTGCAAGAGAAAATTTCCTTCTTCTCCTTTTTTAGAATTTTCAAATTGGTAATAGAAAAAAATATTATCTAAATGAACTCAAGAGTCAAATTGCTGTGAAAATTTATATGTTGAGAAGAGTTCTTGGTTGAGGGATTTTCCGATTTTCTTATTCTCCATCTTTCACCACCGCTATTGACCACAAGATAAATCAAGTAAAGGCATAAGTAAGCTGGAAGAAAAGACCAGGAGAAAGTTAATCAGAGTATAACACTGGGGCTACAGCGTTGGGGATTGGATGAAGACTAATTAAGTGGTTTTTCGACAAAGTTAAAGCTTTTCCATTGATTCGTGAAAATTACGATGGTGGTATAGGGATTTACGTTGTGAACAGAAGAAACTTTTTTTTATATTTTTTTAACAGCAAATGAAAGAAAAGAAAGGAGAAAAGTTGTAGGGCGAGGCAACACAGAGAAAAGAAGAGATTGATGTGAAAAGAATAAGTAACGAACTAATGAATGTTGCCAAGGATTAAAAGGTCCGAGCGTCATTGATGTAGAAAACTGAATTTCTCTTCGCTGTTGTAAACAATAATTTTCCCTCCGGCTATTTGCACTTTCTTTCCTTTTGTTTGCCATCACGAAGAAAGAAAAAAGATCGGAAAGTTTTTTCTCCAACAAAACTTTCTTATTCTCTTTGTTCCATTTGGTTTACTTGCCGAATAGAAAAGTTCTTTTTTGACACATGTGAACAAGGTGCTTCGAAAGGAAAATTAGCTTTGTACTGAGAATTTTTTCAAACAAATGAAGGGAAACGTTAGATAATCGATCTTTATCAGGAAATAGACAGAACTAGCTTTCTTCGAAGCACTTTGTCTTAAAATCACGTATGATGTTGAATGTACTCTGATGTAGAACTAAAAACTTACTCTGATGTGATGAAACAGATGAAAAAAATAAATAAATAAATAAAATCCAAAACAAGAGAGGGAAATAAAAAAAATCTGATTGGCATAACAAAACAGTACAGAAAAGAACAAAAAATGTGTTTTAATCTCTTCGTTCTCCCGTGTCGTGTAAACTACACGAACATTTCCCACCGTTTTGCCATATCTTGCTGGAGGATTTATTTTTCTCAGCTGCAATTTACTGTTTTGCTGTCGCAAATTGCCCAGGTGTGTTGTTATACCTTTCCTAACGACTCGTTCCATGGAGAAAAATAGAAAAACGACGAATGATGCAAGAGAAAGGAAAATGGAAAAATGGAAATCAGTGAAACGATTAGCAGGATGAAGGATGAAATGTTAACGAAGGCGCTAAAGGTTACAACGCGCCTTCATTTCATTCCTTCGTTTCAATCCATCAAAGGTACAATCACAATTTCAACGTGGGTGAACAGCAACCCAGATGAATGAGATTGAGGGATGCTGCCAGCTAATTAAATCTCTCATATTAATCGCAGTTTAAGTATCTTGATAGCAGGTTTGTTTAAATTTAACCCATTGCAGATTCAGTATACCTGATACTAATACATTTCCTTAGTTTTATCATAACATTTATCTAGCAATTTATAGAACACAGTTCTTTCATTATTATTTTAGTTAACACGACTCCAGTTATAGCTTCATTATCATCTTAAGCTTTTCTTTTCTTTCAGCTTCTTAAATATTTACATTCTAAATAAAGAAAACATTTCATTTTGTTTATGACGAAAAATAAATTTATGAATTTTTATTTGCAAACTAGTCATTCAAAAAATGTAAATAAATTTTACTATTTCAACTGCACCAATTTTATTAAAATTTATAAAATCAATGCTAACTTGAAATTTAAACAAGAAATTCTTCAGAGGAGGAAGAAAGGCTTTGAGTAAAGCACAAAAATTATTTTTATCCAACTCTATGAGGAAAATAGTTTGATTATAATAAATAAAGACGATGGAAATGCTTTTGAAACATTTAAAACTTTCTGAAAGTTTTTAAATAAGAAAATTTTAAATTTTTTAATCTTCTATTTTATTGTTTCATGATGAAATCTTTTTGTTTTCCCTGCTGCGTCATTTCACTCAAATGATGCTGTTTTTATGTTATTCACTCTTTCAACTTTTATATTTCAGTGAGATTTACCGGTCAGATATTTTCCAATGACGTCATTAAAAGTTTAGGTTCTTTGCTGTTGTGAATGATGATAATAAAATTAATACGTATTACCTTTAATAATCTGTAGTCATTTATAATTATTTTGAAGTCTATCTGAAATTAGATAAGGATGAAGTGACAAGAACAACGCATCATTCCTTTACATTCTTGATATTTGATCCCAAATCGTTCAACATTTGTTGGTTTTCCCAATACCACTCTTGAAACTTCTCCACTTATTTCGCTTACCTGCTCATATGTAACAAGAATTGGAATCGATTGTGAAAGCCAATTTTATTGCGAAGGGATGAACTTCATGTTCAGTGATGTAAATTTCTGGTGAAAAGAAGGTAAAAGAATTCATATCAGTTACTCCCATGAGGTTCTACCGTAAGTATAGTTGAAGACTTTGCAACATTAAATCATCCTCGAAGGATTCAAAAGAAAAAAGTTTTAGAGGCAACCATCTACCCTATTTAAGCTGTTCAGACAATATTCTAGAAAAGAAATCGAAAAAAAAATAATAGGTTAATAAAAGAAATAAGAATCTCATCACGAAATGATGAAGACAAAAAATCGAAAGTCTGAGTTGCGAGAGAATTTTATTTGATAATCTTGCGATTAAATGAGTTAATTAAAAGGAATATTTACTGAGTCCCCGTTGAAACAATGACTTTCAAGCTTCGATGAAAGCTGTCAGATCTGCACTGAAAGTGTTCATTCATCAACTCTAATATATAATAAGCTAATAAAAAATAAAAAATTCAATAAAGATTGAATTTAAGATGTAATTCGCTCTGTCATTCGAAACTTCAAAACGTCTTTTCGAAAGAATTTGAGCAAAACAACGAACGATTTGAGCGATTGAAAAACGAAAAAAAAATTAATTTTGCTTGACATTTGAGCGTCAAGAGGCAACTTAAGATCAAAATTTATTTATGAACAGAAAGTTTCAGCAGCTCATAGATAATCAGATTGTTAATGCTTTCATTTAGGATATCAAGTGACGTTTATATGATCATCACATTTTGGAAATCTCTTTTGAAATAATTGATCTGCTCACGATTTGCTTCAATTGAAATTCATCATCGTTCAATCTTGTGCTTTCAAAATTCCTTTTGAGCATCACTCAATTTCGAATTGCACAAAAAATCCATCGTTGATGTCAACTACATTCAACATTTAATATTCAGTAACGAATGGAATGCAAAAAGGAAGAAAGAAGTTGGATAACAACTATAAATTATTTTAGATACACAAAGAACAGGAAGATGTGCTGGTTCTAGTTGACGATACCTTCATTCGTCTTCCTAAAGACCTGTTGTCCTTCACCAGTTTTGTAGGGGATTACGAGAGAGATTCTGTTCAGGTTCGAAATTGTTTTTCTGTCTCCTTTCTTTTTTTTGTAAGAAGATGAAGTTATGGATATATGTTGGGGTCATTACGGTAATGTGAAGTGAATCTTTTCAATGCCATGTTCCATGGTTTGTTGGAAACCATCAACGTACATCTTGAATTTTCCGTTTCGTTCCTATTGCACTGAATTCGAAAACTTCTCATCTTTCACTAATCGCAATATTGTAGCAACCCCCCAAAGCTTTGGAAAGAAAATCATTTTAAAGAAAAGAATAATTTTATTTACCTCTTTGTTGAACTTCACACGCACCTGCATGCAACGTTGCTGACTATTTAACTGGGAAACATTTTTTCTGCAGTGCAGATTATTGAAGCTGGAAATGAACATTGTTTTCCTCAAGGCATTCAAGTATCTATCGATGTTTTCTTTTGTGTTAAATGAGAGATTTTCACTTTTACACTTGAAAGTAATAAGAACTCGCAAGGTAAGTGTGAGATCGACAGCGACGATGAGATGTTTGCTTAGTTCGCATCAACAATTCTCCAAGTGAATCATGGCAAACGAAATTTAATTAACGAATTTGTTTTGAATATCTCGAAGTTTTGAGTAAACATCACTCAACGAAATGAAGAAGATACGAAGTGCGAGAAAGCAATTTGGTTTAAAAGAAAATATTAAGTGA